TCTTGGGGGGGGGGGGGGGAAGTAAAAACACATCACTTGCCAGTGCCCAGTGGAAATGGGTACTGGTTGGAAGCAGGTAAGGCATCAGACTCAAAAGTGTGATTTGGGTAATTCTGAATGGACAGGTTATGCAAGTGTGAAACATTTCTGAGGTTCACACCGGTTGTTCAGCTAAGACTACCTTGCCGATTCAATCTCATGTAACAAATAAGTAATATTATCCAAGGTATAAAAATAAGGAAATATTCTGATGGTGGAAAATGGAAAGAGGAAGTTAAAGCATTGGATCAGGTTAGTTAGTTCTGTGGGCGTAGATACTGCCGGCATTAGCTCAATGGGCTGACTGGCCACTTTTGGTACTCATTTCTATAATTCATTCATGACGTCCTCTCTCTCTCTGACCAGGGCTCTCTCTGCCTTCTTGTCCTCCCAAACCTCTCTGCCATGTTCAACACAGTTGATCACCGCCTCTCCTCCCTTATCCACTTCAATGGGACTGCACTCACAAGATGTGAGTCCTACTTGACCAAACGCCATCACTTTGAATCTGCAAGCAGTTTTCTTCCTGTCTTGTCCCTTGATGTACCCCAAGGCTCCATCCTTGGCCCCCTTTTCCGTATTTACATGATCCTCTTGGTGATGTTATCCTCAGACACGAGGTCAACGTCCACATATATGGGGATGACACACAAATCTGCTTCTCTGGCTCCTAGTCTATTGATGTTCTGTCAGCTTGTTTGTCAGACATCATGGCTTGGATGAGTGCAGACTTCCTGCAGCTGAATGTCGACAAGATGGAAACCATATTCCTCGGCTCCCGGCAACATCTCTTGCGCTCTGACCTCCTCAATCTTGCTGATCTCCCCAGCTCCACGATCCCATATCTATCCACAAAATTCAAAACTTTGCCGCTAGTAAAATCACCCGCTATAAATTTGCCTGGGGTGAGTTAATGTGCTAAGTTTTGTTTAGTGCCCTTTATTTGTTGGCCCTTGTTCCGAGTCGTGAAGCAATAAACCAATTTCACTTTGTGTACCTACCTGTCCAGATTCAGCAGTTATCTAAACACAGCCTTTTCATATCATCTTTATTCTCCCAGAGATTCCTGAATTTTTGATGAAAATATGATTGCTGCAGTGACAGGCCTTATTAAAAGTGCATTTGCTGTATTTCCAAGTAGAGGCAATTTACGTGCATTTGACTTAACATAGCGCCTTATCACGTTGTTGAGACGTCACTAAGCGCTTCACAGAATATATTGTAAAGTGGATTGACTGTATTTTGAAAAAGGCAAGTTCTATGTCTCAGTGATATTGTACATTCAAGTTATAGTCTCCGGACAGTCAACTGAAGAATAGAACGGGTTGGAAGCAAGTTGCATGTCTACCCTGGTCTCAACCACAGGATGTGTATGGACTTTTTTTTTTTTTAGTCTCTCCAGTTCTGATCTTGAAATTCAAGGTAGAAGTGAAAGTTGCAAATATAGAACAGTACTTTAGGATTTCTGTGTTATGCTATTCAAGTCAATGGGCATGTGGGATGTGATCCATTTAGCAGGACAAGTGGATTGAGCTCCTGTACTAACTTGAAATGGACGTAATATTATTGTTTGGTCAGTTCTGAGAATTTGTTCCATTGTGGTTACGTTAATAGATGAAAACATTACAAGCAGCACATGTAGCTACTATCTATATTTAGAAATAGCCTGTGTAAACAAAGTAGGAATTCTACCTCTTTGATCTGATTTGAGAGATTACAAAGATTATTAAAAAAATACAGAAACTGCTATATACCATTTTCTGCTTTTTTTTAGCTAAAGGCGACTGCTTATCTTGATAATTCAATTTCCCTAACTTTTTTCTGTACTCCTTGATACTGTTTACTTCTTCAGTAAACTTTAACTTCTTTTTACTGCATTACTAATCTATTTCTCTTACCTGCCATCGCGTGGCCTTCTGGAAAGCACATTCAACATTCTCACAACCCTTGTGTTAAATACTGGCCTTGAAAACCTATACATTATTATACTTCGTCAAAAGTTGTGTAAAATTTATCTGGTCATGGAGATTGTGTAGTATTCTGCATCCTTTAATTTGTGGGGATGGTCTGGTGCCGAAGTATACTGCACTAAAGAGCGAGTGGTGAGACTAGAAATCTCAACTGGTGACCTCAACCGAAAATTTGTATAGCACCTTTCACATCGGGAGGATGTTCCAAAGCGCTGGACAATCGGTGTTTCAGACCCGAACTGGTGATCGGGGAGGGTGGAGGGCAGGGGGGAAGGAGGGTGACTGAAGGCACGGTCAAAGAGGAGGGTCTTGAAGGAGGCAAGGGAGGGGGCGAGGTGGAGGGACTGTTTGATGAAGTTCCAGAGGATGGGGGCAGAGTTGCTGAAGGCCCGTCTGCCAATGGTGGGCCGGGCAAGGCGGGGAACTACGAGGGAAATTGATATCTAATGCTTTTGGGGACTTTCTAATTACCAGATCAAGAGTGACGGAGTTTTGGGTAGAGTTTCTGGTCCACCCTTGTGGGAGTTGCATTTTAATAATAATTAATAATAATACATTTTCGGCAGACGTAGGAAGAAGTATTGTCACTGTCTGCTGCCTTAACATCCAACACTCATCTAAAAATCAAGCTGCTGCAACAAATAGTCTTAATGTTTTTGAAGGTTTAAAGAAAGCTTCCTCACACATTCTGCAACACTTCAAAATAATCCATCCACCTTTTTATGAGCCTCGCATAACATGATGATCATATGCTTTACCCTTCTGATTGTATGAATACCATCTTGTATGCTTCACAGTTATCAGTTTATCATCACATGCTGAACCAGTGTTGTTGAAGTTCGCACAAGGCAACATGAGAGGTCTCTGCTTGCCCTTAGAACCTGAGCACAAATTCAACCAGTCTTTGTATGTTCAGAAGCCATTGGGGTATTTTGTGAGGGCACATTTATTTATTTGTAGATGGCTGTGGTTGCATTGTTATACAAGGAATGCCATGATCTACTGCCCCATCTTAATTTTGATGGCTTGTTCACTAAAGCGCAGACTTCTTTAGTGTGGTAACTATTCTGCCTTCAAAGACTATGATATAAGTGCAAAAAAGCACTTTAGTGCATGAGATCAGTAAAGTTTTATTTAGACATGATCGTTAAATCCAATTTATATAAGACAACCAAAGGTCATTTTAATCCTTTTGAGGACTACTTAGTATTCCCACATCAAAATAAGATGCCCTCAAAAGATTTTTAGTTTTATTCTCTTTGATTCAGCTGTACCATCTGAATGGTCTTGCATGATTTTTAATTGTGAGCTGTAGAACTGTAAAACAAAATCTGATCAGTTCTATTACTCTTGTGAGAGTTGAGGAGGTGCTCACCAGATTAATTGCTTTCAATTTATGAATGGAATGCTAATTGTATTCCACCTCCCTTTCCCCAAAATATGAAGGTCTTGAAGAAAATTTCTGAAATGTTTTGAATTAATTGCCAAACATTTGGTCTGAATTGTCTTGGAGTAAGAATGTAATCTGTTTGAGGATGTCGTGTTTCAGTATGTCTCAGTCCACTGATTTGCCTTAATTGGTTACAAGTGCCACTCGACTTCATAACAGTACTCTATATATTGTACTTTCAGACATTTTCCTCCACATCTGGTGGAAGTTAGAGGGGAAGAGAATTTGCTGTGGACTTTTTTGTTAATGAACAATAAGTTGCCATTTATCAAGATTCTAACTTTTTTCCCCCTCAGTATATTTTTTCTGAAATGTCAATGACACATTTCTAGATCTGAGAGAGTGATATGGTATTCTATTTGAATATTCACATTGTACTGAACCACCAACTATCTGATTGTTACCCAGTTCTTTTAGAAACTCGGGTGCTGGAAAATTGATTGCACATCTGTCAACATCCTGTGGTTAGAGCTCTCATTGATTGTCAGGAATCTGGCCATCAGGAACCATTTCTAAATGCCAGTGGTTTACTATTCTTAGTCTTACAATTTTTTGAATGGCATTCCTAATAAAGCAAGTGAAAGCTTAGTTTCTGAGTAGAACTTGAGGAGCTGGATTTATGTCAGTAATGGTACAATCGCTAACCTACAATGATTAGCCATGATGCAATTTCAAGTCTTTGAAAATTCAGCAACTTTGAGTTCCTAGGTTCAGTCAGTCTTGCATAACAGTCCTGAGTAAGGCCATCAGATTGAGTGTTAAATCTATTTTTAGGTTACCATGGTCTCTGAGTAAGATCCTTCCGTTGCATCCAAGATTTGAATGCCAGGCTCTGCTGAGTTCGCTCATCTCAGCCTACGTGCTACAATTGGCCTCGGCACTCCTAGGATAGGGAGGAAAAATTAGCTTGGCTTCTCATTCTTGATCACTGTCCAAAGAGACCCTCTGTTGAAGGATGCATGCGGTTGGAATTGTCTATGGACAGGATCAAGATTAGGTGTGATTTTTGTGGTCTTCGTCTTCCCCCCCCCCCCACCCACAGTTGAGTCGCATCCCTATCATCACTCACTGTCTAGGCTTATGAACTAATAATGGCCAGTTGGACAAAGTACTAGAGAGTGACTGGAGAAAATGGACTCAGAATGCCTTAAGGAGGAGATTGAATTGGTGGAAGGAGAGTAATAACCTGTTTTACAAACTTTAATGGACTCTACCAGTATGATACAAAGGCAGTCTTTTTGTGCTCGTTCTATGTAGGAGTGGAGGACACATTTGCCAATCTAGGCAAATTGTTTGATTATCAAACCGTGTATAATATATATTTGTAATTGTAAAGTTATACTTGATAACCTCCATTACCTTGAAAGTTCTGACTCTATGATAGTCTGCCCGGAGTATTTGTATAACTTGCATAATTAGAATGGGGGAAAAGGCCAAGATTTAAATTATTTTCCTAATTAAAATAAATTAAAGTGTGAGGAAGGATGGTCATCTGTATTGGTTTGTAATGGCAGAATGTTGTTTTTCCCCTCCCCCACCAGAGGAGTAATGACGAGAATGGAAACTGTTCAGAAAACATTGAATTTCCCACCACAAATTTGTACGAACTGGAGAGTCGTGTGTTTACTGATCACTGGTCCATCCCTTACAAACGCGAGGAATCGCTGGGCAAGTGCCTGATTGCATCCACGTGCCTCGCACGGCTCGGTAAGTACCATAGAGCATTCATTAATAAGGAATAGCAAAATGTCAGCGTGGCCTACAGTGGGAGTGGATCTAGAAATGGTTCATCTTTTGTCTCCATTGATTTACATCATGGACAAACCTAAAAGGGAGTTAATCGGAACAGTTTATATAACCCTCTCGCTATATATTTCCTGCAATCAGTTATTTCATATAACTGAATTTGTTATTGTAAGTTACAGTAAAACATTTTTAAAAAATGTTGTAGTACAGTTTCTTACTAAGTTCCAGTATCTGACTGTTGCCTTTCTCAGTTGTTTTGGCATTGAGCATTATTTGGTTATTCAACAGTGGGAGTAATATCAGAGGTTTATGATCAGGAGAACCATGGCTGATTTTTTTCCCCTCCTGGCCTGGGGCATTGAGGCCAATTGTAGTTTTCTTACTGCTGTTCTATCTGAAATCTGAGTAAGGATCAAACTTGCAACCTTTTGTGAGGTCTGCGTGCCTCAATGCTCCACTTGGTGGTGCTTTTTCCCACATCTCTGGAGGAGCTGTTGTTCTACATTAAAGAATTTACTAACTGGTCCAAAGTTCTTAGAATGGCACAGGATTCAGTTAGAGTAAAATTCTCTTTTTTGGCAATTGCGGTTTACTAATTTTATGTTTAGTACAGTAGCACAAACATCTATATGGTGTAAATACCAATGTGAATGAGGTGTTTGCTCGTACCTGAATATCATTTTCCCAGGAAATGGGATTTACAACATTAGAAGCACAAGGTTTTACTTTTGTTTTATTAGAGAAAAAAACAAATTGTATCATAGGGGTGTTCTTGATCACTTTAAACTGTCACATTAAAATATGATACTGTTTCAGCTCTTTAAGTTATGACTGCTGTCCAAAGATGTGTAAATTGCTGTATTGCCTCCAACCAGCCATGCCACGGAGCAGCAGGAAGCATGTCCACCCTGTGGTTCTCCTCATGGTGCATTCCTGATCGTGGGCAGAGTTGTCAGATACTGAGCACAGGAGTAAGGGAAAATTAGTGATTACAATGATAGAGGCCTGGGAGCAGATCAGCTACTTACTGGGAAATAAAGCTACTGTATTAATGGTGTAGAATATTATTATATTCTGAATTGATAACTCTATTCTTTTTTAAGAGTGTTTATTATATACACTATACATTTTAACCACTTTTTTTTTATGTCTGATCACTCCAGGTCTTGCTGATGCCGATGAAAATTGCAAACGGTTCATGGACAGGTGTATGCCAGAAGCTTTCAAAAAGGTAAACGCCTCACTGTGTTGTGTGTACATGGTAAAACAGCTTGAGGGGCTTAAATTACAATTCCAACTTGAACTATTATGTATTTTCAAGTTGTCGCAGGTTTTGTTGAGTTAGCCAATTTCATTTCATTTGCCTTAATTTAAAACTGTTCATTTTACAGCAAGTACAATTCTCTTGGGTCAAAATAAATGACTGCACTCAGATGGGTTTCTGCATTTGAAAAATATTACAGTCTTGTATGTTTCCCATTTGGAATGAATGGAAACCTAATCCCTGTTGATTACATTGTAGAAGGTCCTTGAGGGCAGCCTATTGAAATTGGAAGCTTTTGCTCACATTGGTTCCAGATTTAGAAATTGTATAACTCAAAGATTCTTGATGCTTCTCTCTAAATCCAAAATGTGTGCTAAAAATGTGAAAATAAAGAATGCCAGTAGAAGGTGACTGACCTGTTGTTGTCTTTGCCTTTTTGCAGTTGCTGACATCAAGTGCTGTCCACAAATGGGGTACTGAAATCCACGAGGGCATCTACAACATGCTGATGCTGTTGGTGGATTTGGTTGCTGAGCGAGTCAAACAGGACCCAATACCCGTTGGCCTTATGGGAGTCCTCTCAATGGTACATTAGCAATTGTGTTTGAATGTATTGTAATATATACTGTTTGCTATTTCTGGGGGATCGAATTCTACGATTGAGCCTGATTTGTATGGAATGAGCTTTGTGGCCATTGTTCATAGTGCAGCAAATATTATTTCTCTTACTTATGTATGCTGGGTCACTGTTCACATCTATGAATTACAACCCAGAATCTTTTGTAATTGTTGGCAGGTACCTTTGCCTTGGGGGTGTGGGTGCGTTGGTGAAGGGGAAAGAGACAGATGCTATTGAATTCCATTGCAAGTCAAAATTCTTGTGAAATCAAAATATACTTGATTATTTGGTGTTCTCAGGTAAATGGTGGTGCATGGTCAAAGAGCATAGGTGGAAACCTGGCTAGAGAATCATACCTAGAAAGAGAGCAAAAATAGCTCAGAACTACTAGATTCAAGAAGTATCCCAACTGCAGTATTGAGGCTATTCTTTATGTACCGATTTACTCATGCCAATTGTACTTCTAATTGTCCTTTGCGTTTCAGGCTTTCAATCCAGATAATGAATACCATTTCAAGAACCGAATGAAAGTGTGCCAGAGGAGCTGGACAGATGTTTTTGGTGATAGTAAATTATACGCTGTCTCACCACCAGCTAATTTACAGAAGGTGAGTAAGATGGTGCTAAGAAGAGAATGCAGTAAATTCATAAGCATTTAGGGCAATTTGGTAGAATATGTTTATTGAATGATAGCCCTGAGAAAAGGCTTTTGAAACCATAAATGATGCCATGAATGTTATTTTAATGGAATAGACTAGCCATGAATTGTTGATGACTTGAATGTTAACTTCTGATCAATTATCTATTATTCTAGCAGAAACATTTGAAGATATCTGAATTATTGTAATAGTTGTTCTCCAGGAATCTTTGTCCACTTTTTAATGTTTTTTTTTTTTTTTGCAGGAACCACACGGGTGGCTCATAGATCTGGTTAATCGGGTAAGCACTACCTCCTGTTCTACATAGGTCAGCCTGCAGAAAAATCTAAACCATGTGAATAATTCTGTGAGCTCACTGTTTTATTCGTTCTGTCCAGGGATGAATTATCAGTTCTTCATTGCACTGCTTCGACTTCTAACTGGTAGAAGCCCTGGTCATGAGTGGAGAGTGCTATGAAAATCATATTAGACAGTATTGCCTATTATTGTATATTAAGCATGCTTCTCATGGTGATCGATCATTTCTCCCTTTGCCTGCTACGGACATTTCTTGTTAGTTTATCAGAACAAACAATCAAGATATTAGTTTGTTCTGTTTGTGTATACTTCGTTCTTTGTTTGTGTATATCTGGTTCCATATCAGCTCAACGTCTGTGACCATTTTTGTCACATGTCTGGTATATCTACTTGCAGTTTTACAGAGTCTTCTAACACTGACCTTGTTGATAATGATCTGGAGCCGGTGGGGGGGGGAAGAAACTCCGTTATAGCCATATGACTCATGACTCGCTAGAGTTTTGTTAAGAATTACAATTTTAACCAATATCTTGCTTCAGTTCTGGATCACCACAAAGTAATGGGATGTTGAGTTAGAAGTTGAGTTAGCCAGACCTCTTTATAGCATACCTTAATTTGTTTTGAGGAGGGAATTTAATTGAAACTTGCCACATTCAGCCTTCCTTAGCCAAGGAACCTATAAATAGGTGCCTGGTGACCAATCAAGAAACAAGACTAATAGGTTGAATGGGAGAAGAATAGTAAATGGTTCTCATATAATGGATATCACTGCAATCATTGAAACTGTAGGATGGTGCTGTACTTCTGTCAATCAAATTCCCACCTCAGGGAACCAACTAGATCTGGTTTCAATATATATACACCCTGCAGCTCGCTCGGTGGTCAGCATACTGCCTTTATACTGGCCTAATCTAACCGGCTCTGTACATTGCCCTCGGTCAATATGTAGGCTTATATTAAATTACAAAACTGGAACGTACCTTTGTGTGTACATCATCAACATTGAACACAGAGCCTTCTCTTTACCTTTAAATTGACATCCACTGTACCTGCTCAGTTTGCAGTTTTTTTGAGGCTTCACATCAATCCATAAAAGCTCTTACTTTGGAGACTATCCAGAAAATTGAGGCAGATTTCCCTGAAGAGTATACTGGACCTTTCCTTCAAATACCCCAATGCTCAGCTAGATTCCAGGTGGAGATGGACCAGAATAGTTGAGTTCTTTCCATCTGAATTTCCTCACTAGCTGGAGTTTAGTAAAGCTTGTTATCCCCTAATAACTCATTCTAGGGTTCTAATGCTGTAAAAGTCATGTAATAAATGCAAAAAATTGCAGCCTTTATGATGGCGATTAGAGAAAGTACCAACGCTTAACAGAAAGGAATAAGATATGAAAGGAATAATATATGATAGCATATATGATGGTTGGGAGTACAACATGGAGTGTAATTTAGCCACCTGATGGGAGAATTGGAGGAATGTTTAATTTTTTCATTTAGATTGTTTCAACATGAGTAACATCATGCTGTGATTTTTATATTTTAAAAATTATAGTGTTCTGTAACCACCTGATTCTTTTACTTCTATATCAGTTATCAGTACTATTTCAAACTGAGTATCATTTCATATTTTGTTTTATAATCTAGTTTGGTGAGATGGGCGGCATCACAGCAATCAGACCAAACTTGGTACAGAGGATATCGAAACTGCAGTAAGTCATTTTTATACACATTTTCCAAGTAGCAAACCAATACCCTAAGTACCTGGTTACTGTTATGAAAAGGAGCATGTGGTCAAAATGTCAGTTTAATGTAATTTTCCATCATGTTATAGTGTATAGAGCCAATAGGCCACTGGTGCTTTGAAACCATTACCTGCAGTGCTGATTTTAAAATCATTATTTGCATGTATTGACCGCACATGCCTTGGTAACCCTGATCATTTCTTTCTAAGGTTTAACAAAACAAATTGTAACGTTTAATGCCTGTTATTTGCTTCCCATTTGCAGTTTCGTCAATTCTGATCCCTTTCTTTTTCTTAGGCAGTTTCTGCATTGGTGCAGCCGCTGGGAGTGTGTGCTGAGTATTTAAACCCAGCAGTAGTACAGGTGAGCCTTGCCAGAATTCCAGCAAAATAGTTTTGGTGGAGGTGGAGAAAGAAAAGTAGAGTGTAAAATAATTGATCATTCAGAAATAGTGACAATTCATCTCTGGAGAATCTGACAACTATAAATGATGCTGAAGATATTGACATAGAAAATCTGGTGGGCATAGAGGGGAGATGAGTTTTGAGCGCAGTGTTTAATCCACTGAATTGTAAGTTGCTATTACTATCACCTAAGAATACAGCATATTTTGGACTGGAATACAATGTCCATCAATCGATTATTTTGTGTTTGGCAGCCCATGCTGGACCCTGTCATTGATAAGATGATTCGATATGTACAAAGTTTGGAGGAAAAGGATCTAAAAGACAAGGTAACTTGTACAATTGTTTGATTATTTTGCTGAAAAGAATAGTAGATTTATAATGACTGTTTAAGTAAAAGCGCAAACTTTGGGAGTTTTTTCTTTGTGCTGTATGAATGGTAAATATTGAATGTATCTAATGGTGCGTGGATAATGTTGCTGGCCATGGAGGACATTGCTGCTGAGTCAGATCCTGTTCCTGCCCATGTCTACACCTGTGCATTTTCTGAGACTGCTGGATCTTTGAATAGAAATTTCTGTACTCCTTATGTTGAACAGCAACAAATTGTATTTACATAGTGCCTTTCACTTCGGGAGGATGTCCCAAGGCCTGAAGGCTGGAAAACAAAATCTAATAATATGTTTAATCCACAGAGACTGGTGACTATTCCAGAGCTCCTCTCTGCTATTAAATTGCTGTGTATGCGGTTTCAGCCAGACTTGGTAACCATTGTAGATGACCTTCGACTGGATATCCTCCTACGCATGTTAAAAACACCCCACTTCAGTGCAAAAATGAATTCACTGAAAGAGGTAAATTTTCAAATACATTCACATGAGTGTGCTTTTAGGCCTTTAGAGGTTTTTGACCAGCTCCCTTGTTATATTCCTAAATGTCATCTTCTAAATTTTTTCTATTGTATGTTTTATGGACAACGCTATTACTAGGTTTGTGAACAGTAGCAGTTTTAGGGGTCAGTACAGTAAAGTCCTGTTATAATGTAGTTTATAATATTTATAAAAATCCAACCCACCTTACAATAGGACTGTGATCATTGGTGAGGACTTCTTCATTCACTGTACAAGTGAGCTGCTGACGGACTCACTTTGTCGGCAACTGTTTGAGATTTCCTTTTGTCAAGAATAGAGTATTCGCTATTCCCAGAGGGGTACACTCTGCGTACCCAATCCTGGAAAGTCCCGGGCTGTTGATTTATATGCTTGACTTTCCATGCAGCTAATTAAGTCTTATTGAAGCTTTTAAAATGTGTGGATCTTCCTAAATGGCAAGAGGGTATGAGTTTAGCATCAAAGCATGATTGAGCTGAAATTGGGTTGTTGTGGTTCCTAATCAGGAGGATAATGTAAGTGGTTGATACTGTTTTCTATTCTCGTTGCATTTCACTGCAGGATTAATGCACATTAAGCATTAAATGACAGCTTTCTTGGAGCTAGGCTAATGCTTGTAAATCTGCATTGAAGCAGCAGCCCATACTTGACCTCAGGGCTGTTTTTGAATATTTGAAAAGGTGATTTACATAACCTCTCAAAAGAAAAGCAACACTAAGACATAACTGGAATATCTTCATTTTATTCTTCAGGTTACGAAACTGATCGAAGATAGTACATTGTCAAAATCTGTGAAAAATGCAATTGATACAGATCGGTTGTTAGACTGGCTGGTAGAAAACTCAGTACTATCAATAGCACTTGAAGGTATTGTATATTTTAACCAGACAATTTCAGAATTTTAAATCATTTAATTTGCTGTACTTTTAACAAATTCACATGTTTTGTTTTCACCTCTGCAGGAAACATTGACCAGGCACAATACTGTGACAGAATAAAAGGAATTATTGAGCTCCTCGGTAGTAAACTCTCCTTGGATGAACTTACTAAGATCTGGCGCATACAGGTATGCAGTGGAGGTAAACTCCAAACTCCTATTTGGAAGCTGCTTGAAAGATTTTATTTGGAGTATTTTTTTCCATCGTTAATTTCAAAGCAACTTCTCATGAAAGGTCCTCTCTCATATTCTGATGATGCTATCCTTTTTGTGGGTGGGTGGTGGGGAAGATGCTGAGGTGTAAGCACTGTAATGCTTTGAAGTGGAATGTTTGAGACTCCAGTTTGGTTGGTTATTTAAATTGATCACATTGTTTTGTGTCAGGCAGGGCAATCGTCAACTGTTATTGAAAATATCCATACCATTGTTGCTGCGGCTGCCGTGAAGTTCAGTTATGACCAGCTTAACCATCTCTTTTTACTGATACAGAAGGTAAGTGCTGAGAACTGCTATACTAATTTGTAAGTGTGTATTTGCAGATTGTGTGGATTTGCATTTGGTTTATGTTCAGTAAAACTGAATATGAAGTTCAGAGCAGGCAATTAAAGGTTTCTCGATTAGCATTTTACCAAGCTACCATACTGTTCCCCTGCCTCTCCTATCGGAAGCATAATAATTCCTTCAAAAATAATGATAATAATTTGGTCACTTAATCCACGACTGTTTGTGGGACACTGCTGTGCGCCATTAGCTGCCACTTTTCGCCCACGAAACATAGTCAATTCACTTTACAGTACATTCTGTGAAGCGCTTTGAGGTGTTTCGAAGTTGTGATCAGCTGCTATATGAAATGCAAGTATTATTATTTAATATTTTGGTTATCTCTGATTCAGAATCGCTCTTATAGTCCCACCTCTGTGGTTAGTTAATAGGAATAAGGTCAGTTAACTCCCATTAGATTCTATTAACAGAATATTTTTACTCTCCATCTTGTGTTTAGAGTTGGGAGATTGAGAGTGACCGAATTCGGCAAAAACTGCTCAGCCTTATAGGAAGGATTGGCCGAGAAGCTCGTTCAGAAACTACAACAGGAAAGGTAAGAATAGAAAATCAGGTAAATGTTTAACATGGACTTTTTAATGCTCCTCCAAGCCATTGAGTAATGAATAGTGCAGTTGAGCTGACGTGTCTCTTCACCTATAGTGGTGTGCAGATGTAGCCAGAGGATTATTCACCTTCTCCGCCCTTCTCAACTTAATAAGTTGAGGAGCTCATTTTGTGGAAATATTGGGCGTGAGTCTGTTCTACCACAAAACCATGCTGCTGCATGCATACTGCTTACAAAGGGGACATTGTATGTATCATAATTGTTTTCCTGACAGTTTTAAGCAGTGACTTCAGATTGGCAGAGATCCAAAAATGAAGCATTTGTGTAACTTTCCAACTATATGGTTGTATGATTCTGCCTTTAAGTGCTCCGGGACGCTACCCCACCTGAAGGACGCCATATAAATGCAAGTTTTTGTTAATGCAATTTAGCTACTATGCTTAATAATAATAATCCTTGTATTTGATATAGCGCTTTTCACGTCGGGAGGACATCCCAAAGCGCTTCACAGAACACACTGTAAAGTGAATTGACTGTATATTTGTGGGCGAACGCGGCAGCCAATTGCGCACAGCAATGTCCCACAAACTGTCGTAGATTGAAAATGACCAATTTATTATTGTTTTTGGTTTTGGAGGATTATTATTAGGCTCTGTGTGGAGTAAGGAAACTTGCCCAAGGTTTCGCCCTCTGCCTGGAATTGAACTCGGGTCTCTCGCTTGCAAACCAAGTGCTCTAATCACTGAGCTACAGGACTCCACTTAAGTACAGTAGATTTTCTCTTTTCCACAATGCATCAGTCAGAGCCAAGGGAAGGCCTTCCTGTTTCTCCCAATAACTTCTGTTAGCAAAATTTTTTTTGGCATTTGAGGTTGATTTCAGAACTCTGAACCATTGTGCTAGCTTCTGTCTTTTGTTTCATGGATTCCTGCCAATTGCAGAGTGTGAATCCAGAGACACATTGCAGAGGTCAGTGGCTTGAGTTTGCAAAGCACATCTTGGCTATAAAACTGAATCATGCTCGACAGTTGTTGCATTGTGCAACTTTAAAGCTATGATCACAGATTCTTAGTGCAAGGTTATTTTTGTTATAAGTTGCATTTTTCTGTAATGCTGCTCAACCTTTTCAGTCATTGGGTGAATTCCTAATCTAAGTATAGTATAAGACCATTTTTTAAAAAATTTCTTAGTTTATATGTTCTCACAAAGCATTTGTGGAGCTTCTGGCAGGAGAGTGATGTGTCCTCTACCAAAGACCTCTACATAAAGTGTAAATTCTAGTTTGCGGTCATTTTAATGGAAAGTGGAGTTCTACTGATGGTCATGTTAATTTCTCATCAGGCATTTGATTAATATAGTGCTCTTTAACTTGATAAATTAATCTGAGGGCTCGTTGTGTTGTGTTTATTGCAAAAATGTATTTCTCCTCTCCTTCCCCAGGTTCTGGAAGTGCTATGGGAACTTGCGCATTTACCGTTACTACCCACAAACTTAGTCCAGCAGGCACTGGAGGAACATCTCACAATACTCAGTGAAGCATATGCAGTGAAGGAACAAATCAAGAAAAGCTACATCATCAAATGTATAGAAGATATTAAGAAGGTAAATTTGCAGGGATTTAAATTATCAATTTTCCCTTTCTTGTTTGGTTAATGTATAATAAACCTCTTGTATGCATATGGTTACTGTTTAAATATATTTAAGTACCTCGCTGATTGGATTGGCTGTGAATTTATCTTTGTCTCAAAGTTATGACTGAAGTGTGACCTGCTGCTGATGTTGACAATAAGCAGCATATCAACACAATAATTGTAATTTAGAGCAGTCTGGTTATTGACTATGGTTTGATTCCTAAATTCATTGAAGCAATAACTGATTTTTAAAATCAAATGATTAGTACTGAATGTTTATGTATCATGAGAATGATTGACATGATAACTCCAGTTTCCATTGACTATTCATACTAAATGGTTTTTTGTTCTTGTGGTAACTTTTCTACCTCTCTTCCTTCAGTGTTCAATGTTTTTTTTAAACAAGCAAGCATAAAATCCCCAAGTCAATTATAGATCTGTGTAACTAAAGCAGTTTTCAGTTCAATGGCTAATTCTGGGGTATTAAACATTTTGGCTCAAATGCAATCTTTATTTGAATATGTATTTGTAGCTCTGGAGCTTTTTAATGCATCAGATGAGACTAGTCCCTTCTGACATAATCAAAATGACCTTGGCTTGTATGAATCTATTATGGTATGTATTTTGTTTTCCTTAGTCATCCCAGCAAAGTAACCAGCAGCCAGTTTGGGTGGTTCCAGCTTTGCGTCAACTTCATGAGATTACTAGGTCCTTTATCAAACAGACCTATCAGAAACAAGATAAGGTAAATGATTTTCACTAATCCTAATTTTTTTNAAACAAAATCGTACTTCTGATGGAGCCTAGAGTGAACATGTAATGACAAAGTGGGGTAGAAGAGATCTGCATTAGATCCACAACATTGTACAGATTAGTAGAACAACCATTTTAATAACTTATTGCTAGTAAATCATTTGCTGTGATCATTTTTTAAGTTGAATTCACTTATATTCTTGATAAAAAGTGATTATTAAATTGAAGCTGGTTCTAAACCCCCACCCCCCCCCCAAAAAAAAAATCCTAGTATTTTGTGTTGTGGTTGTCTAGAGCATCGTCCAGGATTTGAAGAAGAACTTTGAAATCGTGAAGTTGGTGACTGGGAGTCTGGTAGCATGTCATCGACTAGCTGTTTCTGCAGCAGGCCTAGCAGGGCTTACAGGCTTGACTTTGGTAGATGGCAGATATACCCATCAGGAAGTAAGTATTTCACAGAATGAGTGGGCATTGTGCAAGATTTGTCTGTTCCTGATGTCATTGTTATGTGGATAGATTGTGCAATTCAAATATACTTACGTACATAAACATTTTTTTATTGTGTGTATAGTATATACACACACATGTCTGCATAATGAATGGTCCCTAGTTGCAATGCTTCTTGTGCAACCGCAACAGGCCGAAGCCATTAAAGTTTAAAGACTCATTAGAAATTCTCTTTAAATAAATCACTATCTTCTGAAATCAATTAATCTTACGCCTGAAATCTTGACTGAATTATGCAAGTCTGATGTCAATTGTACAATAATTATACTCAATCTTTTCTAGTATGAAGTGGTTTTGCTTAGCGTTTCCTACAGGTCTTTCTGCTTTTCTTGCAAAGGAAGTACACTTTCTAGTTCAGTCAAGTAATGATCTACTCTCAAATATGCATTCATTAGTCAGTCGGCTGTTTTACGGCTACCAATTCAGTAAATTCCTTGAGGGTAACTGTTTATAAAAAAAATTGCACTTTTCTATAGGATGTTGTGTAATTTCCTAATTTTTTTTTCTTCCCACAGTACCTGGAAGCTCACCTGAAGTTCCTTGCATTTTTCCTTCAAGAAGCCAGCCTTTACATTGGCTGGAATCGGGCCAAAGAAATCTGGGAATGCCTGGTTTCCGGACCTGATATTTGTGAGCTGGATCGGGAGGTAGATCTTTTCCCATCTTCCGTCACTGTGTTATTCAAAGCTGGATGCACTGTAAAGCATAGTGACTGTAGGCAAATGCAGCAGTCAATTTGCACACAATGTCCACAATTTGCACAGAAATGTACTCACATGTCCTTGAATTGAATGACCAATTTTATTTTGGGGAATTGTTAACCAGGATACTGGGAGGAATTCCCTTCTCTTTTCAAATGGTGTCAAGGGATTTTTAATGTCCACGTAAAAAGACAGATGGGTCATCAGTTTAATGTCTCATCCGAAAGATGGCACCTCCTACAATACAACAAACCCTCAGCACTGCATTAAAATGTCAACCTAGAGCTGAAAGTCCTGACTTCAGGCTTGAAACTTCAACCTTCTAACTCTTGAGGCGAAAGTGCTACCAAATGAGCTAGACTGAGGTCTAATGTCAGATGAGTGTTTCTTCTTGGAAATTGACCACACTGCAGATGAATGGGCATCTGCAGAATAAACCACTGTTATCTTTTTGAAAAAATAGTATTTATTTATTGATGAATTGCCTCTAAATAAGCATCACATTTTAGAATCTACTCCACGAGGCCATTAATAGGCAATAAATACAGTAATGGATCAAAATCTTCTCTTTTACTCAGCCAGGTAATATTGCTGGTAGAAGTTCAAACTAATTGGGCTGATTTATTGCTGGCTAAATTAGTTTAGGTTTCTACCTTAGTAGCTATAGTCTAGGGACAAATCTGCTCATGCTAGGAAACAATCATTCATACTGATTTTAAGTACTCGGATTTGTATTGAAAGAAACTTTTTTCGAATTATGCTCTGGATTGGTAACATAGTTCAGAATCCATGGCATATAAAATCATGGATACGGACCCATAGAGTAAAAATATAAAGTGGAGATCAGAGATTGCTGGAAAGTTTTTCTCTCTCTCTCGTGCAGTGAAGTGGAAGGGTAGGAACTATTTTCATACATCAAATGTTTGGGACTTTTTACACTCTGCATGGCGGAGGATAGATGTACATTTTAATAATGAACCCTTTCTGCCATTTCTCTCTCAGCTGTGTTTTGAATGGTTTACCAAAGGACAGCACGACCTTGAGAGTGATGTGCAACAGCAACTCTTTAAAGAGAAAATCCTCAAGCTGGAGCCCTACGAGATCACCATGAATGGTGGGTCATGTACAGTTGTGCTTTTGCCCAGATTAACATTATCCTGTACCTGAATGCTTGATTAGGTGAGCGGTGTTGATGTGCTGTCCATGTGGTCAGTACCAAAGAAGTCGTCTCCGCTGTAGAGAACCTGCTGTTAGGTATTGTAAACCATTTGCAGCACAATCCTGAATGCCCCTATGTTGCTGAAGAGAGGTACTGAGCAGAGACAATGCAATATCTGAGGACGAACAACTGAGATCAGAACTTGTCTAACGTACTTCCTTCCTTCATTCCTTCCTCTAGTATTAATGGAAGCTTTAGAACTAATCTCCAGTCCATATTGTTGTACAGGCAAGATGCAAAACCCTGTCAGAAGTTCCATTCTAGTCAGTAGAGGAGCTCATGTTTTTTTTCAAAGGTAAATCTCTTGGTAAGATTTAGTTGCAGTTGAGTTGAATTTGTGATAAGGTGGATTGCCTGCACCGTGTAGAACTTATATTTGGATCAATGGGGAGTATTCAGGGCTCAGTACCCAGCTGTTCTACAAATTTACTCTGGCTTCCTTTTTATAGGGTTTAATCTCTTCAAAGCTTTCTTTGAGAATGTAAATCTATACGATCATCGATTAAAACGACAAGGGACGCAGTTGGTAAGATATCTTTTCTGCTCCTAAGATGATGGTTGTGCTTAAAGTATTTAAATGTTTATAATAATTCTTCTGATTTAGAATCCTGTAAAGTCTGGGTATTAGAGGGTGAGGAATAGAGTATATTGACTGAATCATAACTTTTTATGTCTCGTTCTCCCATTTTGTATTCCTGCCTTCTTTCAAACCTGCAGTGTGTAAGAGCAGTGAAGGTTGGCTTGTATTTGTACTTTTTCTTCTGGCGAGGAAATGCTTTCACAACCTCATTGCAGACCAACTAATGCGGCTAATAAACAAATGCACTTAAGCGCATTGCTGTGTTACGTTATCTTCCAAAAGCAGCTTTGTTTTGAATGCTGAGATTGTCCTTGTAAAGAATGCACATTTATTTCTGTTGACTCGTAATGTGAAAGGAGTTCCTGCAAAAACATGCGACATAAGGGGTGGGGAAGGGATTGATACTTGGACAGGAACCATTAACCCCTGTGACCTGGTGTTTCTGATCAATAGCACGTAGAAAAGCTTGAGCTAATAGGAATGGACTTTATCTGGAGAATTGCCATGGAGTCGCCGGATGAAGAAATTGCCAATGAAGCAATTCAGCTGATTATTAATTACAGCTATATCAGCCTAAATCCCCGACTAAAAAAGGTACGAGTCCAAGTGTCCGTGTTGCATGAGTGGTATAAATTATGTAAATAGCATTTCAGGATAAAGCATTCACCTATATATAGTTGGGGAGGGAGGTGTTTCTGTGGCAGTCATGCAAGCGCACTATCCTATTGCTACACCAACTTGCATTTATACAGCACCCATCGCACAGGGTTGCATCCCAGAGCGCTTGACCGTGGCGGAACACGACTCTGAGCCGGGGGGAGGGTGGGGTGACCATGGTTGCGGTTGAATAGGAAGGTCTTCAGGCACAACCTGAAGATGGGGAAGGAAGGGGCAAAGCAGAGGGATAGAGGAAGAGTCTTCCAGAGTTTCGGGACATAGTGGCTGAAAGCGCGGCCACCAATAGCGGAACAGAGGGCACGAGGGACAGTCCGAAAGCCGTCTCTTCTTCCCCCCCCACCGAATGATCCCAACCATCTTTTCATTCTAGCATTAAGCTGTTTCTTAAATGAATCCAGGTCCTGGCCTCAAACTACTTTACATTCCATGTGAAGATGTACATCCTGGTGTTTCTCCTAATCTGCCTCTTCACACTCTGTCCTCTGAAAATACAGAATTTGGCTCACTTTCTCTAATGCAGTGAGGAATTATACAGTTTGAAAGCAGGAGAATTTAGCTTCAGATACGTAACTTGTCGAGTCTGTCAGTATGAAATAATGGATAAATCCACAACTAATCTTTTTTATTATGCTTTTATTTTAGGACTCTGTTTCACTGCATAAAAAATTTATAGCAGATTGCTACAAGCGCTTGGAAGTAAGTGGAAATTTTTGTATGTTTTTAAAAAAAATTGATTATTTAAAGTATCTTTGTACATTTTGTCTCTTTCTTTCCATTTTAGGCTGCCAGTTCAGCTCTAGGAGGCCCAACTCTGACGCACGCTGTTACTAGAGCAACCAAAATGTTAACAGCTACAGCTATGCCGACTGTGGCTACATCAGTGCAGTCACCATCCAGGTAAATAATCCAAGTGTCTCATAATCCCAGCATTTTCTTGTCATACATGCACCTGTTGATACAGATTTTACTTGAATATTCAACTACCCTTATTCCATCGGTGTTAAGGGTGAGAATGTCTCTTCCCCCACCTCCCCATTTTGACAGAACTGTCTCATCACTTGCATTGTGTTCATTCGTAATTGCAGGTCAACTAAACTGGTCATCATTGAGCGGCTGCTGCTGCTTGCAGAACGATATGTGATCACAATAGAGGTGAGCTACCTGTTAAATGTTTTTGAGCTAAATCTGAGATGCGTAAGAGCCTTGCTTCCAGGCATTTGCCAAAATTGCTTTTGTAACTGGAGGCTCATGTTAGTGCTGAGGGTGTTGGTCCCTTTGCCTTTATTAATTGCCCTTTGTGAAGAAATTGTTTTCAATTTGTCTCCGTTTAGTGCTCTCGTTGACTTTGTTTTACTGTTTTGTAACACATCATACTGTTTCGCTTTATGGAGATGACTTTTTGTGGTGTTAAATAGAGCAACAATCATGAAACTGACATCAATGCCTCATAATTAACTGCAGAGGCAGCGAGGAAGAATTTCTTAGTTTTTAAAACTCCTCAGTTATTTTATGCTCAATTTGAACTTCAGCAACAATTCATTTCAAATTCTTTAGTTTATGAACACTTGTGTATAAATGCACAAACTCAGTTTTTACATTATAATTTTTGGAAACCGAATAAGATCGCTCCTGCCCTGACCCTCCAGGTAGCTTAATTTTATTTTGGTGATGTGCTGCATGTTGTGTTAAATTTGTGACCATCTTCTGTGCAGGATCTGTACTCTGTTCCTCGGACTATCCTACCTCATGGTGCCTCCTTCCACGGACATCCTCTAACACTCACCGTTATCTGTGAGTCCACAAAAGACTCCTTTAGTATAGAGGTTAGTGGTGTGACATTTCTGCTTTGATTTGTCTTTAAGTGCTCCGGGACGCTACCCCGCTTGAAGAGCACTATATAAATGCAAGTTGTTGTTATTTCCAATTTTCCTCCTTGCCAGACAGTTCTTTTTTAAAAAAAAAAGACAAATGCTGTGTCCCACAGGAATCCAGGTCTTCTCTCTGCTCTGAAACTGGTATGATTTTTGCCCTGTTCTTGTGTGTCCTTTTGCCATACAATAATTGTGAGGGTAATTGAGTAATCTGCCTCCAAAAAGTAAATGGAAGTCTCCAAACAGTGAATCACCAGGGCCATCAGCCCTATTTTGTCAACCGCGCTATCATGCCCAGGAAATGTACGTATCCTTTTGCTGGCCTCAAATTAGCTCCAAGAATTCCTTGTAAATCAGAAGCTTTAATTCCAATCCCCCCCTCAATTGCCCTCTGATACTCTGTCAGAGAAACCTTTCATGAGTGTTGGCAGGTTATTCAACTGGATGGGAAGAGACATCGGAGCTGAGCTTGATTCTGCCATCTGAGCACTTTCCAGTAGGGATTGCTGGGAAGTGCAGATTGGTTGCAGATGGCCTGGGTCATTTTGTCTCTTTCCAGGATTGTGCACGACTGCTGCTGCTTATATAGCAATAACAGTGGGTTATGTTCTCTGTTTTTAGGCTCATAGCAATGAGACTGTTGGGAGTGTTCGGTGGAAGATGGCAGAGCATCTCAGCTGTCCTGTGGACAATGTGCATATATTTGCCAATGACAGTCTGGTGAGTCAACCAACAATTTTTCGGGAAGAGTTGGAAAGTTCACAGGATTCAAAATACTCACTGTGTCCTGTGGAGCCTGAAACTACAGCTTCAAATAAAAACTAAATATGTTTTTGTTTTCTTTCCAGCTGACCATGAACAAAGATCAAAAGCTTTTGCATCAACTGGGATTTTCAGATGAGCAAGTACTTACTGTAAAGACACCTGTAATGGGAACCCCTTCGGGCACATCAGTTGACCCGTCAGCCAGTGGCAGCAGCAGTGTCTTCAACTCTGCTTATGCTATGGAACAGGTAATGAAAACCATAGAGTTCATTAGACTTGGATATTTTGACCCAAGTTACCAATACTGTAATTAAACTCTGCAATTCAATTTTTTTTTGCCATTCGGTACACTGGTTGGTTCTGACCCTTGTTCCAAACACCAGTACTTTTCCTGTTTCTACTTGGTGAATGAAAACATCTGAGGCACATAGCTGTTCTTCTCACTGATGTAAAATTATCATGTATATGAGAGATTTGAAAGGGAAGGGCTGCAGGTTGGTCCTACACTTTACATGTGAAATGGAATCTATTCAACAGACTGTTCCAACTAGAGCAGGTGGTCCAGAGCGCCCCAAAGTTGTTCAGTGTTGGACTTTCTGAGGAATCCAGACCTTGTTCCTTAAGATTTTTACTTTCAGTCCTAAAGATAAACAAACTGGAATGGTTACAGGACAGTGGAACATATCATCATCTAATGAAGATTAGAATAGCTGGAGCTTGTTGTTATACACGCATGCTGATGGTCATAAAATGTTACACTTATGAAAAGTATTTTTTGTTCCCATAGTCCTGTTTTTTTTTTAGTTCAATGGGACTTTTGTATTTTCCTGTTGAATCATCTTTCAGCAGGGCTCAGTTGGCTTGTGTTTGCTTTGGCAAAATCATTGTGAGCAGATTCCTGATTTTGTTTTGTTTTTATCTTGCAATAGGAGAAGTCTCTGCCTGGGGTAGTGATGGCACTGGTGTGTAACGTATTTGATATGCTTTACCAGCTTGCCAATCTTGAGGAGCCACGGTGAGAATGCAGCTTTTGGTTTTACAAGTTTCAATTATTAGAAAAGGATAAAAAAAGTGATTCATTATTTTTGTGGCATGTAAGAACAACTTTGGAATAAGCCTGTTTCCTTCCTCCTTCTCCACCCCCTCCTAACCTTAGTGGGCAAAGTGTCTGAGCTTCAAACAGGCACTGCTTAGTAACTTAGTGTAAAATTCCAATATCAAGAGCCTCAGGCTTTGCAGTACTTTGCTACCCTGTGATTGGCAGTAAATGGTCAATCTTCAAGCTCTAGCTGAATAAAAATAAGACATTATAATTTAACAGCTCTGAATGCAAGCACACCGGTCTACCTTTCACATATTAAAATACACCAACTAAATTCTAACCCAGTAAAGACAAACATTTGGTTTAAATTGTACTCAAGTCATCCTTGATGCTTGTCCATCTTTTAGGATAACCCTACGGGTTCGAAAGTTGCTGCTACTAATTCCAACTGACCCTGCCATCCAGGAAGCCCTGGATACACTTGATGCTTTGGGCAGAAAGGTAGGACATGACAGCTGAATTTAGTTGCACTTATTCTAGTATTTTCCTTTTTTTAAAAAAAACTTATGCAGAGAGCAATGCAGACACAGTGATTTTGATATTGAAGGTTTTGTTTCTATAGCAAAAAACCCTGCTGACAGATTCTTCCAGTCATCAAGCTTCCAAGTCCCCCTCGCTTTCCTCCAAGCAACAGCACCAGCCAAGTGCAAATACCATTCTGGAGAGTCTGTTCCGATCATCTGCACCAGGAATGTCCACCTTCAGAGTGCTGTATAACCTTGAGGTACGAGTTGCTCGTTTTTTTTTGGCAGGGGGAGGGAAGAAATGGAATCTTAATGATGCAATTTTGGGACGTCGCGGTACTTACTGATGTCAAAACATGATGTGACCGAGGTCTGGTTTCTCTCCAGTACGTAGCCCAAGGTAATGAGTGAAACTTTGGAGAGGAGAGGTCTGGGGGAAGATGAAACTTTCACACCTGAGACAGATCCTGTTTATGTTCAGTGTTCACACCTATTTATCATTATTATTAAATATATATTACATTGAGGGTTTTGGATAACAATTTTGAGCATTTCTAGTTTTTCAGCATCCTGACCCGGTGTGTTGAGCCCAATTCTGTTCAGTTGTGGGAATGAAGTTCAAGCAAAAAACGGGCAAACTAAAATGTTCCTGTTCTATGTAGGTTCTCAGTTCCAAGCTGATGCCCACTTCAGATGACGAGATGGCAAGAAACTGTGCTAAATCTTTCTGTGAAAACTTCCTCAAAGCGGGAGGGCTGAGGTACATTTGCTGACTTTGCATTTTCATCTCTTCACAGCACCTCGCTTAAAACAAGTCCTGCAATTAAATTCAGTTTGAAGTGCACTTCTTTCAAATGCCAGGTGTTTCAGTAGTTATGTTGATTGTTAGCTGAGCAAATAACTTCACTTCCTATGGAATAATGTGGTTTAAGCAAACTGGTTCAAGCTTGGATTTATGAGTCCTTATTGAAAGCTGTTTTGGACTCTCGTAAAGAGGTTTATATCTTAATTCTTAACACATCAGCACTTTGGTATTTTGTGACTTATCTGGATGAGTTCAAACTTCCTGCAGCTGAATGTGGACAAGATGGAAGCCATACTCCTTGGCTCCTGTCAATGTCTTCACTCCTGGGCTCTCCCTCACACTCACCGAGCCAGTGCGCAATCTAGATGTGCAATCCAGCTGTCCTTCCTTCTCCACATCTGGTCCCCTAACCAGGACCCCCTTCCTTCACCTCCGCCACATTGCCCACCTCCGACCATACCTTACCCTGAATGTAACCGATAACCTTGTGCGTGCGTTTCTCATCTCCCGCTTGGATTACTCAAACGGACTCCTCACCGGTCTCCTGAGCTCCACTATTCACAAGATCAGCTCATTCAGAACTCTGCCGCCCGCATACTGACCTGGACCAAACTCCGTACCCACATCTCACCAGTTCTGGCCCAGGCTCCATTGGCTCCCCATCGCCAAACGGATCGACTTCAGGATCCTCACACTCGTGTTCAAATCCATTCACTCCCTGGTACCTCCCTACCTCCCCGACCTCCTCACTCCCCAATCCACCACATGGTGACTGCGCTCGACTGGCACCGGCCTCCTGCTCGTCCCTCGCATCCTCCGCCCCACTGTCGGAGGTCGCACTTTCAGCTACTACGCTCCAAAACTCTGGAATACTCTCCTTCAATCCCTTCGCCTTGCCCCGCCTCTCCCCTTTTTCAAGTCCCACCTGAAAACCTTTCTCTTCGACCGTGCTTATGACCAGCCCCCAGCTCGGAGTCAGGTTTCGCCATTGTTAAGCGCTCACAGAAACACTACCCTGCGTGCTATATAAGTGCACGTTGTTGTGATCTCTGAATGAGATTGCTATGTAATTGTTCTTAAATAATTTTGTTTGGAAAATGCCCTCAAATGTTTATTATAGATGTTAAAAGAACATATTGCTATTATCAAATGTCACCCAGGGAACGCATAACTCGAGTATTATTCCCACTTTGTGCTTTTCAATAGAGGCTAACAACATTTTCTCTTGATTCTAGTTTGGTAGTGAATGTAATGCAGAGAGATTCCATTCCATCTGAGGTGGATTATGAGACGAGGCAGGGAGTGTACTCGATCTGTTTGCAGCTTGCAAGGTGAGAGCCACTTTCTGTTCACTCACAGAATGGGTAGCGTGCTAATTATCCAACTAGAACCTCCATTTCCACCTTTGCAGGACATGCCTACAATTCCATGTATGCCTTTAACCAGCCTGTCTCCTTTGAGGTTGTTCAGTTCCAGCGAAAACCTGTTGCCAGTTGGCTGTTGGTTCAAAGATGCACTTTTTCATTTATCAGCAGAGTTGGCAGGAGCCTGACTGTGTTTTTAACCTTCACCAGGTTTCTATTAGTTGGACAGACTATGCCTTCTTCTCTGGATGACGATTTCCTGAAGGATGGAATGGAAGCCCTATCCTCCCGGCCGTTCCGTAATGTTAGCCGGCAAAGCAGCCGTCAGCTGTCAGTGTGTGGGAACCAAGACAAGTCCACAATGAGGCAGATTTCTTTGACGTCAGACAGGTCATCCATCCGGATTGAGGAAATTATACCTGCTGCTAGAGTAGCAATACAGGTGTGTAAAGTTGATGGCTTTTCATTCGTTTTGTGCGATGTTTGCGATTTGTTTATCTCTTGATGCAAATGTTCATTTACATCTTAAACGTGTTATGTGCCTGAAAGGGAAATATGTCATCTCTGGCTGTAACTTTGCCAATTTTTCTTGTGGTTGGTGTTTGATTTCTTGCAATAAATTGTGCACGTTTGTTGCACAAAGGTGTCTTAGTTTATAGATCACTGTAAATCTCCAGGGCAGAATACACTACACATACACCAGCAGGATGTCTGTTAGCAAATCTGTTCTACAGCAGGAGAACAGAGTTTACTATTAAACTAAATGGATCAATATGTTTGACAGAGACATATAATTATATATGGAGCGATACAGCACAGAAACAACCATTTGCCCTAACTAGTCCACGCTGACATTTAACTGAAAGTATTTGTTGCCTTCCAAACCAATTCAGCCTTGTCCACCTGTAACAACACTCAACATCTGTATTTTTCTAAATGTTAAGAATTGCCCCATCGTTCCTAAAAGAGGGTGAAGATCTTAATATTTGTTCTCATTGTTGTGGTCACTCCTGACTGTGTACTACTTTGGGTTCCTATTAATCATGTTTAACTTGCTCTCTGGCTTTAAAACCTGCAGACAATGGAAGTAAATGACTTCACCTCGACAGTGGCGTGCTTCATGCGGCTCACCTGGGCCGCAGCGGCTGGACGCCTTGACCTGGTCGGGAGTTGCCAACCGATTAGAGAGAGCACCAACTCCCTGTTTGCTGTTGGCGTTCGAAGTCGGCTCAGCAGTTCAGGTAAAGGGATGGGGGGGGGTTTCATCTGTACCTCCTGTCATTTATCATATCCTTCCCTTGATACACGATGGACTGTGGCAATGATGCTGCTCTTGAGATGGCAACATAAGTGTACAACTTTGCGGAGAATAAAGTTACCAGGGGTTTACTGTACTTCCGTATTCATTATGATGACTGTCTTACAGGCAGTACGGGCAGCACTGGAAGTGAAGGAGAATCGACGACACTTCACGCCGGGATCTGTGTGAAGCAGCATTCAGTCTCCACCAAAGACACCCTCATTGCTCGAGAGGCCTTATCTCTTCTGGTCACTTGTTTACAGCTTCGGTGCCAGCAATTAGGTATTTGCACTCTTCTACTGTTTGCTATTTGAAAATGTCAGTCAATTAAATGTAAGTTTCTGTTTCCTTATCCTGCACCAAGAGTTCTGAAAACTCCAAGAAGATGCTACTCCTATTGTCTGCACAGTATTTGATTTATTCAATTACTCTTACTAAAAATAATTATAATGTCAGATCCTTAACTGTACATTACATTGTAATCCAAAATGGTCAGTCAGTCCATTTTTGCAGATTCTTTTATAAATGTAACTTTCTCATGTTGTCAACTGATGAGAGATTATAGTTTTAGAAATCTATTTTGCTTGCTGGATGAATCAGGAACCTAAATCGAACTGAGCAGAAAGCCACAAGCTCAAATGCTAAAAAGAGGATTATTATAAGAGAAATAGTGTTCAAATATTATTTGTTTGTGGCCTTCAAATGTTGTGGTTTGTAGTCACTGACGTTTAGAAAGCATAAACTACACTTTGAAGAACTGTCAATATATAGTATCCAATTGAGGGGAGCCAACAGCAGGAGGTGAAGCTGTAAGAGCAATGGAACAAGATGGCCTGGTGGATAAGTGGATATGGTGAAGAGTAGACGTAGAGAATATTTAACAATACTGGGTTACAATTTTGCTTCCATTACAAATGAAATTGCAAGAATTCCTCAGTGGGAATCGAGACTTAACTTACAGTTGGCTGTATTGCCAGGACAATGGATGACTAGTTGGCTCGTGTCAGCACCTCAGGCTGTGGCAGCATTAACCTCCTTCAACTCACCAACTCAATCAGGAACCTAGGTGTCTTGTTCGACCTTCAACTGTCTTTTCTTCCCCACATCCAAGCCATAACCTGCTCTGCCTTCCCTCACCTCCGTAACATCGCTCGACTCTGCCACGACCTCAACCCTCAGGCCGCTGAAACTCTTGTTCATGCCTTCACCACCTACAGGCTCGACTATGCAAACGCCCTACTTGTCGGCCTTCCCAACTCCTCCCTCCACAGGCTGTGGATAATCCAGAACTCTGCAGCTCGTGTCCTCTCCCGCACCAAACTCCATGACCCCATCTCCCCCACTCTCGCCCGACTCCATTGCCTCCCTATCCTTCAGAGGATCCAGTTCTAGATCTTGGTTCTCATCTGCAAAGCCCTCCATGGCTTCGCCCCACCCTACCTCTGTGACCTCCTAAACCCCTACGAACCCGCCCGTTCCATCCGCTCAACCGGCTCCGGCTGCTCCACGTCCCCCAACCCACCCTCCCCACCATTGGCGGGAGAGCCTTCAGCCACTCTGCCCTCAACCTCTGGAATTCCATCCCCCAGTCATTCCGCCTCGCTCCCTCCGTAGCCTCCTTCAAGTCCCGCCTCAAGACCTCCTCTTCAACCATGGCATCGGCCACCCCCCCCGACCCCAGCTCTGGTCTGAAATTCTGTACACTGTCCAGCGCCTTGGGACGTCCTCCCAACGTGAAAGGCGCTATACAAATGTAATGTTGTTGCTGTTGTTGGCTCGGTTATTAGTGGTATGGCAGGTGAGATAAAAAAAATTGTCCAGTTGTAAAGCAGTGGTATCAGGGTGGCAAATATTAAAGAATATTTTGTTTTTTTAGGTTCTTTTTATAATCTTCCTTGTGTGAGTGATTTTACCATCGACATTCTGCTTGGGTCTCCCAGTGCTGAGGTAAGAAAGGCTGGGAGATATTCTCTTAGATATGGAATATACTATGCTGTCTTTTTCAATTTTGTTCTTTGGGACTATCTATCCAACATACTGAAGGATAAGTACTGAGCCCACTGTTGGGTACAAATATGACAGTGTTAAGGGCAAACAGGCCATCATACATTTGTACCAAAATTAAGAGTTGGCTAAAGTTCATCCATGACAGAATAAGATGGAGCAGATTCTGCCTAAAACTTAGTATGGAGTTTCAGAAAGTGAGGAAAGATCACCGTTACCTGCCTTTTAATCTCTTATTGAAGAATGATGAGATTATAACCATGTTGCCTTTCTGATTGTAGAATAATTCCAGAGAGTTTAGAGAGGGCAGGGAAATAACTAGAGGAGGGGAACTTTAAGTGCATTCTGAAAGATCGCAATAAAATGGTTCCTGAAAGAATAATGTTTCAGAAAATTAATATTCGAGCAGAGAAAATAGCTGCCGTCTTAGTAACTGGATGGTCATTTGCTCAAGCTTTACTCTTGTCGTTTGATGGTGTTCGGACCTAGATATTAAGTAACCAACCAACTTTTCTTATGGTATCCACTCTGTTTTCATAGAACTTCTATATTAATTTGCATTTCAAAGGTGCAGTCATATTTTATTTCCTTAATGCTTCAATATTCACAGATCAGGAGGGTAGCCTGGGATCAGTTGTATACTCTGAGTCAGACAGATACCTCCACAAACCCAGAAATCCAGAAGCCCAATCAGTTCCTGCTGCGAGTGGTTCTGACAGCACAGCTACCCCTCTGGTCCCCGACCAGCATCATGCGGGGAATCAACCAAAGGTGGGTTTTTGAGTAAGTCAAGCAAACCTTGTGAAATTGTGCCATAATAAAGCTGACATACTGAATTAAAGCATGTTAATTAAGGCATGATGGGCTGAATCGCCCCTTTCTGTGCTGTAATCTACGTTAACATTATCTGCTGCATTGCTTACTACATGCAATTTTTAATTGACGTCTCTATCCCAAATGTCATTTAGATTGCTTTAGACCAAGTGAATGGGAAGGTAGTGTCCCAGGTTTTTACTGCTCTTGACATGGGCAACAAGAGATATTTCTTTAAAAGTTTGTCTTCCCTCCTTGCAGAAAATCACCAGGCTTCAGGTTGGGACCATCTGTCACAACATGTGAATTGTGTAATCTTTATTACAGCTTCTAACAAAACAAGATTTTTTTTGGACCATTGCAAGCAACTTCATTTTTCAAGATCACCCCTTTTAGGTTCTTTCAAGACTTCAGCAAACTATTTTTCATCCTTCTCTTATCCTCGTTACACTTCAACTGAATTGGAATATGTCCATTTCCATTTTGAATGTGTACACTCTGTTGGATGTTTGTAAATTAACACTGAACTAGAACAGATTTAAAATATTGTTACTCGGTCACATAAGTAGTAACCTTTCCAATTTATTTTGCAGGCTTTTGTCCCAGTGCACAGAGTATTTTGGCTTGAGGTGCCAACTGTTGGATGACTTAACATGTAAGTACAACCTTTTGTCACACTTGTGAAGTCTCTACCACTTAAGTGCCCCGGCACACTACCCAGTGTGAAGGGCGTTATATAAATGTAAGTTGTTTTGAAGTGGAAAGACCTTGTTTTTGTCGAGTGTTATCCCCTTCCTTGCTCTCCACCAATTTTTGTCATGATTTGTTTTCAGCTTCCGAAATGGAACAACTGAGCATCAGTCCTGCTGCTATGTTGGAAGATGAAGTTAACTGGCTCGACAATTTTGAGCCCACATGGACTGCGGAATCTGAGACCAGCGAGTCAGATAATGTTCTGCTTGCAGGACATCTGCGCCTTATCAAAACTCTGCTGTCTCTCAGTGGCCCAGAAAAGGAATTGCTCGGTAATTTGAACATTATTTAACCAGCACTAGTAACTGAAATATACGCAGTTATTACTAGTGCTACTCCATGACAGCATTTCATTTTCGTTCTTTTTTTAAAAAAAAGGTAGCAGAATTTATATTTCTGTTTCTGGCCATTCCACAAATGTTAAAAAACACAGAACTCTTGCTTCTAGATATCTATTGCTAGTAGTTTTTTTTAATTACAATCATTATTATGTAGAAAGGAATAATGTGGGATAAAAATTCTGCATTACTTTAAGCTATGAAACTAAGTTTCATTCCCGATTATGTACTCTTGTGCAGTCCTGTGGGGGGGGGGGGGGGGGGGGGGGCGGGAGGGTTTAAGCTTCTCCAGAAAGAAATTAAAGGATAAGTGATGTGAGATAGACACATGGACTGGTGGCGTCTGAGCGAAGAGCTACTCTGGTTGTGGCTTAACATATTCCACTTCAAAATGCTGTAATTGCACAGTTCTAATTTTTTCTGTATGGACAGAATCGCGTGTAGGACAGTTATTGTGCCAATAGGTGGTGATGTGATGCTTTAAATAACTTTGTGAATAACTGCAGATGGGAGGCAACATTCTTTAACGTGTAAGTGTTAGGAATTCTGTCACCTGGATACTCTATGACTCTGGTGCTGCAAATCTCTCATAACAAATACGGATATGTCTTCCACTGTTCCCTCTGGTAACATGAACATTTACTGATGCTGGCTCAAATATTCTTTTTGTTCAAAGACTTCCAATGTAGGCAATATTTCCAGTTGTATTTCAGATTTTTATGCCCTAATGAGTACTATCAATGGATTTGTTTACACAGGCCAATCTTTAATCAAACAGTTGATGGAAGACTTCCTGTTTCGTGCTTCCAAGATCATCTTGACCAGTCACAGTACAGCTGGGAGCCATTCGCTCAGTCAACAAGATTTCCATCCAAAGTATGTGAGATAAGGTTCCTTTGACAATTGTGCTCTTGTCATGTGGCAGTTTCAAATATTTTTATTGGGTTATTTCTTTCCTTCATAGTTGAAAACCTCAAGTATGATAAACTCAAAGGCCCAGCTAGAGATGACGTGTGATAAACACCCCAATTATGGAGTAAGACAGGGGGAGTGGGACTAGTTGGTAGTGCTTTCAAAGAGCTGTCACAGACACAATGGGCTGAATGGCCTCCTGTGCTGTAAGATTCTATGATTTGTGAATTGCCTGCTCTTCTGACCTGTAGAGCTAATTATCCTAACTCAGCACTGGCTAGACTATTACAAAGGCCTGTGTGCTAAACAACTGCATTGCCCAGAAACCTCATTCTGCTTTTCTCCTGCTTTAGGTGTAGTTCGGTAAATAGCCGACTTGCTGCTTATGAGGTGCTGGTTATGCTCGCAGACAGCTCTCTGAGTAACCTCCAACTCATCTGTGGTGAACTTCTCTCAATGCACCATCAGTTTGATCCTGAACTCACAAAGGAGTTTGAGGTAAGATTAGTTACTTGTTTTCTGGAGTTTTATTTCTACATAGTGTGTGATGAAGCCATTAATGTCCTTGTGCTGCAGGCCAGTTTATTGTCCAGTGGTATCGATGCGAATGAGCGATGCATTTGTAAGCTTAGGTGATTCCCATCTTTCTGCTGCCACTGACTGATTTGTCTTGTTTTAAAGGAAGAATTCGAACCCATCATTTACCTTTTCGTTTACGATTCTTAGTTCAACTTTAAATCATTGCAATTGTCTTACCAGCCTGATGTTCAGCCTCAATTTGTCACCGTATAACCATCACTGAGATGGAGAAACTTTGCAAATTATTTGCGTGGTTTTCTTCAGCCGACCTTTGAGTTGGGTCTGAGTATTTAACATTTTATGTGTTTCAGTATTTGCCTCCTGTTGACAACCGCTCGGTCTCTGGGTTTGTGGGACTGAAGAATGGAGGAGCCACTTGCTATATGAATGCAGTGTTTCAGCAGCTTTACATGCAGCCTGGATTACCAGAGGTAAAGGCATTTTCCTATCACTAATTTTAGTGGTCCACTTCCACCAGCATCCTTCTGGTGTTTGAGGTTGGCTTACAACCTGATGTTTGGGTCTGGTTTCACCTATTCTTCTGTACATTTTTTTTTCAGGCAATGCTTTCAGTGGATGATGATGCTGAGAATCCAGAGGAAAATGTGTTCTATCAAGTTCAATCCCTGTTTGGGCACCTGATGGAAAGCAAACTCCAACACTATGTTCCAGAGATCTTTTGGAAGGTTAGCGTGGCTGTAGATCTTTTACTTTTAATTGAAAGTGTAAGCTATTGGGTTATCTTTTATTTTCTAATAAACTACCCAATTCAGCGAGAGGGAATGCAGGTCAGAATCCCAGGAACTCTGCTACTTCGAGGTGTATATTTCTAGCATTCTTTGTTTCATAGACATCAATCTTGTTGATTCTTCAATGTAGAAATGACTAAACAGTTGTGCCTGGATCCACATGCTATGTTAATATTTGTTCATTTTATTTATTTACTTATATATTTTATATACATCTTCTGATAAATCTTGTTTTACATTTCAAATCACATACTGAGATCAGCCATTGCATTCCTTCAGATTGCAGGATATGTAGCTACTGATTTCTGTGATATTTTCATTTTTTAAAAATTTCAGTTATGTTGAATGTTGCTTTGAAAATCAGTAATATAAATGGTATTAATATTTTTGGCACTTTCGTATCCTCCCTAGATCTTCAAGATGTGGAATAAGGAGCTGTACGTGCGGGAGCAGCAGGATGCATACGAGTTCTTTACCAGCTTAATTGACCAACTGGATGAGCACCTTAAGGTGTGTGCGTCATACTAGTTGAGCATGTACAAAGTGTGTGTGTTTATTGTTGTGCAGTTCCTGATGACTCTGTGTCTTGACAGAAACTTGGACGTGAACAGTTTTTTAAGAACACTTTCCAGGGCATCTTCTCTGACCAGAAGATCTGCAAAGACTGTCCTCACAGGTTGGTTCTTTTCATAAGAACATAAGAATTTGCTGGTGAAAGAAGACCAAAGTCCATCCAGTTCCTACCATCCTGGCAATCACTTGACATGTCGTATCCCAAACTGTATACTTTTCCCTCATAGGCTAACACCAGATCTTTAGAGACTAAATTATTTTCTCGAGTACGAAATGATTTGGTTAATGGAGAGTATCACACAGAGAACAAATGATCAGTCTTATTTCAAATCAGCAACCTATTCAAGTTATACCTTTGAAATAGATAAAATAAGCAGAACAAATTGCAAAACTTGGGAAAATATAGAATGAGGAAAATGTTAAACTGTTCTGTTAATGCAATGAAATGAATCTTGAATAACTGCCAAGTTCAGAGCGAACCTGTTGTGGCCATTGATAATATCTGATGTAGTACAGAAGAGTTTACTTTTTCTAATTATCTTGATGTGTAGATATGAACGTGAGGAAGCTTTCATGGCACTGAACCTGGGAGTAACATCTTGCCAAAGCCTGGACATCTCATTGGATCAGTTTGTAAGAGGGGAAGTGCTTGAAGGAGGCAATGCCTATTACTGTGAAAAGTGTAAAGAAAAGGTAAAGTGAAGTATTTTTCAGCTTTTAAAACCAATGGGAGCAGCAATTAAAATGTTCCTCAGTTACAGGTTGTCAGAGCCTTGGAATGTCCTCCTGACATGAAAAGCACTATATAGATGTAATTTGTTGTTGTATAGAGAGTTTTCGATGGGGTTGCTGTTAGAAAATTGCAAAACAACAACAAAATACAAATTGCATTTATATAGCGCCTTTCACATCGGGAGGGCATCCCAAGGTACTGGGCAATCAAGGGTTTGCACCCGAACTGGAGGTTGGAATCAAGAGGGGTGGAGGGCAGGGGGGGAGAGGATAACTAGGCTCTATCAAAGAGGCAGGTGGGGGCCAAAACAGTAATTCAGTAATGTTCTAATCTGCTTTATTTGAGAAATTCTTAAATTTATTCTATTCATCCCCTAATCCCAAATATAAGATATCGTGAATTTTTGGTATTTAGTGTTTTTGCAGGGCACCATCCTTGATCTTACTGCATTTTATTAGTGCCAATAGTAATACTTTACAAGGTTCTATTGCATTGTCGGTAAGAAACTGAAGGTAATGATTCCTTCATAGTACAGGTTTGCTGAGTTGTTTAGCCAAACTTTTAATGATTATTTGACAACCCTGTAAAATTTATTTTGAATCTCTCCGAATTCTTCTTCTGAACTGTCAGCAGATCTTTCAGTGGCTCTTAAAATGAATGAGATGTTTTTTCTCCACAGAAGCCTTAATGTTACTTTTCTATTTTCCCCTTTCAGAGGACAACAGTGAAGCGGATGTGTATCAAATCATTACCCAACGTGTTAGTCATCCATTTGATGAGGTTTGGATTTGACTGGGAAAGTGGACGTTCAATCAAATATGATGAACAAATACGAGTAAGTGTCATCTATGGTACTGCCAATTCTACACCCAATTTGTCTTGACAGCCCATGTAGACTCTGCACCAGGTTTACAATACTAAATAGAAAACATTTGCCCATTGGTGCTAAGTCTTTAAATTCGATGTCCATTTACTGTAATGTTATTAACAAGTCCATGGATTTGTTGAAGGTTTATGATGTTGCTATGTCTGCCTGCCTCCCACAATTTGTTTTCCATGTTTATGAAAGATTGAGATTTCAATCTGGTTGTAAGTAAATTCATGTCAGTTGAATTTGGGTGTGATAATCTGTGATCAATATTAATAATGGAGTTAATAATTGATAACGGACGATCATCATAATTGATTATGTGTCTCGTGTTCCAAGTGGAACCCACAGCTGCTTTATCACAGCTATTTCATATTGATGCTCCTTTCACTTGACCAAAGGCACAATTGCAATCCATTTACAACCTTCCTTTCTCTTGAAAACAATCCTAGTTTCCTTGGCTTTTGAACATGGAGCCGTATACAGTGTCTGGAATGGCACGGCAGGAGCTCTCTTCTGAACACGGTGAAAATGGTAAAATGGGTGATCACATGGGCGGAGGGTCTCCTAGGAAGAAAGGAGCACCGACTGAAAACTACGAACTGGTGGGCGTGATTGTTCACAGTGGCCAAGCACACGCTGGTCATTACTACTCCTTCATCAAGGATCGGAGGCGAGTAGAAACTTGGAAACTATAATAATCCTTGTATTTGACATAGATTCACATCGTTTATACGTTTCAAAGCTCTTCACAGAATATACTGTAAAGTGAATTGACTTATCATTAAACTATTATCCAGTCAGATTTGTCCTAGATGCAATAACTTAATTTGAATATAGTATTATGAAAGTTATGGAAATTTAAAGAACACAGTGTATCATCTCCTCCCAGTTGAAGTCTATCTTTCTCCAGGCTTGTTGGCTATGTCCCTGCTTCCTAGTGATTTAGTTTTGCAGCCATTTCTATTACTTGCAAACCTCCAGTTTTCTTTTCTCAGTTTTCCAAGATATTATCACTCATCTTAGTGTTCTTTGCTTCATGTTATTTTAATCTTCCTTCAGCCTCTTCACCAAAAATATATTGATTAAGCTGTGGCTGAGGCAGCTTTGGCTCTTATGTTAATTTACTCCTTTTGAATTCTGTAGGGCCGGTGTTAAAGGGAAATGGTATAAGTTTAATGATACAGTGGTGGAGGAGTTTGATCTAAATGATGAGTCCCTGGAGTACGAGTGTTTTGGTGGAGAGTACAGACCCAAAGTCTACGATCAATGTAAGTTGGTATCGAACAGTTGTAAGATTTTGGGAGAATTTGTCTTAAATATAGTTGTAAGTAAAGCTGCAGTTGAACAGCTGTTAGTTGATCATTTGATAAGGCTTTCAAAAGAGGGGATAAAAGAATTTTTAAAAATATTTTTAATTTTTTTTTCCCCACTTCTTCCTGATTTGTCAATGCATGGCAGAATGTAAGTGTGTTACTGCAACCGCATGAAAGCAAATTAGTTTCCTCAAATATTTAGTGTTGCTCTAGGAAAGCTGAAGTAGGAGTCAATTGTATTCATGTTGCTATTTGTTAGGTCAGGGTATTAAGGGATATGGGACAAGGGCAGGGAATTGAACTTGAGGTACAAATCAGCCATGATGGTATAGAATGGCAGAACAGGCTCAAAGCCTACTCCTGTTCCTATGTTTCTATGCTGTTTAATTGTGATGTACAAAGTGCTCCTCCATCAAAAAAAAGTTTCCTTTTTCCATGAAGCCAACCCCTATCCTGAGGTCCGCCGCCGATATTGGAATGCCTACATGCTGTTTTACCAGAGAACAATGGACCAAAACTCCCCAGTTTTACCAAAGAAAAGCCGAGTTAGTGTTGTTCGGCAAGAAGCAGAGGATCTCTCATTGTAAGTAAACTCTTAAAAGCAACTGGTGCCTATTTTTATATTAATGGTGATATCCCATGCCTCATAATCAATGGCTCATAATCAATGCCCCAACCATCTTTTAAAATGATGAAGTTCCAGTGTTGTGAAATTTTCAGTTGAAGCATTATTGACATAGAAAATGAATCCCAATTTGTGAGAAATTAAGCCTATAAATATATATAATCCTCACTTGGCAATCAGATTTATATTTTCTGAACCTTTTCAAATCACTTTCTCTTTCTTGCCATGTTGGGGAGTGTGGTAGAGGTTTCTTATTCTCGATTGCGCAGATTCTGGCATATTGAAGGTTTTCTCTTTGTTCCTTTGGCAGGTCGGCCCCATCCTCCCCAGAGGTGTCGCCTCAATCATCCCCTCGTCCTCACAGGTCAAACAATGACCGCCTCTCGCTATTGACTAAGCTGGTGAGGAAGGGAGAGAAGAAGGGTCTTTTTGTGGAGAAAATGCCAACCAGAATCTACCAGGTAAGAGGCGCTGCTCGTTCCTGTAGTTCTCATTGCTTCAAATAGATTTAAACACAGAACACATTTCTATACCGGTGTAGCAGGGCCGAGGTTTTGAGGTCATAGCCCTGTACGTATGGATGAATACGTACAAAATGTACACACAACGCAGCAAGTTTATAAACTCACTGAAACCTCTTACTAGAAGCAGCACGGTGGTGCTGAGCAATAGTGTGTAAACTCTCAGCTCCCAGAATAGACGCAGTTTTGCATCTGCTTCGCTCTACTGATGCTCTATGGTGCTTTGAACAATGATGATATTGCCACAGAACTGCGGAGAGGAAAGGCCCACCTGGGTGATGTGTGACATTTCCCAACCATTGTCTATGTGGGTTCGGGTTATCAGCAGGTAAAGAAAAAAAATTGTTTCGGCCTAGGCAGGGATGGTTTAAAGAGTATAGTGAAAAACTGTAACTTGCCATCTTATTGGAGATTACTCTGTAAACAGAATCTGTATATTTTCTCTCAATAGATGGTACGAGATGAGAACTTGAAATTTATGAAGAATCGCGATGTGTTCAACAGTGACTACTTCAATTTTATTCTCTCGTTGGTTTCAGTCAATGCAGTAAGTGCTGTTGGGTGGTCTTGTGTTGGAAGGGAGATTGATTGAAATGTTCTGATGAAATCCCGAAACACGGTTACTGATTTTACATCTGTTGCAAAAGTATTGGTGCCTAAAGAAATGTCCCTCTTAAATACGGAACTATTGTGTAAGGTTACATACTAGAAGTTGTCAGAATACTTATGGAACTTTAAATTCACCTACTTCAGAAGAGTGTATACTGGGATATGAATGGTGAATAACTGACAAGTTCTTCTGCCCCAAAACACGTCAAATGGACTATTTGCTGTTTTAGCACCTGGTTTGGTCAGATCTCCACTGCAATCTCTTCAAAAGCACCTGGATTTAAAAGTTGCCCAATTTACCATTCATTCGTTCAGTAAAATACTCCCACCAAAGCTACTTGTATTTTGTACATGAAGTATTGGTACAAAGCTTCTTTTCTTTGACCAGGCATCAATTTAATTCATGTACCTCACGTCATATCACCTCATATCTGCTGCCACTCCTGGTAAAGAAGTCCAGTGCCATTCCGAGGTGAGGTAGAGGCTGGCAGAGATCACATGGTTCCACACAAGGGCTGGTAATTTCAGCGAGTGAATCCTCTGATGGTTGTCTTTCTATTGCTTTCTTTCTGCAGACTAAACTGAAACATCCCCAATACCAGTCCATGGCAAAGGTCAGCCTGAGACTTGCCATCCAGTTCCTCTTCCAAACTTATCTACGAACCAAGAAAAAACTCAGGTATGAAACTAATCACAGCATGTTTATTGAGAACTAGACTGAGGTAGGAAATGTCATTGCTTGTGTAGGATAGTTTTTGTTTCTGTAAATATCACTTCTAACTCACACTTCAAATTAGATCCTTAATATAAAAGCATGAAGCTTCTAAATGTTTCTTTTTGTGAAATAATAACTGCAATATCAAATTGTGAACTGGATTGGTCGTGGGTGGTGATTCCATTCACATCTTCAAGACTGAGGTGGATAGCTATTTGTTAGGTCAGGGTATTAAGGGATAGGGTGCAAGGGCGGGTAATTGGACTTAAGTTACAGATCAGCCATGATCTTATAGAATGGTGGAACAGGCTCGAGGGGATGAATGGCCTCCTCCTGTTTCTATGATTGTAGGTAGGATTTTAATCTCCTGCAGGCATGTTTTCTCTTGTGTACGCTGACTGTTTTTTAGCCGCGCATGGAGTTTGCTGTTTTGTATACAGATTTATTTCTCTTTATTTGGTACTGGCAAAGACTTTGTTATATTGAGTTCCCTCTGAATGCATGCCTACCAAGTGATGGTTAGTACATTGAGCCTTCCAATACATGTGAGGTCTCTGAATACCTTGTAGGGTGGATACAGAAGAATGGATCGCCACCATCGATGTGCTGGTGTCTAAAAGCTGCGAGGCTTGCCAATGGCTGATTGAATTCCTCATTGGATCTGAGGGACGGGAATTAATAAAGTGAGTTTAAGATGCAAATAATGAGTGCTACACATTTTAAAAATATGTATTTGGCAGGAGGGTTCAAAATAAAATGAGGCTTGAGTGGGAGGGGAGTTTAATATAGGCAAGTCTGACTGTACAGGTGAGGCTTAACTTAAAGTTGATGATCTAAGATTGCTAGAGTTTGATTATTTCCATTCATATAATTTCAGTGTCCTTACCACGTAAAGGTCAGTAACTCCTAAAGCACACCCCTCTCATAATCTCAATGTTTCTATCCAATGGTTTCTTTCAGTCAATTTTAACCATTTAAAAGAAAAATCTGATTTGAAGCATCTTTCTATTTGTTTGTTTGCTTCTTTTGAACTTAACATTTTTAAGTCCCGATACAGAGATCAGTGGATGGTTTGGATTACTCAGTTGCTCAGAGGAAATAGCAGTTACGTTTACAACATTCTGTATTGATTAACCTCAGTCAGGTGGAAAATACTATCAAACGTACAGGGAGCAACACAATCACTGCATGTAGTGTCTATTATTTTTGCAATTTAAGATATATGTAAAGATTACTGCAATGTACTCAATGTAAATATTTAGCAACTTTGAGGGTGGAGCCCAATAAGAAGTAGGCAGTCTCCCAGGAACATGTTGATCTTTGGTTGGCCCACTGGATTATATGGTGACCATGATCTGATGTCAGCCTACCTATGCTGAAGTAAATCTAGACTCTTCAAAAAGTGGGGGTGGGGCAGACATGCCTGTTTCATAGACAAGCTAAGACATGGTCAGTAATTGGGGATAAGAAAGCAGTTCTACATCTGGTTTAGTGATTCTGTAAAGTCTGGAGGCAAAGCTTTTTGTTCAAACTACTCCCTCATAAAGTATATCCTGTTAATGACTCCATTCTTCATTTTTGTTTTAACCCTATTTATGGAGCCTGTCTCTCTCCTACTGTGCATTTTGTGGGGAGCATCTGGCTTTGTTCTCGAGGACTCTTAATTTAGTTTTGGATGAGATAGACTTAATCCTTCCTACCCCAGGAATCTCCTATAGCACCATCACAACTCAGATTCCTACACGTTTCACTTTCCTCCACATTTTTTTTAAGCTAAAGACCAGCTTTGAATGCTATTTCTGCCAAACAAACATGTCAGATAACAGAAGGGGGAGAGAAAGTTACTTGTTACACATCTGGTGGTGATCCTCAGATTTTAGGTTGTCTGTCTACTCTCTGTTAGGATGGGGAGAATGAATGAGAAAGTAGTATAACAAAATACGCTTTGCTTTTCTATGTACATACCAGGATCTTTCTTCTGGAATGCTGTGTAAGGGAAGTCCGAGTGGCTGTTGCTACCATCCTAGAAAAAACCCTTGAGAGTGCCTTGCTTTATCAGGACAAGGTCAGTAAAACCCACTTGTACAATATGCACCTGATGAGTTAATCATAGAGTTGCACTATAAGTTTGGGATGCCTTGTATGCCAGTCATTCTGATCCAAATGATGTTGATGCTGTTTATTCAATTAATTCCCAAATCTTAAGTTTCCAACAACAAATCTATAAAAGTCTGACAAAGGAATGATCTGAAGTTTAAAATATTAAATGAATTTGTGATGTTCTCTCATTATCTGTGCATGTTGTCTGTTCCGGTCTTACTGGTTAATCTGTATCGCGACGTGAAAAGCGCTATATCAAATGCAAGGATTATTATTATCGCATTGTTTATCAAGGCTGGTTTGCAAAATTTACAATTTGTTTCCTCAGCTGAAAGGACTGGACCATTTGCTGGAGGTGCTGCTCGCCCTTCTCGACAAAGACGTGGCGGAGAACTGTAAAAACTGCTCCCAATACTTCATTCTCTTCAACAATTTTGTACAAAAGGTAGGTGTTGCTTCGTGCGTCTTGGATCTGCTTTGTTTTATCAGAATAAGGTGAGCGAGTCTCAACAGTTGACGGTATAATGGTCCGTTCAAGTACTGAAAAGATAGAGTTTCTATAAAGCCAGACAAATTAAAAGACAGCATTTTAATGACCTGAATACAGAGCTTTCAATCTAGTTTGAGTTACTGTGCTTTGAGGATCATGATGGAGCATGATGCTTCCCTCCAGATACAACTTGCCTTAGCGGAGAAGGAGAGGTGGGGGAAACCTGTTAATGCCGTTCGGTATGTATGAGCCAATGAGTGTACATGAGGAGCCTGGAAGTATAGGGTGGATAAACGTGTTCAACTGATATTTTTAATGCACACTTCTGCACTGTCTGTTCCCCACAGGGTCTTAGAAAGGTGGAGAATTGTAATCTTGCACGTCCTACCCTCCGGTGCAAGTTTTTATATGTATACAGGACAATCCTGTGGTTAAGCAGAGGTCTTGTCTTATGGACCTAGACCACCATAACAGGGTTGCCTTGGTTTTCTTCTCCTTGTATACTTTTGGAAGATGTTGCTTTACATTAAAGCTGGGTTTGGTGGTGCACTAAACTTGTTTCAAAGATCTTTTCTCAGTCTCCAATTCTGTTTCATCCAGGGTGTCAAGGCCTGTCAGCTGCTATTCAAACACTCCGCATTTAAGAGAATGCTCAGTTTTTTGCTGGGTCCCCCAAGACAGAACAACCAGGTAAGAGATATTCTTGTGTTTTGATAAAATAATCAATTATGTAACAATATTGACATAGCCCTTGCATCTCAGGAGGATATCTCAAAGCACTTCACAGAATTTACTATAAAGTGTATTTTCTAGGCAAATGTAATGAACAAAAGGGCAGGAGTGTTGCCAACTGAGCCAGGCTGATGCATAATGGATCAGATGTAGTGCTTTCTTTATGAATATTATGGGATACCTCCCACTCCAATTATTTAAGACTAAATTTACCTTGATATTTCTATCAGAATCGACGATGGAATTCTGCACAGGCCCGTGAGTTCTGGTATCTCCACACCACATTAGCATCACTAGTCCTGCTCTCTGACATTTCATCCCTAATGACTATTGGTGAGTACACTGTTTTTTTTCCCTCCTGGCAGGCTGCCAAAACATTACACTGTGTTACAAATTCTTGACTGTTCATTTCCTTTCTGGAATGTTCCTTTTGTAGCAAATTTAGATTTGCAGGGCTTCAAGAATTGGCAAATTTTGAATTGCTGATATATTAGGTGAGCGGTCAGGGAGAGAAGCTCAGAGTAGTAGGTTGAGTCCACCCAGAATGGAATGATACTGAGCTACTGAAAATCGTTTTCAAAGTTGAGAGCTACTTAAAATTAGCTTTGTGATCTTAAACAGGGCAGATTGACAAAGTGTGTGTGCATAATATATAATCTTGATCTTTGGTGAATGTGTTGTGAGAAACAGCATTTGAAGTTTGTTGTTTTCTAATCTAGGTAGTAAACATTGAACAGAATGTATTCTTGCCTTTCTATGACGGTTATCAAATATTGAATAAGCAAACCGTATAATGTAATTTTAATCTAGATCCTGGTCAGTATAAACGGAATATACCAAACCCCCAAATACCACTGCACCAAGATGTGGAAGCTCTACTCTTCAGACACGATGGTCAGGCTTACCTGCTTGAGGTAATCCTTTTCATTTCTCACGTGGATGTTCAAAATCAGGTACTGTGAGACATGTGTTTAGAATAGTAATTTGTCTACTCATAATTAGCAAACCTACCTTAAGCCTTTTTCCTCTTCTCCACAAAAAAGTATTCAGGGTGCCATCAAAGTAGAATTATTAAACCAGCCAAGTTGCTTAGAATACCATAATTCTACAAACTGGCTTGATGAAGTATTTGAAAAGATGTCTGAACAATGTCATGTATGTCATACTGGCTGCATTTGGTTTGAAAGTACTATGAGAAGTGATTTTTTTGAGGCATTTGTGCCAACACTGGTGAAATCCTTGAACATGAAGGAAGAGTGGGGAAAGGGAATGAGCCAACGCTAATGATAGAAACTGAAGATGAGGTGTGTCTTACAGTCATCAATTTGTGCTTTTGTGTTTTAGGTTATGTTTGCCATGCGGGAGCTGACTGGGTCTCTGTTAGTCCTCTCTGAGATGGCTACTTACTGCTGTTTCTGCAATGAACATTTTTCTCTTAGTGTGCTACAGATGATTAAGGTAAGACCAGCCTAACTTGTGCAGAAGAGTTCACTGATTACTTTTAGCCTTTGTCAAAGTGAGGGTTGTCATCATGTTGGGTGAATGTGTGAGAGAAGATGTAAGAGAGGGATCTCCCGTAATGGAGCATTGTATTTAGTGGGATTGCGTTTCCACAAGCCTCACTAAGAACTCCGCAAAATGGCAAATTGTGAATGTGGATTCCAGAGTCCAATCACAGTTCAGATTTGAACCCAGACTTGGAAAAGAATAATTGATTATTTGTGAATTGATTGTTACACTGGAATGTCACATTTTTGTTCAGTTGTGTATCATTATATAAGTTTGTGCTTTGTATTGTCTAGAATCAGTTGGAGACAGCTCCGCCCCATGAACTGAAGAATATCTTTCAACTACTGCATGAAATTCTGGTAAGTGAGACTGACTTGGTGTTCAAAGCAATAGCAAGTGTTGAATTTGATACAGTGCCTTATCACGTCTTCTAGACATCTCAAAGCGCTTCACAGAATGTACTGTAAAGTGAATTGGCTGTATATTTAGTGAAACACGGCAGCCAATTGTTCACAGCAGTGTCTCACCAACAGTCGTGGATTGAGTGACCAAATTATTAGGTTTTTGTGAAGATTATTATTCCCAGAAAAGCGATCTGCCGATCGACTAACGAGGTTCCTACTGACTGTTAGGTAAACAGAGGCGTGTGGAGTAAGCCAAGTTAAATTTCTATACAAATATTACACAATAGTATTTGACTGGGTTTGTTGCTCTGGTAACCCAGGTGGTGTGTCCTTGATAAACCTGTGTCGGAAGAGCAGTTCATCTAAGAACTGGAGAAGTTGGGTCTCGTCGATGATACTTGTAAAGAAATGAGGATTTAAAAAAAAGTTCATACCAGATGTAGATTCTGATGTAGAAAATTATAGTGTTAATCTAGAATGTTGCAAATTCTGACAGATTGTAACCGAGATATTTTTTTTTCCGTGTCTAGGTAATTGAGGATCCATTGCAATGTCAACGGCTGAAGTTTGCTTTCGAGTCAGAAAAAGGACTGCTGGGTACATATTTACTTTGTGTGTGTGTGTGTGTGTGTGTGTGAGAGAGAGAGAGCAATGTGCATGTAACATGCACATGTAAGTGTTCCTCTTATTTGGTTGTGTTTTACTTGTCACTTGGCCTTGAAGGCTGTCGGCCTGTTTTGCCACTACGAAGCTGTGCACTTAATATTATTTCTAATGCTCTCTTTCTCCATCCCCCAGCCCTAATGCATCAGAGTAACAATGTTGACAGCAGTCGCTGCTACCAGTGTATCAAATTTCTGGTCATCTTGGCTCAGAAGTAAGTACATAAGTCTTGACGGATGCTGCTGGTTGTTTCAAGAGATTGGCTTAGTCAAAGTGGTTTTCCCAGAGACTCAGACTTGTGTCTAAGAAAGCACGTGACCGACCGGTCAGCTTTAAATAAGAACATAAGAAATGCTGGATGAAACGAGGACCAAGGTCTATCTCGTTCCCCTTCCACCTTCCTAGCGTCGCATGCACATATGTCCTGAACTATCTATGTACTATATACCATTAAATATTTTGGAAACCTTTTAAAAGTCACGACGTTGACAAGTTTCACCTCGTTTTATAATGGCAATTTCTTTTCTTCAACAGTTCATACCTTGGCTAGCAAAAAGTTACAAAGTGATATCCTTAATAATAATAATAATCCTTGCATTTAATATAGCGCTTTATCATATCTCCGAGATGTCTCAAAGCGCTTCACAGAATATACTGTAAAGTGAATGGACTGTATAATTAATGCATTATAAGATAATCTGAGATGACCTGCTGTCTGAGTTTATTTCCCTCTGCGAGTGACTTTCACATAACAAGGTCTCTTCACTTCCAACTAACCTCTGCCTCCCCCCTGCATTGAATAATGAACACGTTTCTCTCTCTCAAGGTGTACAGCTGCCAAGGATTACTTTCGGGAACACCCACATCACTGGAGCTGGGCTGTACAATGGTTGCAGAAGAAGGTAAGCATTGTGAGCAATGTTGTATTTCTTTTTCTCTTTGAGATTTTCCCTTTTCCAACGCTGCATGAAACTGACATTGAAACCCCACCAGCAAGAAGCAAGTAGTATAAATCTTAACGGAATAACTCTAAAATTGTTTGTTTCAAAGCTGTTGTGATTTTGGTCATGTACATTTCTCGAATCGGAACATCTATAATGTAGTTTTCCACTCTGCTTGTGGTATCCAAGTCCTCGTGTGGAGAATGCTATCTACTGTAACATTCGCCATTTTAAAGTTGTATTGTAGAATTGCAAGGGAAGCTCCATTGTTGGAGTAGATTGAACTGCACCTTACAGACTAGGCGTTCACTGGTCTGTGCAGAGTTTGCTGGTATCGGCCAGGTTTTCATGGGGGAAGTTCAGTTGCTCCTGCGTGTTCCAGGTTAGGAAAACCAGGCAGGTTCTCCTCCTGCTTCCTCATCTACATCCTCTGTTGTGCGCGGACATGATAGCTGGATTGGGAGAGGTCTGGCTCAGCATTCCAAAGCCAAGTGGCCTGTGACACTCAGCACCAAGACATGAACAATGTCAACTTGGATAAGGTCACTGAGGGCATCCAATGTCTGTGGAACTGCACCTAGGCAAGAGGAGACCAGCTCTGGAATAAAGAAGCAGGGTTGTGCAAATGGGGAGAGAATTAGTAAAATAATTGGATGGGCTCAATTTATAGAAATATACATTTCTTTTAAATGACAATGTTTTGTCTATTTTTCTCTGCTTTAAGATGTCTGAACATTACTGGACCCCACAGAGCAACGTGTCAAATGAAACCTCAACCGCAAAGACTTTTCAACGCACAATATCAGCACAGGTACCGCTTCTTCCTCATCCTTTTAGTAACAACAACTGTGTTGATTGCTTTACGGTTTCAGTTTCTTTGGTGACTTATCAGGAAAAGGAATAGAATGAATAAGAAACAAATTGGCATTGTGTGAAGAAACTGAAGTCACGCAGTAAAGAAAACCACCTCCTGGAGGTACTGATGATTGTTGCTTTATTACAGGACACATTGGCTTATGCCACAGCTCTCCTGAATGAGAAGGAACAGTCTGGGAGCAGTAACGGGTCAGAGGGTAGCCCTGCCACAGAGAATGGAGATAGGACATTAAGACAGGTAAAAAAGACAAGTAATGTAGCTTTAGGTCTCAGTGCAAATTGTTTTACATTAGCACTTAAAGATTCAAATTGTTTCCCCATTATTTCTCTCACACTCAGAATATTTGTACTGAAGCTTAATGCTATTTATTTTTTATACTCTACTGTAAAACATCTGCTACTACTGCTAGCACCTATTTTAAATATTCTCTATTGCTGCTAGTTCTTAAAGTTCTTGAAGGTCTAGCTTCTGCTAAAGATGTTCTGTCATTAGCAAGCCAGGATTATTGATATACATGTTTGGATAAATGTTCAATGTGTATTTATATCTAGTGTAGTATTATGATAAAAGATATGAAAGATAAATCCCCGCAGTCAGCACATGTATATTATACATATACGAGCTTGTCAGATTTGAGATGTGCAGTTTCCTTGACCATTCTTGATATACATGTATGTATAGCTTTAAGTGACTTTAACAATCCCTCTAGCCACTAAACGCAATGATCTAAATCTTGTATTTTTTTGTCTCAACAATCAGGGCTCAGAATCTCCCATGATGTTGGGTGAATCCAGAAGTGACCTTGATGATATGGATCCATAACGACAACTGGAACAAACAGCTGGCACAGAGAATCCTCTAAATAGTGTTGAATCACGGAATCCTTTTGACACTGAAAGACAGGGCAGAGTACCACATGGCTTTGGAAATGGATCGGTTTAGGGAGAATGTGACTCCCGGTTTGCAAACAGTGGGCCTTTAAGAACTGTTAATGCAGTGAACTGAATGTTCACTGACTAAATAGTAGTAAACCTAAATCCAAGTATCTCTCCTCCTGTTTGTTGACTTTTGTCTGGGAAGAGATAATTAGTACTTGTGAATATTCAGTTGGAAAAACAATTTTTTATCTCATGATTTCAGTAGTAACTGCGGAAGGATTGATTAAAATTTTAGTAAAATCTCATGGGGGTCAGGTTAGGGTTAGGGAGAGCTCACTGGATATTTGTATAATAGTTCCCAGAGGTTTTTTTTGAATAACCAAATGCTGTGTGGTCATACAGTGACATAGATTTAATTTTATCTGTATAATAGAACAAACATATGGATAACTGTTCTGTTCACAATAGGTCATGTATTATGTGTCTCAGAATATTTAGTATGGTCCCAGGTGCTTTTTATAAGATTAATTTTATAAGATGGGTAAGCGGGAGTGTTTTGAGCTATTCTAAGAGTATACCTCATTGTATACCTCATTAAAAAGGCAACCTGGCACTTTATTAAATATTACATCTTTTAATCAGTGCAATTGTTTTTCTTTTTAAATCCATGTAAATCCATGTAACAGAAAAAAAATTCCAACAATAGTAACATATGTTCATGCCACTGGGTGTTTAGGGATTCTGAAGGTCCGAATCTTTACCATTTATACCACAAGTGATAGCATTTTGATTGATGAGATCTAAACTGATATTTCACCGACCATAATATCTTTATCATGTCACAGTAACTATTCCAATGCCACAGCAATTTCCTTCTGACGTAAAATAGCTTAACTGTTTTCAGTGTTCAAAATAACAAGTTAATATTTTTTAAAATCACATTGGTTTTTGACACCCATATGATCTAAATAGAACTGTAACGGGCAACTGTGTAATATTTATTTCACCAATGAAGGTCACCAACACCCACAATCTCATGCCTCATACTTGTGGTTTATGAGGTTATCCTGATCAGTAGGTTTGTTCATGCATATTTATGGACACAGATCATCCATTACCTAGTAATTAGTGCACAAGACAGTAATCTATCTGGGTTAAATGGCATTGATGGCTTTCTTTGGAACCACTTCTAGTCATTTAAATCTTGGTATCCAATTACAAGCTTGAAATAACTTGTATTGCTCTTGTTTTGTTCTTGTGTTTTTATGGTGAGACTCCCTTTTTTCTTCCCTTCCTCTTTCTATTGATCTTTCCAGGTCCTGCATCATGAAGGCTAAACTAGTGTGACCTGCTCTAAGCCACCTCCAATGCTGCTCTGAAATTGGCCTTTGTGGGAAGAGTGTGGCTGGTCTCGCTGACTGTCCAGCCTTGTGCATTTGTGTGCGGGTGTCTCTCTCTCTCTCTCTCTCTTTCTCTCTGCTGAAGTAGTCAAGATAAGTGATCTTGGCACATGGGAGATTGCAGGCACAACCCTGCATTTCACCACGGTGACCCTGCACCACAAAAGTGTCATTTATTTGAATGTATATTGTTATTTTATGTTGTATTTTTAAGTAACCAATGTCCTGGTGGATGCTGATATCCACTGTTTCATGTCATCTGATGTGTGGTGTATTCTAATCTAAAGAGAATCGATTTTCTTTTACCCATTTAAAGATTATAGAATGATCAATAGAGAAATAATGCAGCTTGTTATATAATCGGTGTTACACACTTGCCTGTTACATAACCATCTGTAAAATTATGAGAGCCCATGTTAATGCCAGATGTATGTTTCTTTTTGGAGGGGACGGTCAGAAAGATTGAAATATCGTATGTAAATACATTAAAACGTTACTACAGTAGTAATCTCCAGAATGTCTTGGAATACACTCTACAATAAAAATTGGTCGATGGATAGATGGATAGACGAAACAGTGAATTGACATTTGATCCTTAGAGCTGCAGTGGAATGTTTTAAAATTTGTGAGAAAGCGTTGATCTTTCTCCTCCATTTTAAGTGGAGGAGACTTTTTTAATGTATATATAGATATGTATATTTACTCTTAAATTGACTGAAAGCTGATAATTTGCAACAGTTTGTAACCAAGAGAAGAATGGTGTCTGTTACATTAGTAACCCCAGCTATAGATTAAAGGTTTTTATATTTTAAAAAAAACCTTTGATCTGTAGTTTTACAAATTGTGATTGATGAAAATTGGCAGAAAATGGGTATCAAAGCTAATTAAAGAAACTGACCTAATTGCCTTGAAACCTTGCTTACAATTTCAGGAAATTTGCACCCATTTTGCTAAAGGATTATTCTCACAAGAAATTAAGCTTTAAATCAACTTTGTTTAGTGAACAGTCCATACAGCTAAAATTTACAATAGGCAAATCAAATCTTTCTCTTCCCCCCACACAAAAAGGATTGGACTGTTCAAGGGATTAAGCATTAATTCACTGAACAGTTAGAACTTTCTTTTAAAACCTTTCTTTTCTTTTAATGGCCCACTTTAAAATGTACTTTATTTGCTTAGTTTAATGAAAATCAAAATATTACGGTAATTTTCCACATTTTGTTTTTCTTCTATTGACGTTCGAGCTCTAAGTCTCCTTTTTGTCTCCCTCCCCACTATTTGGAAGCTTAACAATGTTAGAATAGTTGCAGAAATACTGCTGCACTTGTGCTATAAACCAGTATGTTTTGATGTTTATTTTAAGACCCACTTCCTGCGTGTGTGTCTCTTTCTCTCTTTTCCATTCCTTAATTTCTGGTGTTCTAAATTCATTCTATTCCAATTTTAGGACATCAAAATTCAGTTTAGTAGATCACTGTGGATTAATGAGAGCAGAGCAACTGCAGTAGGGTTTTCTAACCTTCATTAAGGTGTGTATGTGGCTATATATATAATATAATATATATAGTGCCGTCACTGGCCTGTTAAGTATAGTGAAAAGGTCATTTTACAAGGACTACGTCCTGGCTGCTTTTTGGAGAGGTTTTTATATGTTCAAATTGAGCTTCTGTTTTATAGTTGAACGTTTGGGATTTACGTTGAATGTGTATATTGTGTCATTTTTTTTTAAATGGTCAGTTCTACTAATGGTTGGGCTGCTACAGACATTGCTCCTGTATATTCACATAGATTTTTTAACAGGCAAAAGATTAATGAAAACTTCATACTGATGTGAACCTTTTATCTTAATTGTATACCAAAATGAAAGTCACAGAATAAACCTCAAGATATACCAGATGGTTTTATCCTTGAGGCATTTTAATGTGACTTTCATAGAGGTTTGTGTCAGTGAAAGGGACAATGACATTTTCTTCAGTGTAATTAGACCTATGTGAAGCTAACTGACCAGTAGATGACAACAGGAGCATATCTTGTTACAGAACTGCAGGCTTATTATTTGAATCTGCCAAATACTATCCATCATAGAACAAACAAATTAGGTTATTGTATGTGTATATATTTGCAAACATCACTTAAAAACAATGAGATTGAATGGGGTGAATTGTTTGAGTGGAGTGTGTGTTCAGCAAGTGGCATAATAATAAGAATAACTTGCACCTAAGTTGCCCTTAGTGTCTGCATTCTGTATGGTCACAACGTCTAGTCTATAATTTTGTGCCAATTTTGGTATTTGTTTTATTTGGGAAGGTTTATTGTGGTTTTGTCCATGTTGAATTTTAGGCCTTTTTTTTTTGCCTTACTGTGCAGCCACAGTTTGCACAACAAGAATGAAATCGGTCTTGGGTTTTAGGCTTTTGGCAGATGATTCTTGCCCGCCCTGGATCACCAAGCCAAAGGCACAGATAGTTGCAAGTGCCTTTATATTTTTTTGAGAGGGGAGACTGGATGAACTTGAATTGGAGCTTTATCACAAAAAATACCAGGTATTACCAAAAGAGGTTGGATTGATTTCAACATATCTGGTTTATGATTACCAATAACACAGATGGAACAATTATTTTCAACAGCCCGATCACCTAGATATTCCAATTTCCAGGGCACAGAAGCTGAAAATTGCACATTCATCAAGAGCTCGCAGGTTAAACTTAATCAACTGTGTACATGGGGGGAGAAGCAATGGCTGCTAGATACCAGAATTGCTCGGAGAGGGAGCCAGATATTTGTCTCTAGAGACAATTGGGTGGATGAAAACCAAGTTAAATATTACAGGTGTTGAAAGATCCCATACTGCTTATTCTATTCATGTCATAAATCGGTGATAACTTTAGGCTTTACATGAGTATTTTCTATACTTTATGAAAGTGAGAGATTTTGGTGCTGGTGCATGGAATGATTTTCCACTGTTGGCATCAACTATAGACTTCAGGCACAGGGATTCAGAGTAATCTCCATTTACACAGCCCATCAATGTGCCTTAACCCAACCTTTCCAACCTCCCACCCCCACTGCACCAAACTAATAATTCCATCTCTTGCACCAGCAATCCCTGTGTCATGTCTGTCTGCGTGAGGCTGCCCATTTAGTGCCAATTAATGCCAAATTATGAGTAGTTGTGATGTGCACTCATGCATACTGTGGACGGGGTTAGAAATTGCTTCAAACGAAATTCATAGAGAACTTAATGCAAAGAAAGATGTTTATTCCATCAACTGGATTAGACTGAAATACAGCACATAGAGGTGAACGGACTTTTTTTGTTAATCACTGCACTTCCTGTTCCCCCCCCCCCCCCACACCACTTTGGACTTGGATATGACAAATTGTTTTTAAAGCACTCACTCTTGTAACATTCTGGCATTACCCAGTGTGATCTTGAACTGTTACAGCCAGACATTGTGATTTGGGGAGTCTAGAATCCAGTATTATTGAGTTACTGCTGCACCTGGCTTCCTACCGAAATTTTTTCTCAAATCCCTTAACCCCCAAATCGATGTGTCCAAACTACAAACTGACAGCTTTCCTTTGAGAAGGGGTGGGATTGGGCTATCAGTGCAGTACAAGTACTGAATAAAGCAAGTAATCTGGTCAGGGCTCCCTTCAGCCCCTGTTCTAGAAGTTTATTTCTAGTCCAGCTTGGACGTGGGCTTTCTAAAATAGCATACAAGAAGCAAACCACTTTTCGCCAACCATTTTAATGCTTTTTCCTTCCTCTCCATAATGTAAAAATACCTAATGCATAGTGATTAGTCTTTCTATAAGGCTCTCAAAAGAAATAATAATTTGGTACTCCTACTCAATAGGCTGAAACAGTGAGATCCAGGTCCACAACACATTGTATTTTAAACAAAAATATAACATACAACCTGAAGTATTTCTTTTACGGTTTATCATCTGAATGAGTGTGTGTGTGTGTGTGTATATATATATAATGGATATTTTAAAAAAGAATGTTGAGTGGTACTGATTTGAACCTCGAACTGTACTTAATCACGCCTGGTCTAGAACGATGTAAGGTCAAATGTTATAAAAGGGAATTATATTCCAAAAATTGCCATCTGATCATATGTATTTACATGTTAATGGTGCATCTCGGTTCTCCCTGGTTTGTGTCGTGCTTTAAAACTAATTGCAGGAGGCCGAGGAACAGACCTTTCATGTAAAACATCTATTGCTTTTGTTGAGCTGTTTTAAAGCAGAACATATTCACATAGAGAGGACAGAAATAGAGACCAGTAGATGTACAGATATTTCTCTGCAAGTGTATAATGTTCAGCATGATATGGCAATTGGTATGAATACCTTCCCTCCCTTAGCTGTTATAAACACTGGCGTTTTACAAAATCTGCTTAATTGAGAAATTATTAAAACTGATGTCCAGAGCAGAAAAAATCTGAATGCTCATTGAAAATCTTTATAATATCCAATTTCTTCAGAAAAATATCCAATATACAACTGAATCAAAATAATCGGGCAGAGTAAAGAGAGGACAGTTAATGGTTTTCCACTTCGCGTTCGGTTGTTCCAGATGTTTAAAAGGTGTGTGTGTGTTTGTACGTGGTAGGGGGGCAGTTGTGATGAGACCTTGAGATTTGACATCAAGCAGCAGTTTCTAATCTCAGTATCGCATGATTTCTGCTTATGAGGGTGGAAAAGAAAATGCACTATTTCCTTTCCCGCCTTCCAGGACTTGTGTCTTTTGCTTTAACCCTTTGAGTACTGCAGTTATTTTAATCAGAATCACATATGTTGTAGGTTTTTTTCACTGACCCCCACTTGTACATTTCTCATTTTTACATACGACGTGACCAGTGGTGGGATGTGTGTTTTTCCAGTTGGTGATATGAGTGAGGGTTTCAATGTAAAAGTTATTAAAAGGGCTCTACTTTTCTCCTCTTCCCCCACCAACTTCTCTAGACGTGTATCTTAGTATTCATAACATTCACTGTGTCCCCTTTAGGGTGATGATCATTCTGGATGATTACTGTTGCATTTGGTGAGTTTGAATTCAGTGTTGGGATGTACGGATTGCATTATCAGGAGGCCAGGGCATGCAGGAGGCTTGAAACAAACGAATACTGCACAGTATCATGACTGGTTAGAGTGTCAGCAAGATGTTAAGTCCCCTCTTCCACCCTGGAGCATGCTACTCAGATGCTGTGTTGTAAATAATCTAAAGTAGCATTTCAGCAATGTATGTGACTGTACAAGTCTTAATTTAGTGTTCTTGTGAAAAAAAAATGTTAAGAAACAAGTTTTGTTTGATTTTGATGTTTTGGATTGGTACTCAAAGGGTTACTTTGCATTGCCATATGTTTAGTAGTTGCTAACGTCACTAAAAGTCGTGTTACTTCCTTAAATTTGCTCCCTAACCTGAACACGAGACCGAACTTGAGCCTGGTTCAGGAATGTAACTCTCACAAAGTATAGCCGCGCAGTTCTGCAAGATTATAACAAGTTGTGACAGTCTATTGTCCATCCTCCTAACAATGTTTTTTGGTGAGAGGGAGATGCAGAGATAAAAAAAAAACCATGTCACCGTCTCCATAGATTGCAGTGATGCTTTGCCGTGCTTGAATTCTCTCAAGGCAAACAGAATTGTAAAATCAGTGGACTTGTAAACGATAGATGTGCTGCACTAATTGCATTATTAATTTCAATTGTTTTATTTCAGGATGTAATTCCAGAGCCTACTAGAATAAATGGACATTATTTATTGAATTTGTGTATATTTTTTTGAAGATCCCAGGTGAAAATTACTGAAAGTTAAATTCCCTTGCAGTTTTCAATTTAATGGCCATGAAGTTACTTTAACTATCTTTTTGTGTGAATATATTAAGATTGTTAATGTAGGATATTTGTCAGATTTTAGCTTTTTTTTTCAAGATTTTGTTAAAAACGATAAAAATGATTGCATTGTGCAAGCGCTGTGAGACGCTACCCTGTGTGGAGGGTGCACCATAAGTGCAAGTTGTTGTTGTGGTGAGTACATTTGGACATCTCTCAATGGGGAACTGCACGTTTGAGTGATAGAAGTCTCCATGAAGGGAGATTTGCCGGATTCCTGGCATCGCTGGACGCAGTTTCTGCTTTCAAATTTCACGTGGGAATAGACAGCTTTTAGCACTTCATGCTGTTGTCTTAAGGGCAAATATTTTTGCTCCTGACTGTTTGTACCCAGATTGCCACTGATCGCTTTGAAATCTTGAGAGAAGGGAATGCTAACTGCCCACACCTAGAATACCAATGTGCCATCTTTGAGGAGAAGAAATGTAAGATGCACAGCAGTTCAGACGAACACAATTTTGCCATTAAAGTACTGAACCTCACTTACGTGGAAAATATTTCTTTCAAGTTGAACTGCGTTTAGTTTATTCAGTTTTTTTTTCCCCCCCCTTCTGGTTCAACTGTGTTTGTAATTCAACATGTTATTTTAGCTGGAGGGAGGAGAGAGGAAATTGCTGATGGCTGAAGGCGGTTTGACTAAAAATAATGCTTCCTTGTGACATGCCACTTCATAACGACATTACTCTGTCAAGTGTTCAAGGAGTCTTTTTTTTGGGGGGGGGGAAGGGGGGTGTGTGTCTGATTTCTTCCATTGTCGGGGTGGGGGTGGGAGGGAGAAGAGGAGGGGGGGATTCAAGCCCATTGATGTAAACTGCATGCTCAACTGGTATCTGATAGATTATGGGCCTTAGTCCATGAACAGTCTTAATGGCCCACTGCTGTTTTGTGGATGAGTAACCTGTGTGTGGGTTTATAAAAAAAAATCGCCCTCTAAATTACAACGTAAAAAGCAAAACATACGGACAGTCAAGCTTTCTCCTTTATTCCTTAAATCAATACTCGTGTGAGGCAACTAATACTGATGCATTGACACAATGTTAGCAGTTAAATTCTGTATTGCCCAGGGAATGTTTGTATGCTGTAATGTTGATCTTCCTTTTTTTAAAAAATACTATGGAAAGTAAATTAATAAACTTGCTTTAAAAATTGAACGTTACATCATGTGCTGGCTTTAATCTGCAAGAAGTTGTGCAATGTTAGTATAATGGAACAAGTGTTCATTTATCATCCTTATTGCCCTGCCTTTCAGGGCCCACGCAATCCCTTGTCACGGTGACCAGAACTATATGCAGTGACCAGAACTGGTAGTCGCACCACTTTACAATAAAATTCTGCGATGGACGTTGAGACATTGGTGATGTAATAAGGTGCAAGGTTTACTAATAGTAGTAGAAGATGATGTAATTAAGTCCAAGGTTTACTAATAGTAGTCAAACTCTAGATATGGCGAGACCAGACCATTGTACAGTTTTGAGTTTGTCTTTTCTGGGATCTCCTAACGTTATTTGCTAATATAGTGCAGGATGCTGTTAGGTTTGTTTATTGCTACTATGCACTGTTTTGGCCTGGGACTACTGTTTAACTTACAAACACCCCTAAATTTCTTTCACCTTGGTTGGCCAGTTCCATCCCATTCATGAAGTTACATGCATCTCCTATTCTTCCTTCCTCTATGATGCACTTTGCATTTATCTGTATTGAATTACTTTGCCAGTTATCACATTAAGTGTGCACATTAAATTAAACTAATTTAAAATTAAGTTAGTTACTTAGTTGGTTACAAACTTAGTTACAAACTAAAAATTTCTGAAGGTAAGTGAAACATTTCAAGTCTAATAACTTTATTTTTATTAAAGGTTGGTAACAAGCGTACAAAATTTTCAGTACAAAAATGCATAATATAATACATTCTCAAAAAGAATGAGCTATTTACAAATCTGGGGAGGCGAAAACGATAGAGAACGTGGTCTTCTGTGAATTTGCCACTTCACAAGATAACCTGTGAACCTTTGTGTATTTTTTAAATTAACTTTTATATTTGGCAAAATAGCCGGAGGGGAGGGGGGAGTTAGGCAAGGGATTGAGAAGAGGGCTATTCAGACACTCCTGCAAGAAAGTGCTGAACGGGGCACAACCACCGTGTTTGTTTCCTATATTCTCTGTGGTCTGGTCTGGGTTACCAACCGTCACAGTTTATCAAGCATGGTCTTTTGGACAAGGTACCAGACGGCTGTCCTTGCCACTGTTCACGCATCCCAATTACATCACAGCTTTCAGAATAGGGGGAGAGAGAGGTACAGAACATTGGGTGGAGGTTGAGAGGGGAAAGCGTTACCGGTCGGCCCACAACTGGGTTTCATTTGTCAGCGAGCTTGAAAGCGCCTTTCGATTGCCTCGTTCGATTACGACAGCAAATGGCAACGGCCGCAGCACCCTTCCCCTCTCCTGAGGAGGTTACCACACATGTGTTATCCACAGCATATGCTCCGTGAGTGCGGGAGCCGTGGGAATATGCACTGCAGCCAGTCAATGTCCAGCTTTCGTCGCATGACATGCTGACCTGCAAGTGAAAACATGGTGCATGAAAAGGCGGGCGAAGGACAGCCATAGAATCGAGAGGGATTCGAGTAAGCCGAGTGTTTCGGCTTAAAACGTTCTTGTACAAAGAAAAGAGGTTATAAAACTCAATTTAGAAAAGGCTTCACTCTCAAAAGGCTTATCATTATCAGACCTTAGTTTATGGTATACATGAAAATCCAAGGTATTGTGCAAGTGGAAAGACGCTGACCATGCTGAGTGTACTTCCCTTGGTAACTTCAGGGTGTTTTTTTTTTAAATGGGATATTTGAAAGGTGACTGAGATGTGCTCCGTGAATGACGAGAAGGCTAAATCGTAAATGGCCAAAAGCCTATTCTTTAAAAAAAAAATCAGTGGATGTTTAGAAGAATTAAAATTACCTTTCCTGTGAAGCCCATAGGTCCTTGTTCCTTCACCTCACACTCTATGCTTGGCACGTGGCAGCAGGTAGCGTGCGAGACCATCCCTGTTTGCACTGCACAGTGCTTGTTTGGCAAAGGCCTCACACTGTCACTGAACTGTCCAAAAGAGTGTGAGCTGCAGCCTGTCAAAATACAAAAGGCAAAACACTGCAGATGCTGGAAATTGGAAATGAAAACAGAAATCGCTGGGAACACTCGGCAGGTCAGGCAGCATCTATGGCAGCAATTGGCTGCCGCGTTCGCCCACAAATATACAGTCAATTCACTTTACAGTGTGTTCTGTGAAGCGCTTTGGGACGTCCTCCCGACGTGAAAAGCGCTATATCAAATGCACGGATTATTATTATTATTATTATGGAGAGAGGAAAGTGGGTTAACGTTTCAGGCCGATCACCTTTCGTCAGAACTGGTAGATGTTGGAAGGGAATATGATCTCATCATCTCCTGTCCTCCACCTAATTTTTTCCCTTTTTCTTTCCCTGACCCCTTCTCTGTTTCGCTTTATAATTTGCACCGTTCCAACATCCCCCGGTTTGATGAAAGGTCATTGGCCTGGAACGTTAACCCACTCTTCTCTCCGTAGTTGCTGCCTGACCTGTCAAAATATAAGTTGTGTTTATTTCTTTATTTTTTTTGGACCCTTTTGGTTTCCCATCTGTTTCCTACTGCAGGGATTTGTGCGTTATCCACTCCGTAATCAGGAGTGAGAGATCGTATACATTTAAATCAAACTCTGAACTCCTGATCTTCACTAAGCGCTGAGCTACTTACTTGGCAAAGCTTACCTCATGATTTGGTTGGTGTGAATGTGCCTTGAAATTAAGATCTAACCTGCAGTTACCCTGTATCCAATCCCATTTTAAATTCCGCTCTTACCAGTCAGCGTGTAATCCTTGTGTGGGCAGCCTGCCATCAGTGAGGTGCCATCATCAGCCTGTAAGCTGGCATTAACCACGCACTCTGCTGTCGGCCAACTACAGCACCGGGCGATGGCATAAACTCCATGACTGCCAAAAGCGTTATGGGCCACGCATTTCTTCACACTTCTTTCCTCCTATAGACGCACAGAAAATAAGATTAGAAGGGAATTGTGTCACTACTTCCACTGATGAATTTTATCACACAATTGTACCAACTGCTGACATTAACTTAAGTGCAAACTAAGCTTTGACATAGTGGCTGGAAGTGAGTCAATTTGAATACTAAGTTAATAATGCAAAGATCCCGTAGGTCAGGATGAAACACTCCTGGGTGACTCCTAAACACCATTACAAATCAACATCCTCTCTACTGGTGTTTTCTCTTCTTCCTCCCAATTTATTTGCGTCATCATAAGAGCTCCCTCCATACCTCTATGTGGTCACCCCTTCTCTTTCCATTCCTAGAGAAACTTGAGCAGCTGAACATCTCCTCGTTCTCGCTGCAGTGAGCTACCGCCTTCGCGGAGCGTGCAAGTCCCGATTGCTTGGACCACACAGTCCGGCACAAAAGCTGGTTCTCTGAAAACAAAAACAATCTATTAGGGTCGGGAAATTTATTGTAATTTGGTCACTCAATCCACGACTGTTTTGGGGACACTGCTGTGCACAATTGGCTGCTATGGTTCGCCCACAGCTCAGGAAAGTGGTCGTGTGGTAGGATATGACATCTTTATTTTGAAAGTAGAAAATATAATAATAATAATCATCCTTACACATTTAATACAGCGCCTGATCAAGTCTTTGAGAGGTCTCAAAGCACTTCACAGAATATATTGTAAAGTGAATTGACTGTATTTTGTGAACAAAATGCTGTCTTGTGTGTGATATTAGAGATAACAGAAATATGTTCGAAGATGTTAAACTTTACGAAGGTAGATTAGGATTCAAGTCTTCTTGAAATCTACATTATACCATGCAAAGTATCTCGCACAAACTAGTGTTGGTAACGTACCAGTAAACACGAGGGAAGGCAATCCTGCTATCCTGTTTGGTGTGATGAGTCTTTGCTCCTCTGGGAACCACACATCGCTGATGGCATTCTTTGTAGAATATTGGATTAGCCTCTGACGCAATGCGGACGCAGTGATATTGGGATCAGTATTCATTATCACTGCGGCAATGCCTGACCAGGATAAAATTGAGAAGGAAGTTAAAAAGCAACAGGAAAGTATGGATTATGGATGGTGAGCATTAAAATGATTAAGTGTACAGTTGTCTTGAGAGTACAGTGGTGCTTTCAATCTTTTAATTGATGCTTTCAATTGTGCTCTGTAATGATCTAGGAGTTTTAAACACTTTAAGCAGTAGTTTCGGGGATAGGGCACCCCAGGCTGCCATCCTCACCTTGGAACTGCCTACAGCAATTGGCACGAGTCCACACGAGTCCATTCCAAATCCCTGCCTCATTTCCAGTTGCTACCACACAGCTATGCCCTTGGTGCGGCCATAAATTTAAAAATATTCAGTCAAGAAAATGTATTAGGTTGAGCCATCACTGGCCTATAGCAGGTGGTTAAGAAACAATTGTCGCAGAGAATGGAGGCTTATGTTTTCAGGCCACCAAACTAGACATGGTGGGCACTCTTCAGCTTTCTAGTCAAGAAGGATCACCAGAGCATAACACACACAGCCTGGGAGAACATGGTTGAGAGAAGGAACTTGTTTGGCATGTTGAGAATTTAGAGCGATTCAGTGTCCTCCTGCTCTCTGGTTGACACCTTACTTTGGAGCCGAGCGAGTGCACTCACTGACTCACGTCTGGCCCAGGCGACATTACCTGCCACGTGAGCTGCTGCCTGGGACGTTCCGCTCTTGGAGGTGAAGCAGGTGATGCAGTCGCTGGATGCGCTGATAATGTCATCGCCAGGAGCAAAGAGGTCCACACAGCGGCCAAAGTTGCTTCCCATGGTCCCCAGGTGGGTTGGCTGGTTATTAAAATTGATGGCACCAACGGTGATCACCTAACGTTTGGCAAGCAAAGAAAGCAACTGTTTATAAGTTTCTTTGAAATCATACATACTTTTATTCCCATATTTTGCTTTATATTCTGCCACTTGAAGCCTTCTGGTCAGGAGAAGTATACCCAGGCCTCGCTGCTGTTCTACAATCAACTACTGAGATGTCGAGTGGTGCAGTTGGATAGCAAAGCCTTGGATGATGACACCAACACCAACCTACCCCTGGTTCTGATGCGGGTGAGTACGAGCAGGCATCATCCCTGTAGTTGCCGGCAGCTGCGATCAACGTGACCCCAGTGTGTGTCAGCATTCTAGCTGCAGAGTTCAGTGTGCGACTGAATCCCCCAGCGAAGGGCAGCAATACAATCATAGGACGGTAGGGCTGGACAATCACAGTGTTTCTGATGAACTCTAAGCCTGAGGAATAGAGGAACGTGTCGATATCATTATTAAAAAAAAAAAGACAAGTATTTGATATTGTTAAAAGTGCAGAATCCTTTAGTTTTCCAGTTTGGACAAAACAATCGCTACTATTCAATTTCTACAACCTACAGTGTAAAGGAATCTGAGGATCAGTCCTTTTGAGGAAGGGGGAACCGCACACATAAAAACAGGGGTTAGGCCATTCAGCCCCTCGAGCCTGTTCCGCCATTCTATAAACTCATGGCTAATCTGTACCTCGACTCCAAACACAACGCTCCTTTGCTGGGTAGAGTGCTGCCATCACTGTTTACCCCAGCAAACACCCCTCAGCACAAATTGTATCTGATGTATCAGGACAGTATCCTTCTATCCTAATTCCGAATTCTGCTGTGAGCAGGATGGGTGTGAGAACAGTTTAACGAGTGTCGGCAAACCTGCTGTAACCTGTGAACATCACTCACCAGCCAGAGCTCCACTCGTTACCCCTTTGCCTTGACAATTGAGGATTCTTACACTACGGACGTTTGCTCCTTTTGCAACTCCAGAATCCCGACCGCTCACCACCCCTGCAGTGTGCGTCCCGTGGCTATCACATTTACTAGTCTGGGGAGGAGAACAGAAACATTTGCATGTTAGAAACGATCATCAATAAGAACTACAGGTAGGTGGTACACTTTGTTCCAATGCTACTTTTAACTGTGGGAGTTCAGTTGGAATCCAGCCAGTGGGAGCGAAGGTTTCCTGTGTTTCTCCCCTCCTCCATATCCTAAATGAAAAACACTTGAGCAATCTCATTTCAAGGTCTGCTAGAGACGAACGCACGTCCTATTACTGTATTGTTCTGTATGAGCTTTCTGCCCTCTCTCAACAGCAACAACCACAACAGTTCTCCAAAGTACACAACTGGTGCTATATTTTCAGATTTGCCCTTGTATCGTCAAAGATGCAGTCTTTCAGGTGAAATGTGAAACCCAGAAGTTGTGGTGATTCAAAGGTGAAAGAGAATAGAGTCCCTTATTTCTGCTGTCAGCACTGGGTAGTAACTCTGCATCCCTGGAGTGTGAGCTTGGTTGGGGCATTGTCAGATTACAGTGACGAAACAGGTTGTGAGTCTGTGAAATGGGGTTTGAAAGCTGTGAGGCGAGTCCTAACCATAAATTGTAATTTCTCTGAATACAGACCCAGTGATTCAGAGGAAGCTAACAATCAGTAGACAGGACAGGCAACACAACACTTTGATATCGCTTAATAAGCTAGAATCCTAAAGATACTGTGTTGATTTATCTTGCAAATACACCCTATAATGGTGAATGTTTTTCTCTTGTGTCCTCCTTTTAAACCCTTCACCTCTTTCTCAATTTTCGCACTTGACAATGTCCTGGTGTTACTTGGAACAAATCTTAATGATACTTTGATAACCAAATATCTATTTCTTGGCACATTCACAATGCCCATCCAGCAGAAGCTTTCTCAGCCCTTTCTCTTTATTTCAAGTAACGCTCTCTTACCTGGCGGTAGAATCGAGTGCCATCCTCTTCTGGAACGCTCTCAAATTCTGTGACCAGAACCTTGCCTTCAATTTCTCGGTGGTTGCTCTGAATGCTGGTATCAAGTAAGTAAACCTCCACCAGGTCACCATTATCTAGCAAAAGAGGAAATTAACCAGATATCTGAGTCTAAAACATCTTCATCTCTAGGACTTGAATTGCAATTTAGCCGAGACGAAGGTAATCTGGAGGTGTCCGAGAGAGAGAGAGAGAGAGAGTGCGTGTTCCATTCCAACAATCTATCTCTGGAATTTCCATGAGTTGGTGGAAAGCATTGGATTCTGTACGGTTTGGATCCTCTTACGCACGGTGAAGCATTCCAACGTATGTCAGACACCCGGCTAGCAAAATAAAGCCTATAAACACAAGTCCACATCACCAAACTAACCATAATTCCTCAGTAAAAAAGTTTATGAGCGAATCCATGGAAAGAAATGTAAATATCACACTGGTGTAGCAATTTGTTCTCCTGTGACTGGGGTCAAGGTAAACTGCGACAATAATTTCTACAGTGTTTTTACCATCAATTCCCCATTATTGTTATGTTGGATCTATGCTCAATACAACCTAATATAAGCACTTTGCAACACAGCTTTGATTTCATACACGATTTACGGCAAAAGATAAATCTGGTGACAATGTCACTCCCCTTTCTGTAAAGAGCTCAAATTAGCAATTCTCCGCCAAACCAAACCACTAAACTGGCTTGGGAGTTATTTAATGAGTTTCTGACAAGGATTTAAAGGTACGCACTTAGAGGAGTGTACTGTTCTCGCTTCTCCTCAGCTGGGACAATGCGATGGAGGTTCCAGGGGATACTTTGTGCAAACACCAAGGAATCCTCTTCGATATATTCAATGTGAGGCAATCTCAGAGCCTTTGAGAAAAGATAGGTCACAAAACGTTGTGTGTTAGATGAGCAAAATATTCATACAAACCACACTGAACAGGGCCTTCCCTAGTTTGTGAAATATAATGATCTTCAGATGGGACTCGCTAGTATTTATTTATTCCACTGAGGTGTGAAACTAAGTGAATTCTGAAACATTTCATCCACCATTTATTGTCAGATTCTGCTGTATACTAATGATGGTCATTAGTGATTTTACCCCATTCAGTCTATAAACTATATAATGGACTACATTTAACACAGTGCTCTCCGTATAGCAATTATGCTCCTACTCTTACATTTATTACATTATTATATCTGATTGCTCATATTAAGCACATGCTCTCGATCTCCTTTTGCATAACACAAGATCATCTCTGACATTACCATGTCCAACACATCACTGCTCATCTTGATGACAAAACCCTGGAAAATGTGCCGGAAAACATGAACCAGCTCAGTCATGTAGCCATGTTTGGCAGCTTTTGTCCGGAGCCTGTTGATGGTGCGTTGTGTCTGGGAATTGTGAGTATTCTCCTTCAGCATCACGATGTACTGTCCTGGCAGTCTCCAGGCATCCTGGAAGGGAAGTGAGAAACGGCTATTGTTCAGTCATCAGGTTAAGTAAATGTCCATCATAAATCAGAACAAAATGATCAGCTGATCAATCCGATTCTTTTCACGCAGTGAGAACAAATGCTGTTCATTAAGAACCACAGAGAGTAATAATAATCTTTGGATTTGATATAGTCCCTTATCATGTCATTGAGACACCTCAAAGATGTCTGTAAAGTGCCAATCTCTTCCAATGGTACGCCAGGATTTAATATCATATATTAAATATTTTAATATACCGATATATACATATAAAATATGCTACTGTTTTGATTTCAGTTCGGAGCTACCTTCATGCAATCAGCAATATCTTTCTTGCTATCTCTGAGTGCAGTATAAGAAAGAAGTTCTGCTGAATCCTGCACTCCTCTTAATTCCTTCCACCCCACCCCAGGAATAAAAGCAAATCCATAGTCATGGGGTTGAAAACAAATTCTAGATCCTCTGTTAAACCACAAAATAAGTCAGAACGTTCATTACGTCCTCAGTGGAGTTAACACAAAAGCTAAAAAAAATGTCTTAAACGTTATTTTATATATCGTTTTGCGATCATTTTCAAGATCAGACTACATCACCCTGTCACCCCGACCATATCAAATACACAGTCAATTCACTTTTTACAATATATTCTGTGAAGCTTTTCGAGACGCGTCTCAACAATGTGATAAAATGCTGTATCAAATGCAAGGATTATTGTCAGTATTACTCTGAAATGTTCCCACACTTGGTATTGACTTTGTAATATTGCACATATCCCTAACAATACTATTTTCACAATGGAGCCTTTGACACTATTTCCAGCAACTTTGGCTGATTTAATAAATCTACATACTAATGTGATGGCCTGGATTAATCTAATCCTAATTGCAATGTACTGAAATACTTCATGGCAATGTTGTACATTATATGATATGTCGTTAGAAATTCTTCAGCCGCACCTTTTATCTGTGGGATAGCATTGGTTCTTTCTCTTTGTTACAATTCCTCAAAATCTATCAGAATAGTAATAGATTAATAATAGATATTTGATAATTTTGCCAGTCAGAAAATTGCAGCGCTTTATTGAAGTTATTCAGTTGCAAACAATAATATTTTCAGGGAACAGAAAGACAGTTTACAGCCAATGTTTAAATAAATCAAGTGCACAGAGGCAGTGTGTTAAAAGGGAAACCGTACGAAAGAATTGGTGCAGTTCATAGAGATGAAAAGCATTAAGGCAATGAGGCATTGGTTGGATAAAGGCAATTCATTTACAGAGGAATTTTTTTTATCTTCTCTGCGTTGCATTATTTCAAAGCAATGTCAACACTGAAATAGACTCACAAAAAACACACTTACTTTGTTGGATCGGTGAAAGGGTGCAGGCATGTTCTGAGTCTTAGCTTCAAACTCTACAAACGTTTCATAAATGGGAAAAGTTTCCAGAATCTCCTCCTCGAATTCCTCTTCTTCCTCAAACTCTAATGCAACAGACAGAGTTACAAACCAGAGGAGAATCACTAAGTTTGGGCAAACTTTAAAGCCACGCATATTGCAAGCCTGTGGGTTTCAGTTGGAGTCTCAGTGACAGGCGTCAAGGCTCTGTGTTGGGGGTTAAATACCTGGGGACAGATGCGGGGGCTGTTGATGTGATGGTCCCTGGTCTGAGGATCACGCCACTGCTCTCACATCGCATCAACCATTCATATCAAACTTCACCTGCCTTTGGAAAGCCCACAGTGATCAAATTACAAGCCAAGTGAAGCGAAAGACAGCCCCTTTCCATCAATGTTCAACCTACCTCTCTCAGCCCAGAGGAACTCAAGAAAACATGTGCTAAACTATGCAACTTACACATTGCTTTGCACATAAGATTGCACAGTTTACTGTATAAGATTGTAGAGTTGTGTTAAATAATGGATCAAACAATGCAATTATTTAAAATAATATTTTATACATGTGTAAAAAAACAGAGGGTATGTTACTCCTATATTCGTGGGGGAAAAAAAGAGAATAGCGAGGAAAGGCTTGCCTGCCTAATGATATTTGTTGAAACACAAAAGAAATGTTCCTAAATGTTGTTAGTGAGCAATGCCTTAGCTCAATTTAAATTCAAATCAACCATCGAGTTGGCTGCGCTGGAGCATTTGACGCTTCTGAAACTCTAAACCTACCCAACCGAACATTATTGGAAAAGAGAATAGAATTTCTCCCAGCGTGCGCCAGATAAATCTGTGTTCATGACTGTTTGTGACTATTTATTGAGCAGTATTGATAATAACAACAATTTGCATTGATGTAGCATAGGATAATGTATCAGAGAGCTTTACAACGATGGGTCGGTACATTTAGTGACTTGTGTCCCAGGTCATTAAAACCCAGATTAAGTTTAAAAAAAGAAAGCAATTGCATTAAAAATATATGATATATTACAAGCTGCTTTATGCAGCAAACAAATCATTCAGAACATAAGATTTTACCAATGAAGAAGACGTCGAGAATATCAGCGTTTGAAATCGTATTCTGGTAGGATATAGGTTATCTGAGATTAAGGATAAGGTAAGATGTTGTTGCTGAGTGACATCAGCACAGGGTGACCCACTGATGCATAGTGAGCTGTGCACCATGGTTGCATTTCAATTTACAATCCCATCTAAAAATCAACCCTTAAACACGCATTAAACGCCAACATCAGATGTTCTGAATAGGGTGTAGGTTTCCCAATGGGGGTAACGTAGAAGCAACTTGAATTCAAATTGTAGAATTTATTTTAAAATATCTTAAGAACAACTGGCGTCAGGATTTTGAAACTAAGAGTGAGATATTCCTGTGACTACTCTTGACAGTGTGAGATTTTAATCTGAGTGGTTCTAATCTGAATGGGCTGTACCCTCGTTTTTACACATTATACCGTTGGCGCATCTCTTTTTGTGACTTTCACGTTTGTGCATCTTAAAAGTAACCGATGGTGTTCGTCAAGTTATAATTGAAATTATAAATACAGCTCAAGTTTACGATGTTTGGTCCAGAGCACATTGGGTTAATAGTTCCTACACTGTATCTCAAACTTTTTTTTCCTTTCTCGTTCGATTTGTGGAAGCCAATCAGATTTATGGTTAAGTTGAGATAATCTTGGTTTCCTGGAAACACCCTTCTCCACAAGCCCAGATGGCAGTGTAGGGGAGGGAACTCCAATTCTGTAAGTTTAGATTAAAACATCTTTAAAGATGTGCACTTTGTTCACTTGATGTGTTAATCAGTGAATCCACTAGCTGGAGTAAAACTAAACTATACAAGCCGCAAGCTGCTCAGAGATAGGGGCGGCTGCTTTTGGCTATTGCTGACATCTTTCCCCAGTCACAGTTACTGGGCCCCTTTTCCGTTGCCCACTTTGGCATGTTGTCCATTGTATAAAATCCCTCTGTATCCTTCAATAGCTTTGGTCACTTTTGCCCGCATGTTTATAGTACATTCTGGTCCATCCTACATCCTTTGCACATATTTGCATTTTCCTTTACTCCTGATGCTCTCTCCTCTCTTGTTTTTTTGTCACCATTGGGGGCACTTACACTCCTCGTCTGATGTCCCTCTCCCTGACCGGCCCCATCAAGTATACTGCCTGATAGACATGCTCTCCTGACTCAACCAGCTCCTTCCAAATTCCAGCCTACCAATTATACTGCGGTTCAACCCAGCTTCTTCCCCTTTTCAAACCAAGAGCTGAGCAGAGTGGAGAGTGAATATTAAATTGGAGCTTCTCCATGTTACTTGGGTTTCCTTCTGGGTTTGAGTATAGAGCAGTGGTTTATGGTATCCCACAAGATGTTTAGAGTAAGTGCCGGCCAAAAAAAAACATCTCCTGTGCTTGTGAGACATCAGCCGAAATGTAAGCCTAGCCTCAACTACTGTAGTAGAACCACAAATAGAGATTATTGCTGTTGGAGGTTAAGTTCAATATAAGACTCTTGTTGGCCTTCCGAAGTGTTCTCTATTTTGAAGGGTTGCATGTCTGAGAAATCCTTATTGTAATTTCAGTTCTCTCCTTGTAGTTTCTTAGAGGGTTGTCCTTTAAATGGGATGTTGCTGTAAAGGTTAGCAGTGTGAGTCAGTGGTCTAATTATTTCCTAAAGTCCCACTCAGTTTCCTACCCAAAACGGCTTAGATTTTTTTGAATTAGTCGTAGTTTATACGTCGGATAAACGGCTAAATTGTAATGGTTTCTTGGTCCAAATAATCCTAAATCCTATGCAAATCATCTCCTTACTTGTAATGCTGCTGCCGCACTTACCCGCCAAAAAAACAAAAACAATAATAAATTGGTCATTTTCAATCTACGACTGTTTGTGGGACATTGCTGTGCGCGATTGGCTGCCGCGTTCGCCCACAAATATACAGTCAGTTCACTTTACAGTGTGTTCTGTGAAGCGCTTTGGGACGTCCTCCCGACGTGAAAGCGCGATATCAAATGCGAGGATTATTATTATTACCGGCTGCTTTGAAGTAAGCATGCACAGTGTTCTGTTTGAAACAAGCACGGGAAACAAAGTCTTGACTCATCAGCCATTGATAAAGTGCCACATGTGCAGTACATTACAGTGTTCTCCGTTGAAACAATCAAGATCTTGACATCAGGCAATAAGGTTCAACTAAATGCAAGTTGGTGACAAGGACTGTGCACTTGTTCACTGTATTTGTTATTTGTTAGTCTGACTTATACATAACTTTGCACATATACTTATGAAATGACTTGTGCAGGTTTGCCTGCAAGTTTACCCTTGTAAACCTTATTATAGTTACCCTTAGTGCAGTTCATAACGTTGCTTATAGTTTACAGATAATGGTACATTTTGTCTAATATGAAACCTGGTATCACTAGAGCACTGCTGGGCAATGCCAGAGGCCTTAATTTGTTCCACTGTTATTTTTATTAAGTTTTCCACTGTGTTTGCGTGGCTCTGCTGTGCACAACATGTTTGCAGCTTTGTGATTTGAAACAGGTGCGACATGTGCAAGACTGACTGGAGTAGCAGTACCACCTGGTGGTACAATCTAGTGCTGCAAAAGAGAGCAGTGCAACAGTAAAGAAAATATACAGCAGCACAGAACGGTAGAGAAACCACAATAAACATGATATAGATTCACTGGGCTTCCCTTTATATCCCCCTCAATTCGCAATGCTTCAACGTGCTGTGCCGAGCAGTGGTAAGATGAAGGTGAACCCAATAGCTCATTCCGGTTATGGTTTAACATCAGTTAACGCTGTGAAGCCCAGGGTAACTGCCCTCCTGCAGGGAGAAGTCAGCGAGATCTCCGCTACTCAACCCTCTCCTGCCTCCTTGCATGCAAGCAGCATTGACAGAAACGTTCAGTTGTATAGAGTTCTGGTCAGACCTCCTCTGGGTTCAGTTTGGGCTATGATACCTCCGGAGAGATGTACTGACCTTGGAGGGCAGCTCAGATTGACCAGAATGATGCCTGGGCTGAATGGGTAAAGTGTGAGGAGAGGTGGTCAAACTTTTGTGATATTCCCTTAAGCTGAGCAGGTTCAGGGGAAATCTCATTAAGATGTTTAAAATGATAGCAAAGTAATTTGCTGAGGTAGAGAGACAGGAACTCATTTCCTCTGAATCCAGAACAAGAGGACATCAACCTAAAATTAGAGCAAAACCAATTAAGAGTGAAAGGAATAAAATGTTTTTCACACAAATATTTCTGGAGGCGCCAAATTCACTGCTCCTGTTCTTATCTTATTCTTACGAGAGTAGGACATCGACTCACCTTTGCAGTCTGGGCATGATGCTTGGAGGACATAGCTTTATTAATACGAGCAATGTTTCACCTGTCTTCAAATAAGGAAAAACACAACACAGGTTTCTTGCTTGTGGCAATTAAGTGTTCGTGACATTCAAGTTAACTAATATGCAGTTGTCAGCCCCACCACACAGCTGTATCGTTGGTGTAACAACAAGGCTGGTCCAAGCTACTTGGCTCATTTGATGTCAATGCAATTGCTTTGACATGAAACGTCTGTTTTCCCTTCGTGTTTATGGTATCAGAGCAGCTGTGCTGCTAGAATACAACTCACTTTCTTGCTAAAGAGACATTGTTTGGGATTATGTGGGTTTAAAAAAAAATAAGATTAGAAAACGGTCCTTTCACCTCCGAGACCTGGATTCAAATTCAACAACAAAAACATGCATTTGTATAGTACCCCTCACACGGGATTGTGTCTCGGAGAGCTTAACCCAAATTCAAACCAAATCGTTGGAATGAAAATCTTCCCTTTTTCCTGGCTATTAGTGTCCATAATTAAATGAGTTTGGAAGATTCTCTACTCATTTCCTAGTTGACAGGAGGACAGTGAAGAGAACAAAATAGCCCTTTCCCTGACACTGACATTCTTCGCGTCGACAAATAATAAAAAGGTTTGCAAATAAATATTTATTTTGAAAAAGTGAAATTTGGAGCAGGGCAGATCGACTGTAAATTTAGAACCAGAAAATATAATTGATACAGATCCTTATGTGTTGCTACCTCTAGTCGGTATTCCCTTTGCCGTTTTCATGAAGTAATGAAAAAATGAGCTGCTATACAATCTTTTCATCCCAATGGCATGAGCACAACGGGAGAGGATTTTTCCCCCTTCCCCCACACCCACCAACTCCCTTTGCGCCAAACAAACGTAATTTGTCGTCTGAGGAAGTAGCCATCTTTCGCTCAACGTCACTCCATTAAAAACAGACCCCTCAGGAATGAGAGCCAACGCATTTTATAAAGTTCCATGTAACCCAAATCATACAACAGAAACATTCCAGCATTGCAATAGACGCTGTATTTTGTTCAACCTCAACTCATTCATTGTATAAGTAACCTGTAAGCATGCACACCCCGTGGGGTGTCAAAGGAACATATACACTATTTGCTTTGGCTGACAAGTGTTCTACTCAGTCACGGGCCATTGATTGTAGAGTCTGCATGAAAACGAGCTGAACAAAGCCAATCAGAGTTCTTGTAAAGGAGCCTTAAGCAGCCTACGCAATGTGCAGCACTCAGTTGACCTTGCTGTGCACTACCTGATGCAGAGTTACATTAAGAGCTTGGCCTCTCCTGTTAGAGTCAATTGTGCCCATTGGGGTGTGGAAATTTCCAACAATTCATAAACAAATCCCGGCTCTGTCACAGATCCCAATCTAATGGAGGAGCAAAAGTGGTGCATTTTGCTTTGGGTCTGTGGTATTATTAGGCCTGGCTATGCTTTGTGCGCTCGATTGATGCCTAGGTTATAAGTAAGACCCATCATTGCTGTGAGCACCCTTGTCATCACATAGAAATGTATTAGTTTTTTGAAAATGCTTCAGAGAATTGCAAAGCTACCCCACCTCACCTCAACTATCTGAAAGCAATCGGTTTGCTGGAAAATACAAATACTCTAAAATCATCTAATTATTTAAAGAGCAAATATATTCACACTTTTAAAATCCACCAGTTACAAGGAATTATCATTAACCTCTGCCTACGTCTGCCTGCCTCTCGACATTACTAAGTTATTAGATGAGACACTGACAACGAGACTCTACACAGAAATATCTTGAGAACAATATTCTTCGACTTCAGATTCCTCAGATATATTAAGAGTATTATCTTGTGCTTCATCGTATAACCCATAATACATATCATCTTCGACCTGGCCTCTTGATCTGACGTTCTGACGTTCACTGGAAGTGGATTGATCGGATTTCAACTCATTCTTAGAGATGGGGGCAACCAACTGGTTGCAGAGACAGTGGGTTTCGCAAGGTACTGTTTCAACAACGGTGATGTCTTCGTATTGAGGGAGGTTCCTACCCACTGGGCCCTGATCTTTGTTTCTCAAAGCTGACGGAATCAGTGATTCGTATCTGGGAAGAGATGAGATGCTTGAGGAGGACGGACTGATTGTAGGATCAAGGTCTTCGTGGAAGACAGCAAGAGGAGCCTTGCTACAGCATCCTGATTTACTACAAGAGGACATAAAGTGAAGATGATGAGAAGGAACATGGATTAGATAGAGACAGTGACACCTCCCTTTTAATAACAACAATTTACATTTATATAGTGTCCTTCATGCCAGATGATGTCTCAGAACGCTTAAGGATATTATTTCTCATCTTATGGTCACCTGGGTTTTTGACACATGTAGAAACTTAACACTGTGCGTTAAGACTCTCTGAATCAATGATCTCACGGCCCATCTTGGCTCATTAGGAAATACTCATTTCCAGACTCCAAAACTCTGGTTCTAAAACTCGGCAGTCAATTTGCACCAACAATGCCCCCTCCTCCACCAGCCATGAAGTGAATGCCCATTTAAAAAAAAATTGGGGGGAATTGTTGGCCAGGATATAGGGAGAGACTCACCATTTTTGGATTAAAAAAATAATCACCCTGACCTATAATCTCAAAGTCCTAATGTGACCCACAAGCATCCGATTCAGAGGGGAGAAGCTACCAACTGAATTGGGCTGACCAGGCCACATCTAACACTGTTGATAACAGTGAAATAGAAAGAAGACCTCACAATCTGAGTGATGAAGGCATTCAGCAACTGTTTGACTTCATTTTCTTGCATGTCCTGGTCTCGCAGTCCAGGTTTGAATGGTGTTTCCCCAGTGTGCGACCTCAACAAAGGGAATAAGGACCTAAATATAAATGTCCTCACCTTCTGCCAGGTGGGGTTATGTTATTGGAGCCAAGGCTAGAGCTCGTCTCTCCATCACTCTCAGAGTCCCTGTGAACCATAACCTCTGCCTTCAGAGAAGCCTGGCTATCTCGGTCCTTGTGCTCTGACTGAAGGGAAGTGGGAGGACTGCTCACTTCAGGGGGCTCCACAGCATGGGTCACTGTATATTGGATCTGCCTGGATGTCAGAAGATTTTTTACAAGCTGTCCACCTGCTTCGACGGAGATATATGGAGTCTGTGCGCTGGAAGAGAAAGCAAGTTTTACTGACTAGAAATGTACTGTACCACAAGCCTGACAGGTGCATGTGAGCCATGAACTCTCTGGAGACTCATGTTTAGACCTCCTGAGTAAACCATACAGCTTCACTATCTGCTGTCTTTGTTTCACCCACCCTCTGGTAATCACAAGTTGGAACAGTTCTACAAACCCTACTGGAACGTAAAGCCCTAAAATTCTTCCATAACAAAAATCCTTCTGCTGAGAAAATATACAGTCAATTCACTTTACAGTGATTTCTGTGAAGTGCTTTGAGACGTCTAGAAGACGTGATAAGCCACCATATCGAAAGCAAGGATTATTATTATTATATAACGATCCTCTCAAGGCATGAACTTCTTCTTGCACCAGAATGAGGGTCAAAGAGCTCATTCAATGAAAGATTCCAAGGTCGAGATCAATGCAAATCTCTTACATAGTTGATCCAAGTCCTAAGTTGATGAATTAAACTGCGAGAGAAAACTTAAGCAAAACATGTATTATAACAAAGACTCAATCTCCAGGTGTCTATTTGGATCGTCAGTAAACTTCACATATTTAATATGACTTATGCAGGACTTGGGCAGATGTACGACTTGGCGATTGTACAAGTTTTACAGATCAGACGTGTGTGAGATTTACTATGTATGGATTTTCGTCACTTCAACAAAAGTATACCACAATGAAACATTAAAACATTACATTAAATACCTCCATATACAGAGTGATCAAAATGTCTTAATTTTCAGCTACCCTATTATCTAAAAAAAAATTCTTTAAGACTTATTAGACACTGTGATGATATCACGACTTTTTGGTTACCCTGTATTTGCAACTAAAAAAAAAATAATTTTGTCCCACGTCCTACAAAAGCAGCCTCTACCACCAAGCCATGAAATGGTGATACAGTACTCCTATCTAAACTCCAAGTGTTCTCACTGGCACACACTTTAGCTTTGATTTAGTAAAGCTAAGATTAGGAAATCACACAGTAATTTGTGTAAGAATTTGTAACATTTATTCGCAACTTGATGTTCAGAATCCCTTACCTTGATTTGATGGGGACCTCACACTCTGACATGAAGGTTGCAATCTGACGCTTTTGAGAAAACAGATATTCCATGTCAGACTCCACAGCTGGGACAAATGTAATCTGCAAAGGAAACAGAGAATCAATCCATATTTATGATGGCAATGTGGTGAAGTTTGCTGGTCTTGGAGTAGACACATGATGATTCTTGTATGTAACCAAGGAAGAGAAAATCACTTCTTAAAAACATAAAGCAACCTTGTGCTAATGGTATCACATCACCAGATAAACCAGTAACTGTAGGAATATTCCATCACATTTATCCCCCATACCTTACCTTAGGGTAACATTGACAAATGCTCCAGGTTATCCCCACGATGACCATCAAAACCCCAACAGAACAGAAGGTGGCATAGACCTCAGGTTTGTCCACGTTCATGATGAACATCCCAATCATTATCAGGAAGAATCCCAGAACGATCAGTCCGTAGCGAAATGATTTATCCTCCGCCATCACCAGCTGAGAGCTTGGCAAGTCTTCAGGATAACACTCCAATAGAAAGTCTACTTTCACAAGCACAGTTGTACTTTATTCCTTTTTTAGTTTGCTACGTTCGTCCTGGTGCAATGAACGTTTGTGATGTAATGTTGATGGTTTTGTTTCCGCCAATCCTTCTGCACTCCAGTACTGCCCAATCCCACTCAAGTTCCATCCAGTCAGACTCAATGAATATAATCACTGCAAACACCTCTATAAAACCACGCACCATCGCAGTTTTACTGCCTTTACTGTAGCCATAACCTTCACAAGCAGGCATCCAGCAAGTGGAAATTTATTCAATAACTCTCTCCTCAAACTCGCACTCAAGTAAGAAATGCATAGCAGCATCAATCATCTTAATGCATTCCACAGTTTGTGCACATCACATACAGCCTAGATTTTAATTTCAGGTGAATTTTACCCGCTATAATTTTCTTTTGATTTTTTTTTCTGGAAACAGTAGAATTTTGCACAGAGCAAGTAATTAAGTTTACAGGAATTTAAGCCTCTGGTTAGTATTTTGCATTTTAAATATTTAACCACTGATTCCTTTTAATATGGATGCCTATGTTTGCTGAACCATTTTAATGTAAAATCATAAGTTTTTCTCGTTTTTTTTCACTGTCTTTTTCACTGACATGATGATGTGTTGTGAGAAGTGAGTCCAATCTAAGTGTCTGAACCTGAACATCGTGTATAATTGTGTCTCAATATTATTGTTTTGAACCGTGACTAGTCAGCAACACAAAGCAATCATATATTCAGATAAGTTAAGGCACCTGTATTTTTCCACATTAAAGTAACTGATTTGATGTCGGGTGTCTCTGATCGAGTCACATAATGTACACACAATGACAAGAGGTGGCTCAGATTCAAACCCCACTCTATCTGCTGTTATGCACAGCCAGGATATAGTTATACATCACAATTTTTCTACTCTTCGAAACAATTTCAGTGAGACACTTCTGTTTTGATGAAGCGCTCTTTCCGAAAAACAAATTCTCGCTGTAACGTAATTGACATACTGTGTTTTAGGTTTACAATCTCTACGAGATGTTATTGGGATGTGAAGGAGTGAGCAGCCTTGATGGGCCAAGTGGTCTGTTTCTATCCTGTAACATTATATGTTTCAAGTCAGTGAGTTGTGCCAATCTTAACAGGAGTAGATGTACAAAAAAAGACAATTTATATTATAGAATTTTTCATGTCGGAAGGACATCTCAAGGTGGTTAACACAGCTGGCTGGGAGGTTAAGGTGTGGGGGAGTTGAGGGAAAGGGGAGAAGCAATCAAAGCGCGATTCAAGAGTTACGGTATTAAGTTTGTTTTATCGACAGTGAGGAAGGAGAGAGGCAGAGGGATTCCGGGATGGAATTCAAGAGAGTGGGAGCAGAATGATTGAGAGCTTGACCACCCCTGGTATGTACTTACACAACATATGCACACAAACATTTTTATTGTACAACCTCTATGATAATTAGCAACAGAGCTCATTTTAAATCATTCGTAAAAAAATGGAAACGGACATTGAAAATATTGATATCAATTCCATATTTATTTATTCTGTTTGTGTATATGTATTTTATCCTGTGCTACATATACATAGTATATTGCATGGTCTCACTCTCAGTGACTGTCCTCTCATGTTGCAGAATGTTCTTTCCAAGAAGTTGTCAGGTACAGTATATCTGGTTATGTGTTTATTGTAAAGCAATTTACATCATTTGCAGCTTTGTTAGTACAGAACATGGGATACTACCCTGCTTGAGGGGGGCTATACAGATGCAAGTTGTTGTTGTTAAAGAACATGTTGAAAAATTAAGAAACAACGTATATTCAGAGTCAAAGGTGATTTGTGCACCAGTTTTGAAGGTGCTTATTTGCTGGGTCTTAAATTAATTCACATTAAAACAGCTGTTAAGATCAGGGACTGTAACAGAGGGAGGACAGATCATCCTTTAGTGGCCAGGAAGGAGTATAACTCCAATTTTAGCGTTTCCGAAAGATGTTAATAATAGTTACAGCGAAGAGTATATCATCTATTTCCATCTGTAGCTGAATCCCTAATTATGAGCATAATATTTTTGTTTAAAAATCAAAGCTCTTCACAATTGTAAAGAACTTTCACAAAATGAATAATTATTTCTTCCAAAATACCTTTTCCTATACATGTCCAGATCCTACAAAGCAATCCGGGAGTGAAATCCCTGGGGTTGTGAACATCCCCAGAATGATATTGTCTCCCTTAACTCTATCTTTAGAACTGTGAATGAAACTGAAAGTCTGCAAAGTGCATGGAAATGGAAGTTATGATGTATTCTATTAGGAGAGGATGGACAAAGAGGAGGGCGAAGACGAGAGAGAGTAGGGTTGATATAACAGCCTCCACCTGTAATATACTGTAAAGTGTAGTGACTGTGTATTTTATGGGCAAAACGTAAAGAATAAAGGGATGAGGTGACAAAGGGTATCGATTGTCCTCCACTTCCCGGTTCTTGCAGACGGTTATTGCTCTGTCTGTGCATGGAGATTCTCATAGCTCGGAGGTGGCGTGGTATATGTTAGGGAGCTTGGCCGCTCTTCTTGCTGAAGAACAATCTGAGCCACCGCTGTCTGTGATAAATCACCGTCAGGCATGCAGCGTCTACAGGGGCTGAGCCGAACCCTGGTGATTCCCATTAATGTTTCATACGACGGAGGGAGTTCTGGGTCTTTGGACTGTTGTGATCTCTGAGGATTACTGGATACAACCATCACCTCTGGCCTACTGTTGAGAGCCTCGATGTATGAAGGAACTCGAAGATTATCTGGTCCACTGAAAAATCGAGAAAAACAAATACATTTTTTAAATGATAATCTTTTAAAATGATTAATTTGGTTGTCATTTGTGCTCATTAATGAGATCAATTGGTGTGAAATATAATACATTTGTATCCAATATCAGCATCAAGCACTTTGGATCATGCAGATAAATATATGGTCGCCTCATCAAGAGAATGGGACAATAAGAGGGAAGACGCAGACAGTACCAACAAATACTGGTGGATTCCCTTCAATCACAGAAGGACTGTCAGTGAAAACTGGTATCTTGCTAAACAGCCACAAAGTGCAAATGCCAAGTTGCAGTTTGATGGACGTTGTTGACAATGTTGTTTACACACACATTCACATTCAATACAATAAATATTGAATGTTTCGCTAAAATGACCCCTATGTCCAAACATTTATTTGCTGATAGGAACAAAGAAAAGGGTGGTTATATTTCAGTTCATGAACTTCATTGAATTTCTCTTCTAGAACTTCACAATAATGGGGTCTGTCCTACCTGGGCCTGTATTTTGCTCTCCATTCCAGGGCGTTGGAGTACAATCTTATTCTATTCCAGTCTCTGTAACCTCTGGACATTTGCCTATTTACTTTCATAGTCCGCAAGAGGCCAAAAAAGAGCAGAACTGCTCCAATCAAACAGAATAAAATGCTGATTGACTTCAGTAATGGATTTGAAGAGGCTCTCTGGGGAGCAGCCACCATTTCTGGGTTTGGTGAGGTTGCTGGAACTTTAGTGGGCTGCAGCTGATCGTCGCTCCACCAGGCAAAACAAACAGAGCCAGACACCAAAAGCACAACTCCTCCAATAATAAATCTATTGCTCATGTGGTCATACGCCATTGGTGCAGTTTCCAAGGTTGAGAGTCAAACTGGTCCACCAGAGATCTGGCATACAGGGGGTTAATACCCGTTATCTGTGTGAGTCATGCTCTCTGGCCTGTGGGCATTGCTGCAAACAAACAGAAGTTAATCATTAATAAACCTGGTACAGTATATGAAGATCCGATCCAAAAAAAATTTAAAAGCTAATTGCACTTATATTCCATTTGAAAGTTTAATGGCTATGAAGTCATTGGTATTAATTTGAGAGTATCCGCGTCACGTTGGATTCTTATAGCGAAATGACAGATTAATAATAATAATAATAATAATAATCCTTGCATTTGATATAGCGCTTTTCACGTCGGGAGGACGTCCCAAAGCGCTTCACACAACACACTGTAAAGTGAATTGACTGTATATTTGTGGGTGAACGCGGCAGCCAATTGCGCACAGCAATGTCCCACAACAGTCGTAGATTGAAAATGACCAATTTATTATTGTTTTTGGTTTTGGAGGGATTATTATTAGGCTCTGTGTGGAGTAAGGAAACTTGCCCAAGGTTTCGCCCTCTGCCTGGAATTGAACCCAGGTGTCTCGCTTGCAAAGCGAGTGCTCTAACCACTGAGCTGCAGGACTCAACAAGTTCACACGATAAGGACAAAGAAAGGAAAAGAAATGGAAACGAAGAAAATATATGAATAAAGGGTAAAATAAAGGGAGACGAGTGGAAGAAAAGAGACAGGAATAAAGAGTGAAAGAAATAATCCAGAGCAATGCAGGAACGTGACATTCCCAGGCCAGTCACGAGGCATGTTTGTGTATTATTGGGGTAAAGATGCACTCTTGTTGCTTTCAAAACATGTAACTAATTTCTTTTCCATGTAAACACAAGACTCAAATGAAGGGAATATGAAAGCTGGTATTCAATCACAGGGACAGGCACTCAATGTGCTCTCACCTCTCGGTTATTGATAAGGGTGATGTGATGTGAAGCCCGATACAGACTCCATGGGCTGAGCTGCCTCATTCCATATTGAACATTTCTATATTCTGTGACTCAACATTCAATATTATAATAATCGTTGCATTTCATGTAGCGCTTTTCACGTCTTCTCGACGTCTCAAAGCGCTTCACAGAATAGACTGTGAAGTGAATTGACCGTATATTTGTGGGCAAAACGCGGCAGCCAATTGCGCACAGCAGCGTCCCACAGACAGTCGTGGATTGAAAATGACCAATCTATTATTGTTTTATTTTGGAGGGATTATTATCAGGCGTGTGGAGTAAGGAAACTTGCCCAAGGTTTCGCCCTCTGCCGGGAATCACTTGCAAGGCACATGCTCTAATCACTGAGCTACAGGACTTCTGCATAATACACAGCCAGTCCACGTTATATTATAGCCTGTGAGGTGTTTGAGATGTCTCAACTACGTGATGAGGGGCTACATCAAATAGAATTATTATTATTATTATTATTTATAAGAATCCTGTCCACATTGAATATATTGAATGGGTGCGTGAGCAGAATGCACTAATACATTGTGCTGTGGAGAGGTGCAGCACAGATTGACTCTCCCATTCTCTGCCAAGCTCGGTTCTGATCTAATTAATGCCTTGGAAGGGAGTTTCTAATAGAAATCTGTGGTCTTGTGCACCTCAAGTAGTTGGCTTCAGAGCAATACTGAAACAGCAGTACATTGGCTATTCATAACCTTTGTGTGAGGAAGACCATCGAGGCCATCCTCGTGTGTGGTGAAAACAACAGAAACAATCTCAAACAAAGACGGTTTGTCACATATGGGAGGGAATGTGCTTCCACTCTAAAGTATAACTGATAAATAACCAGAAAAAACTGCTCCCTTGACATTTGCAGCTGACTCGTGCTCCACCTGGATCCAGTACAATCTCCAGAAATCTGTTGATGTTTGTAAACCTGCACAATTCAATATGTATTCTGCCCGATCCTGGGCCTGATAAGATGGCTTAACCTGATTTCAATTTTTTTAAATCACGGACTCGGAACTATCTGGATAGAGCATCATCAATTTCTCTCTCCCCAAAAGGAAGCGCTTTGAGCTGTCTCAACAACATGATAAGGAGCTATGATCAAACGGAAGGATTATTACTGTTATACAGGCGTCCTCGCAGCCAATGTCAAAGCGTGAGAGCTTTCTTTCTTAGCCAGGCCAGGGAGGTTTCTGTGTGTCACATACGAAGCATAGGGAAGAAATGCGTGTGTGTACAGTGAGTACTTACCTAGGTTTGAATTCTCGAGCACTCCAGAGGTAAGCTCAGTCTTGAAGAATATCTGAGATTAAATGGTGAATGCAGCTAGAGACGAAAAACTTACACATGGCCCAGAAACAACTGATATAATATTCAAACTGCAGAAGCAGGTCAGGACTCTAGCTAACTCCTATCTCTGTCTGACAGGTGTACGATGACCGCCCCCTCAAAAAGCTTAAAGTACGTATTGTTTATCCACAAATTAATAGGCAATCTCAGTATTCAAATGCGAGTCCATCCCCAACCACAATCGCTCACTCATGTTTCCAACTCTAATTTATGCAAATTATCGAATGCACGAGGTACTTGCTATTAACTTGAGCTTCACCACAAATACCCAAGCTATCTGATAAGGTTGTAAGGAGACTGATTAGCTTTGCCAATGAGACAACTTCTAAGGGACTGTGGTGAAAACAATAATAGCAACAAACCTATTACAAAAGATCAGGAAATTAGATAAATTATTCGAAGCTGTAAATCCGTCCAAACTGGTGCTTGCTCATGAACTTTCAGGGTGAAAATTACCCACAGAAGTCAAATTCTGTGACAATTCGTGTTTTCCTTTCCACTTTGGGTACGTGCTTCTTTTTTTTTACAGAGCTCCGCCTTTATGAAAAAAAAAGGATTTGCCGAACCTGTTTCTCATTTGTTTTCAAATGCATAAAATATTGCAAATTGTACTGAATGGCATCACAGTTGAAACGAGGCAACTCCTTCTGTCTGTTTTCTTCATCTGCGAAACAAATTCCTTTAATTGCTTACCTGCACAAGACAGTTTACACCCTTCAAGTGGGACAGTGGCATTTCTGTGTTAAAGCAGGCTCCAGCCTGCTCCATGTCTCCCACCCGACCCGCCCTACCATCGGCGGCCGGACTTTCAGCCACTTTGACCCCACTCTTTGGAACTCCATCCCACAAACCCTTTGCCTTGCTCCCTTCCTTGCCTCCTTCGAGGCACAACTTAAGATCCTCCTTTTCAACGGTGCCTTCAGCCGCCCTCCTACCTCTCTGCCCTCATCTGAACCCTGCCCCGCTCCCCCCTCGCTTGGATCCTGAACCCTGACTGTTCAGCGCTTTGGGATGTCCTTCCGACGTGAAAGGCGCTTGACAAATGTAATTTTGTTGTTGTTAAAATGTTACAGTTCCATTCAGAGAATAATGTGAATTGAGACGTCTAGAAGACGTGATAAGGAGCTATATCAAATGCAAGGATTATTATTAATATTGTGTGGTTCTTAGGACATTGTTGTTATTCATAGGACTACCCAGCTACTCTTTAATATTACAGATACATCCAATTTAATTTGACACTCCAAAATGTTTTAATCACTTTTATTTCTGATAAAGAATACAGGAACCGCAGTAAAACAAAATAAGTTATTGGAGTAATCCACTGTGTGGCAAAAGATCCCAAAATACTCTTTAATTCTGTTTATTGAATATGACTGTGAACACCTACAATGGAAATTCCTTTGCGTTTAAGTTAAGTGATTAAATGACTCTTTAAATCCAATGTAAGACGTTTGTATTGGGACTCAATTTCAGAATCCAATGGTTTTGTCATAAAGCCCCACATTACACAATTGATCTTTCCATTTAGGGATATTCTCAAAACCAAACCAAATCAGGAGGGCAACGATAACACAATAGTTTTAAAATGAGTGTTTGTTTTAAGAGCAGCCTTTGCAACATTAGTGGAGGGTTCTGCAATGCACCACTACAGAAAATTGTCAGCGTTATTAGGAACCCACAAAGCACAGTACAGGGAGAGAGTCCAGAATGAACTCAAAATTGAAAAACGATGATGGATACGGAAAACTGATAACTTTTCCCCCATGGACTTAGTTTGCATAGTTCAGGTTCAAAATAGGTAAAGGTGTTGAAAAATAGGCCTCTTGATGAAACAACACCATAAATAGATAAATAGATAAATAGATAAATAGATAAATAAATATAAAGAGACCATTTAACCCAAAACAATAAGGATATTGTGAATCACGGGATATTAATCCCATGTTACTGCATGCTATTTTGTTGCTGAATGTCAATCAGCATTCTGTCAAATAGAATTTTTAAGCAGTGATTATATGTAAAAGAATTACTACTTGAGGAAATATATTCAATTAATAAAACATATCAGATTGCTGAGGTATCTCACCGGATTTACCGCAATTTTGCAGATGAGGATACATGATAATAATCCTTGCATTTGTTATCAAATCCAAAATGCATGAACAGTGATACAGGTCAGAAGAAGAACAAATGCAATCTCTCCAGAGTGATGACATCTTACTTAGATGTCACTGCAGATTAGGAGAAATGGCATTCCACAGTGGTACGAAAATGGAGTATTATAGGTTAAGTTAGATTTCTCCGCCACTCAGAAGTGTATCATTATGAAAAATATATGACCAAAACAGATAGCGAGGATAGCTATAATAGTAGGACTTCCTATAATTAAAGAGGAACCTCTCAATTAGTATCTTTATCTTTTTCCATTAATTTGACAGGCGTTATTGAGACAGCCAGTAACAGTATCTTTTCGGGGGCCGGGGGGGGGGACCTTAATTAAAGCATTTTTGTTTAATATAGCTCATCGACGATAATAGATTCCCCGGTGGGGTGGTGGGAGAAATATGCCCACGACACTCCCCCATGCAAGACCTTTCCGATGAGGTATAAATCACGTCTTTACGTCAATCGGTGATTGCGTTATTGACGGACGGACGGGAGGACGGACGGGAGGACGGACAGACGGACCGACCTCTCCACTTTGTTAGTATAGAGGTAACACACTGTATCTATTTATCCCGCGGCGGGTGCACGAGACGGAGGGGGCGGGGCCCACACACGCCCGACCTGCTCGTCAAACTCCCGTCTCCATGGCGACCGCCATCGGGGGGGCGGGCTGCGCCCCGCGGTGGTCTGATCCTCCCGGCGCTTCCCATTGGCCGGGCCGGGCAGCGCACGATGTGGGCTCACGTTGACGGGTGTCGCCCGGCAGCCAATCAGCGGCGCTGCCCGTCCCCGTTCTCCCCGCCCTCCCCACCCCCGGCGCCCGGAGAGCCAATGAAAGAGGGGCGGGACGGTGTGGGCGGGACTAGCGTGTCTCGGTGTTAATAAAGGGAGGAGAGCCCCGGGACGAGGGGGGGGTGGGCGGCGCGTGACGTCACGTGAGCGGAGCGCGAGCGGCCAATTTGGTCCAACGGTCGACGAGGCTTCGGGGGGGTCCACAGGGCCCGTCCAGCGGCGGTTTGGGTGAGGGCGGTCCGGCCTGTGTGTGTGTGTGTGTGTGAGAGGGAGGGAGGATGGACTCGGTGCTGTACTTGGCCGTGGTGCTCTTCCTCGTGCTGCTGTGGGTCCGCAGGAAGGGAGTGGAGTACCTGCTCATCCATCACCGCTGGGTCTTCGTCTGCCTGTTCCTGCTGCCCCTCTCCGTCGTCTTCGACATCTACTACTCCCTGAGGGCTTGGCTGGTCTTCAAGCAGTGCAGCGCCCCCAAACAGCACGACCAGCGGGTCCGGGATATCCAGAGGCAGGTGAGAGGACGGCGCGAGAGTTGGTGGTACGAGGAAGGGCACACGGCCGTCATGTCCTCCCCTCCCCGGTCACAGGGAAAGGGATGATCCCAAGACATTAGTGTAACCCAACCCACAATGATGATGATGATGATGAGGATTAATAATAATAATAATAATCCTCGCGTTTGATAGAGCGCTTTTCACGTCGGGAGGACGTCCCAAAGCGCTTCACAGAACACACTGTGAAGTGAGTTGACTGTGTAGTTGTGGGTGAAAGGCGGCGGCCAATTGCGCACAGCGCTGCCCCCGCGCACACAGTCCCGCAAACCCATGATGGGTTCATTAACGATCAACGCCTGCTGGAAAACGTTATGGCGATGAGCGTAATCCCATCCCTTGCACACTCCCTCCTTAAAAGAGATTTCCTGCCAAGGGGACAGACTCGGTCTTTTAACATCAAGTGGATCTGCAGACAAGATTACCGAATAGCTTGGCAGCGCGACCGCTGACGCGCTGGGAAGTTGTCAATTCCAATGAATAATAATTCGGTGGTATTGAAACTCAACTGAGCTGAAACAATTCTCTTTTATGTGATGGGATCACATCGCCTGGTACTATTTGCTGGAACAAACAAGTGTCTTTTTTTTGTGTGTGTGTGTGTGTGTGTGCGTGTGCGAGAGAGACAGCCCTGACAAGCTGGGTTTGGTTTATTATTAATTTTGGAAACTGATGAAGGCAAACTACGGTTATAAGTTTGTAGAGGCAGCTTAATATTATAGAAGTGTGACAAGTTTTAAAGGTTGCAGATTTTACAATAGTTCATATCAAGTTAAATTTATAATATTTAAAGAATAAATGTTCTATTCATCTTAAACCGGTACTGGTTCATCTACTGGCTAGCTATTATATTATAATCACAATTCTCAGTTCTTTCCGTCTTCCCCTTTTATATTCTTCCTCTTGTTGAGGAACCAAGCTTTGAATTGGATTTGTTCTGGCTTATCCTGAATTGTCACTCTGGAACAGAATTAACGTCTTACTTTGCTAGAACTTTGTAAGATGTTCCACATTCATTAATATCTTTACAGCTTGCATTTATTTCCAAAGGAATTAAAATGTGTATCTGGATTCTCAATTGTAATATTGTAAAGATTTTCATTCTGAAGATACATATGCATTTTATAAACAGCAATATTCTCTGCAATGGGAAGCTGCCGGACTGAACTCCTAGTTAGTAAATTTTAATTAGTTTTCCACAGGATTCTTTTGTGCAGTCTTCAATATCAACAATTTTAATTGCTACGCAACCCTTTCCTAATCCCCAAAATGGGACCTCATGCTGACACCAAAACGGCTGCCCTCAGCCAAAAGTGATCAAATTGCCCATGAATAGTTGCTTTATAAACTCAGATTAAGAATGGTCCTGGAGGGATTTACAAGCTGCTAGGGAAGTGATACTTCAGGAGAGGCAGCGTAAAGAACAAAATTGACACAAAATATGACTATTTTATAAGAGCCATTGTTCAAACCTTGTTAATGTTGATCATAATTAAAATTAACTTTTTTTAAGAAACACAACTGAATTGCTTGTAAATGTTTGGTGCCCCAAATAATCTCCCTCCCCCCCCCCCCCCCCACTGATGCCCTAATATTTCATACTGGAACGAACCTGCAGTATATTGCCACATGTGTATCTCTCTTCATTAATATTGCTTTTACTATGGATAAAGAAGGTCCTTTCAGGATAAAAGCTCTTTAATATTATGATAATAGGTTTGCTGCACATAGGACCCTGTAGCAGTGTTTTTAAAAAAATCATGGTGCAATACAATGCAAGAGGAAGAAAAGTGTAGCAAGAGTACTCATTTAATAGCATTCAACATCATATATGGGGCACAAATATAATTATAAAAGTGTGCTTTCCAGCAGCACACTTTTAAAATTGTTGCTTTCTGCAAGTGTTCACTTTCTATGATCTCTTTTCAAGTTAAGATTTATATCCATAGCCAGATGACGACAAACAATCTGTTTAACCTTGGCTGTAGCTATCGATTCTTCTGTGTGTGTGTTTGTTTGTGCGGTTTTAAGAAGGAAAGCTATGCCGCCCCACCACCAAAGGAACACAGTTTCCTTACCACAAGGGCTGGAAAGAATCTTTTCCAAGACCATTGCCATAGCAATTATTTCTAGAATATACATGAGCAGCACTGCAACTTTGATTGCTTTATAACCTTTCAGATATTTGATCGGTATCCATTTCTCAGGTCATACTGCTTCCCTAAAACCTTTTAGGTCATTTCAAAGGGTTCAATAAATTCATTTTGTTGAAAGGAGGAAAGTGGGAGCAAACTGATGGTCCTATAACTTTTTTCTTGATAGGTCTGTGAATGGAAGAAACGAGGAAGCAAAACCTACATGTGCACCGGGCGGCCGGGCTGGCTGACCATATCACTCAGAGTCGGCAAATACAAGAAGACTCATAAAAATATCATGATCAATTTGATGGACATTCTTGAAGTTGACACCAAGCGGCAGGTAGCTATTCGCATCTCAGTAGAACATCTTCCAAGATACGCGTTTAAATTTATAAAGGCTGTTTTCCTCAATCTGCTTATGCTTTCAGGGAAATCGCTGTCATAATGATTCCAACAATCTGGTAATGAAAAATTGGTTCTGATTGGAATTCAAACTCCTCCTATTTAGCTTTTTGTCTCTTGCGTGTATGTCCACATGCAGCGTGGACAAGCTGTATATTTCCTTCTCTCTGCAGCTTGTCCTCAGCTTCCCAGGCAATGTGCCATGCAAATGAGCAACACACTTACCCTCTGTGCCATCTGCCCATCAACTGACCCCGCAAAAGACTAGTAAATTGTTTAAAAACTATCTCTAGAAACGTTGCCTTTTGTCCTTGAGTAAAATAGTGCCTTGAGATACTGCATGATAATGACAGTGTTAAGGGAATCAACTCTCTTCAAGAATAAAATGCAGTTAGTTATATCCCTTATACATTGTTTAACTGTTTGCTTTATTGTTTATATTATTAGGCAATTTGAATGTTGCTTTAACTTTCTGTTCCAGGTTGTCCGTGTAGAACCACTGGTAAACATGGGTCAGGTAACAGCGCTTCTGAATTCAATTGGCTGGACTCTACCAGTTGTCCCAGAGTTGGATGATCTCACTGTAGGTGGGTTCCTCTCCTTTATGTGTTTTGTTTGCTCTCTGTGATTGCAGCAATTAATGATTGCTTGATGAGCTTCAGATGTAAATATTTTCAGGTTAATCACTGTAATATTTACTTTTCTATTCTGTTACTGAATTACTTCCTATTCTATCCTATTATATCATGGTGTAGTTGGTAGTTAAATGCAAGAAATGTTGATCTTTAAACTCAATGATACTCAAAAAATGAATATCCAGAAAATTTCCTCAACTGCTATCTGTTAGCATTATATTTCTATTTATTTTAGTTTGTTCAACAACAGCAAATTTACATTTCTTGAGGCAGCATATGGAGAATTTTACTTTCAAATCTTATATTTATTTACATTATATTTATATTTAAAAGCTGCAGTTGCATAATGGTTTGCTTGTTCATTGATGGAATAAACAGTATCTGTTTTGTTCATGAGTCTAAAAGTAGTTTTTTTCTTAGGTGGCCTTATCATGGGAACTGGGATTGAATCTTCGAGCCATATCTATGGGCTCTTCCAGCACACATGCACAGCTTACGAGCTGGTCCTGGCTGATGGCAGCCTTGTTAGATGCACAGAGGTAAATGGAATTACCATCCATTTTAGTCTGGTTGAGATTGAAGTGTGCTTATAGATACTTCTGTAGATATGGTATTTCTTACAGCTAATTATTGAAAGTTGGTTCTGCCTCTTTGTATCTGGTTGCTGCATTATTTCCATGTTAAAGGGAAATTATGTAATAAATTGTTGTGCAGTTACCAAATTAGAAAACAAAAGAAAGACTAAAATAAGCTGCCTCTAATGTTGACTGTAAGTGGATGAATTGTGCAGCCTGGATAAATCTTGTTTAAGATTGTAACTAAACACTTAACTTACAGAAGTGAATAACTACGCTTAGATGATTTTGATTTCTTTTTGAAAAATGCATTTAAGTGATGAAGATTGTAGAATAGAGTTGCCCGGATAAAGAACGATACAGAGTGGATAATTTGTGCTTCCCAAAGTTTATGTTTTACCATGTTAAAACTTTTTTCTTTCATCCTCAGGAAGAGAATTCAGATTTGTTTTATGCTGTGCCTTGGTCATGTGGTACACTCGGATTCCTCGTTGCTGCGGAGATCAAGATCATCCCTGCTAGGAAGTATGTGCGTCTGCAGTATCAGAAAGTTTACGGGCTGAAGAAATTCTGTGAGACGTTCAGCAGAGAGTCACAGAACAAGGATAATCATTTTGTGGAGGGGTTGGTGTATTCTCAGGATGAAGCTGTGGTGATGACTGGAGTCCTGACCAATGAGGCTGAGCCAGATAAGGTAAAGTGACTAAAAGAGAGCAAAAAAAAAGAGTATTTGGCATCCAGCTCACATTGTCATGTAGGTCAATGTTTCTGCTTTTCCAGACAATGTCATATTTGAAACTGAATCAATGCGCAAGTAAGATCATGTTGCTGTCCAGTCAGACTAATCTTATTGTGCACCTCTTGGTTATAAATCTAAATGTTATTTACTTTATAATCTTCTCAGTACATTTGACAGAAATGTTACATAGAGCATGTCGTTCATATTCTGTTATTCAAGTGAAATATTCCCTTTATTGTGCACTGATTTTTGAATTTAATGTTTTCTTTAGATAAATGGAATTGGCTATTATTACAAGCCATGGTTCTTTAAACATGTAGAGAAGTATATGCAGCAGAATCACAGTGCAGTGGAATATATCCCCCTGAGGCATTACTACCACCGCCACACACGCAGTATATTCTGGGAGCTCCAGGTAAGGGTTTGTTGGTTAATTAGGAAGTTCACTGAACTAATCACAAAATAGGGTGTGCCAAAAATGCTACTAGATATGTACTGTTGTTTGACATGAGAATATATTATTGAATGTGGGAAGTACTAATCCGGTTAAATATTTGTTTGTTTTCCTTTCTCCTTCATTCAAGGATATAATTCCCTTTGGCAACAATCCAGTCTTCCGCTATATCTTTGGCTGGATGGTCCCACCTAAGATTTCCCTGTTGAAGTTGACCCAAGGAGAGACGATCCGCAAAATGTATGAGCAACATCATGTGGTCCAGGATATGCTGGTGCCGATGAAGAGTCTGGAAAAGTCGATCCGCTTCTTCCACGACGAGATCAATGTATAATAATATCTCAGAATTCCATCAGTAGTAGTTTATAGCAATTAAACTGGCCCCACCACTCAGTGGACACCAGGCTGCTTCACGTCACCTGCCCAAACCACAGTGGTCAGGCGTTCAGCAGATTTTCCCCTGCCGTCTGAATCTCCATCCTGGAGTCCCTTTGACTTGCCCGTCCTTCATCTCCTTCAAGGTCCACCTCAAGACCTTTCTCTCCGACCACACTTTCAGTTGTCTTTTATTGCCTCGGCCTCCACCCCTAGCTCAGGTGTAAATCAGACGGGTCTGGTTACTTGGGACACCAACCCAATGTGAAAGGCGCTATACTAAATTTGTATTGCTTATATAAACATGCTTCTCCTTTAGGTAATGTGTTAAACTGAGTTTAAGTCTGCTTGTTCAGTCATAGTTCAGTCAAGTGTGAGGGGGACAGTATTTTCTTAGGCCTGAGTCCTCTACGACCACCATTCACAAACTGGCTAACGAGGTTCATATAAGAGTTTCCTAGAGATAGCCCACCTGTGTTCCTGTGTTCTGGGAACTCTATGTAAGAGGATCGGGGGTTTAAACCCATGTCACAGTGGACTGGTTTGTTTGATTTCTTGTTCCTTCATCCATCCAACATATTTTTTTGTGGTGTTTAACAAAACCTCTTTTTAAAAAAATGTCATTTATTTGATCTGTTTTTGCAGGTTTACCCCTTGTGGCTGTGTCCCTTCAACCTGCCCAGCTTGCCTGGTATGGTCCATCCTAAAGGTGATGAAGCTGAACTTTTTGTAGATATTGGAGCTTATGGAGAACCAAAAGCCAAGCAGTTTGAAGCCAAGGCTTCAACGCGACAGTTGGAGCAATTTGTCCGTAATCTGCATGGGTAAGTAAGTGACACCAGCACACAAGTACGAAAAAGGAAATCAGGAAAAGGGTGCGGAAGCTCGACAGAATTGGGAGTTTGAAAAGAAAGTCGGGCCATCTAATTGTCCTAAAACTGTAAATATTATAGAAACTTATTGTTTTGTTTCTACCTTTTGCATATTGGACTTCCTAGTACGCAAACAAAACCAAAAAGCACAGATACAGAAACTGTCCAGTTTGACAGTGCTCCAATTATTACCTCCAGTTAATTATTACCAGGAAGGGTAGCAACAACAACAACAAGATTCCATTTATAAAGCGCCTTTCACGTCAGGAGGACGTCCCAAGGCGCTGCACAGTTGGGTCATGACCCGAGCAGGGGGGAAATGGTCAGGGTGAGGGGAGGGAAGGGAGGGAGCGAGGAGGGGGGAAATGGTCAGGGTGAGGGGAGGGAAGGGAGGGAGCGAGGAGGGGAAGAGAGTCGAGAGGGGAGCTGAAGGCACGGTCAAAGAGAAAGGTTTTGAGACCGGCCTTGAAGGAGGAAAGGGAGGAAGCGGCGAAGGCACTGGGGGATGGAGTTCCAGAGCCTGGGGACTGAGAGACTGAAGGCCCGACCACCGATAGTAGGGCGGTTGGGGCGGGGGACGTGGAGCAGACCGGAGCCAGAGGAACGGAGGGTACGGGCAGGTAGGTAGGGGGATAGTAGGTTGGAGAGGTAGGAGGGAGCAAGGCCGTGAATGGCCTTGTAGGTGAGGATGAGGATCTTGAAATCAATCCTCTGGGGGATGGGGAGCCAGTGGAGGCGAGCGAGGGTGGGAGTGATGTGGTCGCGAAGCCTGGTGCGGGACAGTACACGAGCTGCAGAGTTCTGAATGACCTGCAGTGTGGAGGGAGGTGGCGGGAAGGCCGGCGAGAAGAGAGTTCCCATAGTCCAGCCTTGAGGTGACAAAGGCGTGAACCAGGGTTTCAGCAGTGTGAGGGGTGAGGTAGTGCCGTAATCTGGCGATATTCCGGAGGTGATGGAAGGCGGTGCCAGTTGTGCGGATGTGAGGGAGAAAGGACAGCTCAGGATCGAACAAAACGCCGAGGTTCCTGACTGGCTTTGAGAGGTGGAGAGTGCAGCCTTGGATGCTGATGGTGTCAGCGCCTGAGGTGCGGAGGCGCTGACGTGAGCCAATCAGGAGGGCCTCGGTTTTTCGCACGTTGAGCTGAAGAAAGTTGTCTCTCGTCCAGGACTCGATGTCGGACAGGCAGCTGTCAGGACATCGGTGGTCGTGGAGTTGAGAGTAGAGGAGGAAAGGTAGAGTTGGGTGTCATCCGCATACATGTGGAAGTTAACTCCATGTCTGCGGATGATGTCACCAAGGGGGAGCATATAGAGGGTGAAGAGGAGGGGACCAAGGACAGAGCCCTGAGGGACACCACATGAGACAGTGCGGAGGGTGGAGGAGAAGCCATTCGTCGAGACAAAGTGAAGACGGTGAGAAAGGTACGACCTAAACCATTCAAGGACAAAAATCAGTGTTTCACAACTAACAATTGGCAAGTATCATGAATGTGTTTTGTTTTCTAAGCTTTGCAAGACTTAAGTAGGCTACACTATAGACTGTATTCATGTGTCTAGTTGCATGTTTTGTTAATTGGCCCAGGTATGGAAAGGGATCTTGAAAAAAGATTTTGATGAAAAAGTGAACTGATTAACTGGAGGTCATTTCTCATTCCTACTTTATACTCTTTCTTCAGGATTTTGATGTTTACTTAGATTCTGTTGGCCTAATTTTCAGAAATTTGGATGCCTCACAAAAGGAGCAGTCTGCTTTTGGTGCTTCAGGTGTAATTGTGTTGGTGCCAAGTTTTGCACATTTTGTATGACAACAATTCACTCCAATCTAGAACTGGCTTGAAAACATAAAAATATTGCGATAGGGTAAATATTTATTTTTTCTGTCAGTTTTCAGATGTTGTATGCTGATTCCTACATGACCCGAGAAGAGTTCTGGGAGATGTTTGACGGCTCTTTGTACCACAAGTTGAGAGACCAGTTAAGCTGCAAAGATGCATTCCCTCAGGTCTATGACAAGATCTGCAAGGCAGCGAGGCACTGAAAGACACTGGGAGATTAGCAGGAGAAGGAACCGGGTGAAGCTTTAGTTCCAATCTAATTTATTTCCTAATACGTAGGATACATTTTTGTGCGTTCCATTCATAGCGCACTTTTAAGTTCATTTCAAAGCTTTTTATTTCTCCAAAGAAACTATTTCTTCTGATTCTCATCCAAGCCTGCTTCTCTTGAAGGAGGTGCCTCATGCTAAATTTTGATTCTGCAGGCATGAAAAGGCATCTTGTATCCTGTACTTTGTATCTTAAGTGATGATCTTAATGTGGATGCCTTGACATGCTTTGTTTGTATCGGGAGGGAAAAGAGGGGACATTCCATTTTAGCCCACTATTGTGATACAGATTTGGAAATCTTGCTAGTCTGGATACACTGAAGCTAAAATGGAATATGACAAACACTGTCTTGGGGAGTTAAATAACTTAATACATAAAAAATCCTGCAGTGTTATCCACTGAGCTACCTGGGCACAGTTGACCATCTTTTTAGTTCTAGAATTATGGCTTTTTTTTCCCCACTTCATGTGTAATCAGTTGTGCTTCTTGTCATTCATTTGAAACTAGAAGACTTGTAGCAGCTCAGCACATTCTGTCACTCACAGCTGTTAGTTTATTTTAAAAAGATATATGTTATTCAAAATGGTGGGTGTAAGTGCATCTGTAATTTTGTGTGTTGAAGGGTTTAGTAAAAATCTAGTCAGTTAATTGTGCAAACAGCCATAGGCATGATGAAAGGCACTGTGTGAAATATAGACAAAAACTACAATTACAAAATTAGAATTTCTTCATGCGGTTAAATGGCTTGAATCGGTTACAATCTAATGAATAATATCATGGCAAGTCCAAGTTTTAACTTACTGGATCCACTGTGTGAAGTGAATGATATGGAAAGTTCTGTTAGCATTTAAATATCAAGTGCCAAATGTTTTGAAGTAAATGCCCTTGAGATTGAACACTACAGTCGAAACGACTGTGGAGAGTATTGCTGGGAAATAAGTAATTAAAACTTAGAATGGATTTTATTCTTTACGCAGTAAGGTACTTGTTCTGTGGTAATGTATGCTTTCAGGTCAAAAATATATCTCTGCTTATTGCCTTTCTGTTGCATTCACTGTATGTGTATAACAGTATTCACATGTGTATTTATTATGTATTATAGTGCGTGTGTGTGTGTAATAGGTAGCTGTGAAAACATTCAGTGGATTGGGGGTTTGTGCTGAGCAAGGTTCTCCTTGTACATCCTGACCATGCTTTGCTGAAGACTGCAGAGCATGTGTGTGTGAGAGTGAGTTGGCACTGGATCCAATTCCTGTTCACTCAACTCATTGACTGCTACACTCGCTTTGCTTCACCTCCCGTTACATACCACTAAGAGCAGCACCCCTCTCCGCCACAACATCCAATTAGCCCAGACTGGAGCAAAGGTGGATTGGGAGCTGATCCCCTTCCCCTCTCTAGCCCTAGCCACCTGCCACCTGAGAATCAATAGACCTCATCCACAGCAGTGCAAAGTAGTGCTTCAGTCTTGAAGTTCTACTGATGTTCATAAGCTCATCAAGCCTTGGTTATGGTGTATTTCCTCCAAAACCTCTGTTAAAATACAGCTTTGTAACTGCTGTTCATTTTGGACACTTACTGTATTGCGATCCCTTGGCATTCCTTCAATTCAGTGTAAATTGATTAAAAAAAGTAAGATCAATTTCTACTGGATTTGATGACCACTATGCATTGGATTGTGTTGATTCTTGGCTCCATTGGTACAGTGTGTAATATGCATATTTGCCAATTTAATACTGCACTTCCTCTCAGTACTCTTTTGTTTAAAGTTAAATGAAGTCTATTCAAATGTTTCAAAATTTCTGGGCGAAGGTTCAAGCTCATTACAGTGCCTGCTGAGAGAGTTTTGAAAGTTTTCTGTTTGTTGCTTTAGTATTATTGTTTAAAGCCTAAATTTCAAATTGAGTTGACAAAAACTCGACATTTTGTAAAAGGTAAATGAAATTTATCAAGCTGCCTGTAAATGCTGTACGTTAGTGTGGATATGAGTGTGGAATTGTGATGCCCAAAGAGCCCAGTTTCAGCTTGCCATACAAGTTTAACTCACTCAGTTATTTGTTGGCTTCTAGCCTTAGCCTTTGAACTTCAAGCAAGATAGACCAACTTTTTTACAGAAAATTTGACTTATTCCTCATCTGCACTTTCCATAAAAAGAGTGGAACCTTTTCAATGTCTGATACCTATGTGATCAAGTATTCGATTAGTTGTGTTTTATGCCACTGCTTTGTAGGATTCAATGAGAATTGTGTTGGTTTAGTAGTGAGATAGGAGGTCTGAGAGAGAGAAGACATTTTTGCAGCCCAGTGTCACTAATTTGATCTTCCTTACACCATCACTATTCTTATATTGGTGTAGCACTGTCGCCACTGTACTAAAAGGCATGCCAAAATCATTTGCTTCAAACTTATCTATGTCTTAATTGAACCTATTGTAACGATTTGATGAAAGACTCCTCTGTTCTAATTGTTTTGGAAGGAGTTCAACGTATGTGTGAGTGGGAATAAAAAATCCAACATGCTGAATTTGAAACCGTTTCTGTTCAGATGAACAGAAATAAACTTTCCATCAATTTGTTAGATATTCCTGTAGATTTTTGGGGCTGTTTGTGGGACATTCCTTGTGTGCCAATTGGCTGCTGAGTTCACCTACATATAGTCACTACACTTTATATAATCTAGTGAAGTACTTTCAGACATTCTCCTGGCATTAAATGCGTTAATCAAATGCAAGGATTATTATCAAATGTCTCTGGTACCCTTGGACTTCCACAATACTTATTTGAAATGTGAATTCTGTGCAATTGAAGTATTAGACCAAATACCTGCTTATTGGAGGGAGAGGAGGCAACGGGTGCTGTTTTGGTGCAGGGTTACATGAAGGTACAGCCTCTCAAACCAATGATACAGCAGAACCTGACAAGGTCAGAGGAAGTAATCAACCTTTTCTTAATTTTGGTTCTTGTATCAAGTTTATAATTTCTGTTCTTGCATTTTTTTTGTTTAAATTTGAGTAAATGGTTCCTGAGCAAACAAATATACTATGGAGGTTCGGTTCATTTAGCTAAATTGGATTTGCAATCTCAGTAATGATGTGTTGAATTTTCTGTGTACTGTCCATCTGTTGATAACAACCACAAAAGTCGGTAATAAACTGATTCCAGTATTTTGTCTGCTTGTTTTGGGAGAGGTGGGAGCTCTAAGCCTTTTGTTGAATTCCGGCCTTATAATCTGCTGTTGAAGGTTTGAGAGTGCTAGTAATTCTGATAATCCCCCTTTGTCAATGTATTGTAAATTCATTAAAAAAAAACCTGTTTAATCTGGGTTTATTTATGGTGTTTTTAAATAAAGTTTAACTGCTGAAGTTGGTTTATCTTTTGCATTTTATTTAACATTTGTTTACTATTTCCACATACTGCCTTCCCTTATAATGCGGAGATGTGCCTTCTACGTATCCATGTCTGTTAATTTGAATCCAAAAAGTCTTATGCAGATATTTAGGTACATTTATCCAAATTGGATGGTTTAACTTGTGGGAGGCACCGATTGAGCAATGGGTGATTTGCAAGAGTGTCAAATTGGGGCAAAATAAGCTGCAGAATGTTAGTTTTGCTCCCAAACATGTGAGAACACCCGTACAGACTCTTGATGAATGATGGTATCTATTCACTTATTCAAAAAGATGTACAGACTTCAACTTCCTTTCAAAGCAAGGTGATCGAACTCCCTCTTGGAACTGGATGAGGCTTTGTTGATTTCAGGCGCTCTCTATGATAATAATGAAAGTTGGAAGTTAAGCAGGTAGAATTAATAATAGGTTAGGTGTCTTAACAAGTTAAATTATCAACAGTTGTTGCACAAGAGGTACATCCTTCAATTCCTTCATGCAGGGACTCGATCTCAGCTATACTATCGGATATTTTATCCATGTTATTGACAAAATTAACTAAAACTAATCACACAGGCAGAATGGGCAAGAGACCAAAGAGGATGTACAGCTGCTCACAAAGGAAAAACTTTCCAAGTCACACTGAAGAAACAAGAACACCATCCAAACAGGATGATAACAGGTAGTTTTGAAATGTAAAACTTTTTCTTCAACAAAAAAGGTTAATATACCTCACTGTCAACATGTGAGGAAGAAAAAGCAAAAAATGTAGCTATTCCAATTTTCCCCTTCTGCGATTCAACCTGAAAATGATCGCTCAGTTTTTCTCACTGTGGCAAGGGATGTGTGCGCACTTACTGTAGGATTTTGTCCCTTGTAAAATTAGACAAGTAACGCTGGGTTTTAGAGAGAAAACATGATCTGAAGGAGTTTACTGGTCTGGTTTTGTCATACTTTGCAGTGTCATAGCGGCCCACACCTACGTTGTTCTGTAATGAGAAAATAAACAGGTGGCTTATTAGCACATTGACTTTAAATTCACTTTACAGTGTGTTCTGTGAAGCGCTTTGGGACATCCTCCCGATGTGAAAAGCGCTATATCAAATGCAAGGATTATTATTATTATTATTATTGAATCAATGAGAGCATTGTAGAGGATCACAAGTACAGCAGTGGAGCATACAGAATCTGGCAAATTGTTGAATTGAGTCTTAACTTTGAAAATAGTTTTTCCGGACTTCAGACAACGTTAGTGAACTATCTGGTGGAACTTCTCTGCAATCCCTTCAGCAGAGCAGAACAGCTGGTATCTTTCTGTACATGGGTAAAGAAGGGTTGTATACCAGAATAATAAGAGATTGGATCATAGAGACTTCTATGGAAACTCACTGATTTCAGCCATCCCATGGAGGAGGTGCTGGGCAGAACATAATTGCCAAGTTTTTTTGGTGGGGGAGGATAATCTTATGAACCATCTCTTTTCGTGTAACTCAGTTCAATGTTTAAAAAAAGTTATGAAGTGGTCACTCACAGGGTTGAAATTGTAGAGTTTAGCAGATTTGTAGCTGCCTCTCGTTGTGGAGGTTAAAAATGGTGGTGGTTTTCGGTTTTCTGGTTTAGAAAGTAGCTTTGTGGAGTAGTATCCAGGGTAGCTCTGTTCAGACACAAGAACAAGATCATTACATCGTCCGCAGAGTAGAACCCAAGGAAAATATAATTTTAATTAAAAAAAATAGAAATGATTGAATGACTGACCTTCGGCCTTTGCCATTGGCTCAAGGTGCTGTAATATATGCGATCTGTGGGGGGAAAGGGGTATTGTGCCTGCATCCCAAACTTCCCATGTCTCCTCTTTTCCTGGCATAAAAAGTCACTTGTGAATGACTTGATCTTGTACATTCCAGGACTCAGGTTCATGGGTCTCTAAAATACAAAACACATCTTTACCCAGGTTATTTTCAAGCAATTAATTGCATAATTCTTCTAATCTAGCCTTGAAATTCACTTCTATGACCCTCCTATATCTCCATATGTCTGTGTTTATGAACATGGGAAACCGCAAGATCATTAAGGCTGAAAAGTTAAGAATGGAAGATTTTTTTTTGCGGACATTTTCACTGCAGAAAATTTGGGGGGAATTCCTTTGATGGTAATTGGAAGTGTAAAGAAGCATCCAGCTTCATAGAGAAAGTAAAGGTTGGTAATGTGGAGTTGAATAATAATGTACATGATACTTTACAACAATAACACCAACAACTTGCCCCTATATAGCATCCCTCACGCATGGTAATTAAGGACTGCATCTCAGGCTTGTTGGTGCAGGGATCCACATAAGGTTTGCATAATTTACCACAAGATTACACACTGAGCGCTTATCAATTTTAGGCCCAGTTTACTAAAGTTTAAGGTAGAATAGCTATTTTGGTGCAAACCCTGTTTTTGGTATAATTGTAGCAAAATGGACATGGGCAAGTAATGCATTTTCTCCCTCGAACGAATAAAGGTGCTGCATCAAAATTTAAGAATTATTAGTGTTCTTAAATTTTCTTTTTTTCCTCTGCGGTATTTCTTAACCCTAACCTCATAAGAACACAATCTGCTGCACTAATCCTAACATAGTGATTTCCCAACGTCGTCTTTTGGTCTCTGTTGAATGTGAAGTACAGCAATATAAAATTATAGACGGCTGTGGGTGGGTATCTAATCAGGAAGTTCATTGAGAATGCTTAAACTCATTTCTCCCTGTTAGCCATCAAGGAGAGCGGACTTCACAATTCCTAGATTGGATTGAGAGGAAAAAAAAAGAAAAACTGTTCTGACCCCAGTACGTTCCACAGGCTTTCACAGGCATCCACCGACCATCTCCATCAACCTAAAGTAGCAATAAATATATACAGCAACTTTACTGTGACATCTACGTACCGTTGCACGATGCCCAGTGATGATACGACTGTTCCTTGAACCTGTGAAGAGATCGAAGGGGCCACGTTTACTGACGACCCGAGTCAGTAATTTATCTATGCTGTTTTCAATGGTATAGGTGCCCGGCCCCAAATCACAACCCTAGAAAAGAATATATTAAAATTGAGATGCATTATAACATCTCGCTTGACCTGTAGCCTCAGTACAATGTAATAGAAAGCTGATGATGCATAATTTTTTGCTGTGCTTTCCTCACCTGTCATTGGCTTTCTTCATGCCATAGCGACACCCATGATGACTAAGAACATTTTTAAATTAAATGCCAATCCTGATTCCAGATTTCTCAATCCACTTAAATCGTTCAATATTGGTGCAAGTGAGGAAAAATAATTCTCTTTCCGCCTTCAGGGGAAACTGCTCTATCTCCTCACTTTATGTTTCCTTAGGAAATACAACAACGTTGACGTACTTACATGTATCATGGGAGCTCGGGATTTTAAACCCTTTGAATCCATCAATCCCAGTTTTCCAGGAGAAACCTTTTCTTTCTCCTCCAACAGCGCACTTGGGATTCCTCCCTTTCCATATGTCCCAGGACCTGGGGTGTAATTCTGAAAATCAGCAAAGCTAAAATAACTTCACATCTTTTGCTTAATATTTGTTAAAACAAAAAAATCTGGTCAACCTAATGCTCCTGTACATATTACCAAATATTTCAAAGTCCACACCCCAGATTCTGCGAAGCTTTCTAAAGCCAGTCTGGGACTAGACATGTCGACTAAACTCATAGTGGGTCATAAACTAATAGAAATACAGCAATTGTAGAATTGGTTCTTCCTTTAAAAATCTAATTTCCAGGTATATTACATGTGTGTTTCACTGATATTTAATGCAAAAAAAACAATAGAAATTATTTGAAAAGGCAAAAAACTAAATCCTTACATCAACCTCCTTAAATCGCTCCTCTCTGGTGTCACAAACGCCTCTCATTCCAGGATTTTTCTTTTCCAGTAAGTCCAGAAAATAAGGTATGGTGTATCTTCCAGGGCCCCGGCTCATTTCCTGAGGTACAAAAAATGGTTCAGCAACCTAAGGCGCTACATCAAATGCAAAGATTATTATATGTTTATGTTCTATAAATATAGAGGCAATGTCTTTATACTGCTGTAACTGTTTTTGAAAAATCAGTTGTATATTACTTCAAAAGCAGGAAGGCTGGTTAATTTCAAACAATGAAAATGAACCATGGATCAAGCTTAATTGCCGTCGTTGTTGTTGTTAATTGCCATGTTCAAAATGCAAAGAGAAGATCACACTATGTACACCTCACCCATCGCCTAGTACCTACTGTAATTTGTTTTTAAATGTAATAGAGGGGAGATAAAACAATCTGTACAGTAATTACCAGAAATGTCTGTCTTTGCTTTTTTTCCTTATAAAACATTTGTGGAGTGCGAGCAAACTTCTCTATCTCCTGTTCTCTTGCCCAGCCAGGTCCAGACGCTCTTCGAGCCACTGCTTCAAGGCTGAAGCTGCCTTGGTCTGCATTGTAGTACCCAGGAGCTAACTTTCTTTCCTGGAACAGAATACAATTCTTATCTAATACAAATATTTGTTGTTGGTGTAATTTAGAATGAGATATTGGCCAATGAGATGATTTCTTAATCTCAGATCTGTTACCAGGGGTTGGCAATAAGCAGGACCTGGAATCGGGGAGGGGATCGGTAAGTGGCGTTACCTTGGAGCTGTGGTGGCTAGCTCCAATATGATGTACATTAGAATCACGTCAACCTTCATGGTAGTACTGGTAGTTCCTGAACCAGGTTATTACAGGACTCCAGGGCATTGTTAATAATGGACCAACTGTCTCATTGACAGGACTTGTGTGGGAACCAGTCCTTAGCAATGGATCTGTAAAAGGATATAAAACATTGAGTTCCTTAGAACTGTGTTGTAGGAGGGTGACTTTTTTTTAGGACTGATGCTTTAGCAAGAATCTTGTGGTAAATTATGCAAACCTGATGTGGATCTCCGCACCAACAGGCCTGAGATGTAGTCACCATTAGTTAGAGATGAGCCTCTGGTTTTATTTACTGATTAAAGTCTTGGACTGTTTGACAGCCCCTTCTTCTGGAACGGTTGTCTAACTTACCAATTCCCCGGTAGCTTTTTTATCATAAACCACTTCTGTGTAGGTGCCTGGCTTCCTTCTATTTGGGTAGAGTATGTTCACATCAAACCTGGAAGAACACCAGAAGTAAAAATACTCTTGTAATCAACTTCAAAGTCATGAAACGTAACTAGAATGGAAGAAAAAAAGGCATTTAGCCCTTTCTGTTTGCTTCAATCAATATCCCAAACCCATTCAGACCATTTTTATTTCTCACCAAAAAACGTCAATTGGTCATTTGGTTAATGTCTGCTGGTGATACTTTGCTGTGTGCAAAATTGGCATTTGTCTACAAAAGCATAATCACTGCACTTCACTCTGATTACCGCTGATGTGCTAAGAGATGTTTGGGCTGAGTAGATATATCAATTTATTCGTGACTAGGTCAAAGCTCAAATGGTGCAATGTGTAATACATTACCAATGAAGCCAACCCTGGAGGGTATACAAACAGAGTATATCGAGCAGGATCAAAGGCAAACAAAAGTATTAAATGGCATTCATCTGATTTAAGTCATTTGCAAGAATATAGTCGCAAAATAGAGCCCATCATAAGAGAGGTTTCCTGTTGACGGGTGAGTATTCAACCTGGATATGAATGAAGAAAGAAGAAGAATTTTCATTTTGAATTTATATTATGATGGTCCAACCTTGTTCAGTAGCTTTTTGCTTCTGAGTTCTGATACTTTTATGTTTCTTGCTAAATGGAGTAATTTGTTTCACAGATACATTACCAATGATTAAAGCTCTAAAGCGATACAGAAACTATTGGTTTCAGCAAATTGCGGATATCAATGGTAAAATAGAGGTTCCTTTATGAAGATATTTAAATTGTTAAAACTTAAACGTCTACATTAAAAGGAAGAACTGGAGGATGTTATTTTCAATAATGTTTTATAACCTTTACCACAGGTCAGAAATCGAATTGTTTTGCCATCCCTGAGAGGTAATTAAGTCTTTGAAACCCTAATTCGGTAACTTTCCCGTTTATTTTTTTTAAATTAAATCATTACTTCTCTCAAGAAAACGCGCAGAAAAGTGACTTTCCCAAGAAATAAAGAAACATTTTAATTCGGGGGAAGAACGACTGTAATGTTTTGGCTTTCCATCTACTTTCTGGGTTTGGATTTCTTCAGAGACGACAAAAAAAACAAAACAAAACAAACAAAAAAGACCAACAGAAGACCCAGAAGCGAGTAACACATGTTGTTTGCTCACCTCATTTAAGAACAAAATGTGTGTGTGGGTTTTTTTTTTAAAAAAACTGTCCCGAGTCTATCCTGGATCTTAATTAATTGAACAAATAAGTGAAGACTGAGAGGAGAGTTCTTCCCCCCCAATTAGCAATGGTTACACTACTTCTTCCCCCACGAGAAATCAGCGATGGTTAGTGATGACACTACTCCATCAGCAATAAGTCACTCTACTCCATCAGCAATAAGTTGCACTACTCCATCAGCAATAAGTCACTCTACTCCATCAGCAATAAGTCGCACTACTCCTTCAGCAATAAGTCACTCTACTCCATCAGCAATAAGTCACTCTACTCCATCAGCAATAAGTCACTCTACTCCATCAGCAATAAGTCACTCTACTCCATCAGCAATAAGTCGCACTACTCCATCAGCAATAAGTCGCACTACTCCATCAGCAATAAGTCGCACTACTCCATCAGCAATAAGTCGCACTACTCCATCAGCAATAAGTCGCACTACTCCATCAGCAATAAGTCACTCTACTCCATCAGTTTGGTCCACACGCACTGCTCTTATCTCACCTGGATTTCTGAGTGCCAAAGGGAGCACCTGTGAAACTTTTGCTGGCCATGTGGGATGGGATGGTCAACACCTGTGGGATGCCCAGGGCAGGAGGATCCTCGCCCCAATGTCCATCCAGTCCGAATGAGCTGCTGCTTCATTTCACGGTGATCTGAGCCACCACACTCTGGGGGGGGGGGGGGGGGGGGGCTCCTTGGCAACGGGACACGCGTGTTATCAGAGCACGTAATAGCAATCGGACAATTTATAAAATAATAACCAACGTCTTAAATGTACCAGTGGTTCGGACGATCCGATTCAGGTGATGGAAAATGAATCCAAACACAAGACTCGACCCCCAAGTGAAATCCAATATAATCCGCACACGCAGTACAGTGTAATCTGAACTCTTTTGCTGATTTTTTTTTCTTACTTCACTCCCCAGACATTCACAATTCCTAAGCAAACCCCATCATTCCTCATTCCCTGTGTAAATAATTTATCTCACCCCCCCCCCACCCCCCCCCCCCACCCCAATATGTTGTGTAACTGCTTGTTTTCTGGGTGTAATTTATTCCTAACTGCTATTCTCCACATACATTTGAGTAGTGTGTGTGTGTGTGTGTGTTCTATCTAACTCTCTCTTATGTTTTATTGAAGCAGCAGATGGAGGAGATATACATCTCTCTCTCTCTGTGTGTCTCTCTCTTGGGTATCATTGGAGTATCAGAAGGTGCATGTTTTTGTTGTGTGTGTGTGGTGTCAGTTACTTTGGATCTGAACTGTGAAGCTTTGACACTGTTGGCGTAAATCGAGATGACAGCTGTAAAGATGGGCTGGTCGGAGAGACTTGTCTCCTTGTTTGTCTTGTTGGTTCATCCGATTGAACTGGTCCAGACTTCTTGCGAGACTGGAAGGACTCGATCTGGCACATTGTTGAAATGGCAACCGTGCCGAAAGAGGGCGAAACAGCATTCCCGGGCGATCTCAAGCTGTCACACCTACATTCCGAAGCACTCTAATGTGAAAGCGTTCCCAAAGGCTGGGGGCACCGCTGTCAGAGACCGTCCACAGCTTCCCACATAAGGAGATGCAAGTCCGCATTCACAGCTATCGTTCCAATTAATGCTGAACTAAATTCTAACAATCCCTCTCTGGAATTTCCATGTGTAGGTGGGATGCATGGAATTGATTCTCGAGTAATCTGAAAGCTGCCAGCAACATGTGGGTTTAACGAGTAATAATAATAGTAATAATAGTTGCATTCGATATATTAATTATATTGGCTGCTGGGTTTCGCCCACAAAATATACAGTCAGTTTACAGAATATTCTGTGAAGCGCTTTGAGATGTCTCGAAGATGTGATGAGGCGTTGTATCGAATGCAGGATTATTCCATTATTGTTATTATATAGTGCCTTACCACATAATTATTATTGCCTGTGGAGTAGTGTAACCGTTGCTAGTTTCTCGTGGGGGAAGAAGGCAGCAAAGGAAAATTGTAGGTGGTCAGACACCTTTGCTTAGACATCTCCAAGTACCGTATAGCACTGAGAGAGAGAGAGAGAGAGAGAGTGTGTTGGGGGTAAAATCTCCTGGATTCCCAGATAGTATATGGGACCTGGTACTAGAAAGGAACCTCCAAAGAGAGTTGAGTTACAATAACATGGTGTGTGTGTCTGTATATATATATATAGATACATACACACACACACATATATATATATATGTATATACAGGCAAGTGAGTAGTGTGTCCATATAAAAAAATGTAAATGCCACCAAATAGGAAATAAGACTTTGACCCCTGTTAGCAGTCACACCCTTTACCTGTTCAACCCCTCCCACCTTAGTGGATCAGAGGTTACAGGTAGGACACATCGGCTGGGACAGGGGTTAGAACCAACACAACCAACACCAACACAACCAACACAACACCAACCAACACAACACCAACACAACCAACACAACACCAACACAACCAACACAACACCAACACAACACCAACCAACACAACCAACACCAACACAACCAACACAACACCAACACAACCAACACAACACCAACACAACCAACACCAACACAACACAACAACCAACACAACCAACACAACACAACACCAACACAACACCAACAACACAACAACACAACACCAACACAACACCAACACAACACCAACACAACACCAACACAACACAACCAACACAACACCAACACAACACAACACAACACCAACCAACACAACACCAACCAACACAACACCAACACAACACCAACCAACACAACACCAACACAACCAACACAACACCAACACAAGACAATACAACACCAACACAAGACAACACAACACCAACACAAGACAACACCAACCAACACAACACCAACACAAGACGACACCAACACATCCAACACAACACCAACGCAACACCAACACAACCAACACAACACCAACACAAGACAACACCAACCAACACAACACCAACCAACACCACTCCACCCCAAGGCTGTGTGTGAGTGTGAGTGTGTGTGTGTGTGTGAGTGTCCGCATTAAAACCAAATGGATGGCGACTCGGAGCGGGACATCGAGGCGCTGATGCAGGAGATGGACTACATTCCGGGTCACTTCCACCTGGAGCTGAACCTGAACTTCGAGCCCCGGGAACCGGAGAGGCAGCGGCGGAGAGACACGGAGCTGAAGCGGGAGAGCCTGAGGCTGGAGGCGGGGGGTTGCGGGAGCGGGTGCGGGTGGGGCGGGAGCGGGGGGGGCGAGCAGCGCCACGCCGTGGGCAACCTGCTGGGGCTCCTGGCTTTCTCCCTGGACGAGTACCAGGTGGCCCAGAAGATCTTCTCGGACATCTGCCGGGAGGAGCCGGGCAACCTGAACGCCTGGGCCAACCTGGGCTACGTGTACGACCGTCTGGACCGGGAGCCCGAGGCGGCGGAGTGCGTGGAGCGGGTGTCCGGGCTGGTGGCCCGGGGCCGGGGCCGGGGCTCGGGACCCGCTGCCCGGTGTTTGGCCGAACACGCCTTCGCCAACGCCTTCGACGTGGGGCTGCACCGCGAGGAGGAGCACCGCCAGAGGCTCAGCACTGCGGTGCGGCTCTACGATAGAGCTCTGGTCTACGGGCACGGCCAGGTGCGGGGGGGGGGGGGGGGAAGGGTGGGGGGGGGGGGGGGGTGGGGGCTGTGTGTGTCCTCTGGTCTCTTGTTTCACGTCCCATCACATGTCATCACATCCCATCACATCACATCTCATCTCATCTCATCTCATCACATCTCATCCCATCTCATCACATCCCATCTCATCCCATCACATGTCATCATATCCCATCTCATCCCATCACATGTCATCATATCCCATCGCATCTCATCACATCCCATCTCATCCCATCACATGTCATCATATCCCATCACATCTCATCCCATCCCATCACATCCCATCTCATCACATCCCATCCCATCACATCCCATCTCATCCCATCACATCCCATCTCATCCCATCACATCCCTTCCCATCACATCACATCCCATCCCATCACATCCCATCTCATCCCATCCCATCACATCACATCACATCACATCACATCTCATCACATCCCCATCCCATCACATCTCATCCCACTCACATATAATAATAATAATAATCCTTGCATTTGATATAGTACTTTTCACGTCGGGAGGACGTCCCAAAGCGCTTCACGGAACACACTGTAAAGTGAATTGACTGTATATTTGTGGGCGAACGCGGCAGCCAATTGCGCACAGCAATGTCCCACAAACAGTCGTAGATTGAAAATGACCAATTTATTATTGTTTTGTTTTGGAGGGATTATTATGAGGCTCTGTGTGGAGTAAGGAAACTTGCCCAAGGTTTCGCCCTCTGCCTGGAATTGAACTCAGGTCTCTCACTTGCAAAGCGAGTGCTCTAACCACTGAGCTACAGGACTCCACGACATCTCATCACATCACATCCCATCTCATCCCATTCATATCACATCTCATCCCATTCACATCATATCTCATCCCATCACATCTCATCACATCCCATCACATCTCATCACATCCCATCACATCTCATCTCATCCCATCTCATCCCATCCCATCACTTCCCATCTCATCTCATCCCATCTCATCACTTCCCATCACATCCCCATCAAATCACATCCCATCTCATCCCATCCCGTCACATCCCATCACACACACCACACCACACACTCCCCCCTCGAATGGGAATACCGTACAAACCGCTGCCAATAATAATCAATAATTGATAATAATTCTGGCATCTGATGCAGCGCCTTGTCACGTCTTTGAGACATCTCAAGGCGCCCGGCGGGATACGCCGTAAAGAGAATGCGCTGCATATTCTTTGGGACAACCTAAGGATTGGTTGTTATCGGTCACTCCCAAATGCAGCGCTGGGGTTTGTGTTGGAATTGTCGGAGGTGCAGCCCTTTGGATGAGACGTTAAGCCGAGGTCCCACCTGCCTGCTCAGGTGGATGTTAAAAGTTCTTTTTTTCTCTTTGAGTAGCCTGGTGGCAATCCCACAACCAAAATGGGTCACTCACTCCATGGCTCTTTGTGGGACACTGCTGTGTGCAACTAGCTGCCATGTTTCGCCCACAAAATACACAGTCACTCCACTTTACAGTATATCCAGTGAAGAGCTTTGAGAGGTCTCGATAAGGCGCTCTCTCAAATGCAAGGATTATTATTATTATCCACCAAGGAAGATAGTCATTTGAAGCCCAAGATCAGATACGGTTTGGTGCGGTCTGTTAAGGAATGAGTTTGATGAGCTGATTAGCCTTTAAGTTCAGTGTTTTCTTATATTCTTTTGCAAGCTTTGTTTACAAGGTTAACAGTTACTTTGGATTCTGTTAAGTGTAAACTGATGTTCAAAATTCTCACAGGTTATGATGGGGGTTGTGTGTGGAAGTGAAATAATCTTTGGATAACAGTAGGATTATACTCACAACAACAAGATTCCATTTATTGAGCGCCTTTCACGTCGGGAGGACGTCCCAAGGCGCTGTACAGTTGGGTCAGGACCCGAGGAGGGGGGAAATGGTCAGGGTGAGGGGAGGGAAGGGAGGGAGTGAGGAGGGGGTAGAGAGTCGAGAGGGGAGCTGAAGGCACGGTCAAAAAGAAAGGTCTTGAGACCGGCCTTGAAGGAGGAAAGGGAGGAGGCGGCGAAGGCACTGGGGATAGAGTTCCAGAGCCTCGGGGCTGAGAGGCTGAAGGCCCGGCCACCGATGGTTGGGGCGGGGGGTGTGGAGCAGACCGGAGCCAGAGGAATGGAGGGTACAGGCAGGTAGGTAGGGGGATAGTAGGTCAGAGAGGTAGGAGGGAGCGAGGCCGTGAATGGCCTTGTAGGTGAGGATGAGGATCTTGAATTCTACTCAATAGATTGTAATAGATTATATGGCAAAATACAACTTGGTTAACAGTTTACAAAAAATTAAATAGTTTTGATGATGTAATTCTACTCAAGGAGTAACCCAGCGGCACAAAGCTAAACCTTCTTGAATAAATAATATTAACAATGTAGTTTTCACTGAGTTTTTGATTTTAAAATTACTTTTCTATCCCTCTTTAGATAACCCCAGAAGAAAAAAGAAGTTGGTATCTTACAATGGCTACCATGTTAATAAGGTGAGAGAAGCTATTGCAATGCCTATCAACAACAACAACAACAAGATTCCATTTATTGAGCGCCTTTCACGTCGGGAGGACGTCCCAAGGCGCTGTACAGTTGGATCAGGACCCGAGCAGGGGGGAAATGGTCAGGGGAGGGGAGGGAAGGGAGGGAGCAAGGAGGGGTAGAGAGTCGAGAGGGGAGCTGAAGGCACAGTCAAAGAGAAAGGTCTTGAGACCGGCCTTGAAGGAGGAAAGGGAGGAAGCGGCGAAGGCACTGGGGGATAGAGTTCCAGAGCCGAAGTTAACTATACAAGTTAATTGCCACTGGTGACAAAAATGCTTTGCCATGTCCATGGTATAGCCTTTATAGGTTTGTAATTATTATTTTTAATTATGGTTCCTTGTAAATATTGTTTACTTAAAGTAATTGATTCATTAACTATTCTGTCATCCATTAGAAGATGTCTTCCCTCTGTCAATCACTGCTGCGTTAAACAAGCCAGGGCTTGGGCTATTTTTCTCGGGATACGATGGGTGTTGCGTAATTTAACAGAAAAAGTTAGCTCTTGCTTTTCTCTCTCACCGCCCGATAGACTGGATGGCATATTAATAAACGAGGACGTACCTGAACATGAGCGACTACCGTCATTCAACAGGTCATTGCTGCTCCTGAGGGAGGTTCTCAAGTCTAACAACACTCAATATAAAGGTAGTGTATGGACTGGGAAGAGCAATGGTTAATTGGCAGTTGAAAATGTTTTTATTTCTACAAAAGATATGAGATTTGGGACTGTGAGACTTCTCCAACAAAGGAGTTATTCTGCACCATTAACTCAATGCAGCCCATTAGTTGATGTGAGCTAAGGATTATTCCTCTCCATTTAGCAAATTTGTTACTGTGCACCTATAAATAACTGCAATGCAATTTCGAAATTCTAAGCATTGTTGCATGTTATATGTACGGCTCAATGGATTATAGTTAATTATATTAGCATAGTCTGAAATTCACGGGATTGACTTAATTGAGCAATGCTTAGGTCTCACTAACCAAGATAGCACGGAGACAGGCCACTCGGCCCAACTAATCGGTGCTGGGAAGTGTGCTGATGTGTAAATGTACTAATGGGCAACTATTTTTAAAATTTGTATAGGGTGTAATAATACTTAATAATATAACTGCTTCATTTATGGTCTTCATGGTTAGTCATTAACTCATGGATCTCCGTTAATGTTGCATTGTTTCCAGCTCTTGCCTGGTGTTACTTAGGGATGATGCTGGAACGGAAAGACTCTTTCTCCATCACTCCAATGGCAGTACATAACTGTGGCTACTCTGCTACTGATCCCCTCGATTGTTTTGGACAGGTGAGGCTTCAAACACTTTGGTATTGATAATTTGTGTCACTGTCTGACAGGAGTGGGTAAAGCCATACTGTGATCAAGATGCTGGGACAAACTCATAATAATAATAATAATAATAATTTGATATAGCGCCTTATCTCATGTTCGAGATGTGTCAAAACGCTTCACAGAATTTACGGGGATGGTACCAGGAATGAGGGACCGTGATTATGAGGAAAGGAGAGAGAGGTTAGGATTATTCTCATTGGAGCAGAGAAGGTTACGAGGAGACGTAATCGAGGTCTTCAAAATCATGAGGGGATTTGATAGGTTAGAAGGGGAAAAACTGTTTCCACTGGTGGGTGTGTCAGTGACTTGAGGTCACAGATTCAAAATAGTCTCTAAAAGAAGCCGAGGGGAGGTGAGAAGAAATGTTTTCACGCAGTGAGTTGTTCGAATCTGGAACGCATTGCCTGAAAGGGCGGTGGAGGCCGATTCGATAACTACTTTTAAAAACGCAGTGGAAGGGTATTTGAGGAGGACGGTTTTGCAGACTTATGGGGAAAGGGCTGGGGAGTGGGATTGACATTAATTGCTCTATTCAAAGAGTCGGCACAAACTCGATGGGCCGAATGGCCGTTTTTTGTGCTGTACGATTCTATGATTCTATGATTTACAAAGTGTGTTCTGATCTGCACACATTCATGTTACGGCTTTGTTTAACCTGTGATTTTAAAATCTAATTGCGCATTTCAGATCGATTGTTCTTTCACATGGCCTTTCAGATGTTCATGTTTTCATCTGTGTTTGTCCATTTGATAGCCTCTGTGATCAATACTTTGGTTCTGGTGCCAGAAATTAATCTTTCTGTGTTAATATTCCAACATAGGAATATACAGTTCAGAGTCGGTAAAATTTAACTTGCATTCTATCTTAAATTTAATTTCTCTTAATCATTTTCCAGGCAATTGAGACAGCAAAAATGGATCCCTTCATCCTAAATCGACTTGCCAAAATCTTTCACTTTCTTGGAAAACAGGAAATGGCAATCGGAATCTGCAACATGGCCTTGAATATTCTCCCTGATCCAGGAATGAACTGGCAAGCTTACTGCACTCGGGCAAAGGTACTTTATTCACGTTCTTCATCAACTCTGTAAAAGCTGCTTCAGTTGTGGTGGAGGTGAGAGGACCGCTGCTCAGAGGCATAGCTGTTTAACAAAAGTGGAATAGCAATCTTTGGAGCTTGCGTGGAGATTGCTGGGGATTGAAGTGAACGGCTTTAACATGTGCTGTGGGAGGTATTGCAAAGGTGAGCATAGCTGATGGTAAATCTGAGCTGAGGGGTGCAAGGCACTTTCTTTATTCTAATTGCACGGTTGCCAATTTTCTCCTATATCAACTGAATTATAGTAATAATAATCCTTGCATTTAATATAGTGGAGTCCTGTAGCTCAGTGGTTAGAGCACTCGCCTTGCAAGTGAGACACCTGGGTTAAATTCCAGGGCGAAACCTTGGGCAAGTTTCCACACGCCTAATAATAATCCCTCCAAACAAAACAATAATAAATTGTTCATTTTCTATCCACGACTGTGTGTGGGACAGTGCTGTGTGCAATTGGCTGCCACATTTTGCCCACAAATATAGAGTCAATTCACTTTACAGTCTGTTCTGTGAAGCGTTTTGAGACGTCGAGAAGACGTGAAAAGCGCTATATCAAATGCAAGGATTATTATTATACAGCTATTTTTCAAAGCGCTTCACAGAGTAGACTGTAAAGTGAATTGACCGTATATTGGTGGGCAAAATTATGGCTTCTCAAAATGGCATTGCTGATTTAACACGAGTTATAGAAAATTGTGACCAATATTAAATTGTAGGCACACACCCACTAGGACCTTGATTGAAGAAGTGTGATAATAGAAACAGAGTTTATAATTGATGCTTTTATTTACCCCTTTCTTTATCAGATTAATATTAAACTGTACATTCAAGGCCTTGAGCGTATCAAGATGGGTCAAGGAGGAGTGCCTGACAGAAACTTACTTACTAATGCAAAAACAGATTTGGAGCACGTCCTACCAGCGTGTCCCTGTCTGAAGACATACCTGGACATGGGACAGGTGGGTGATGAGTTCATACAATCAGGAGTACAATCACCACATTATATTGAACATATTGTTAATGAGCAGGTCGAGACAGATCTGGTTTTAATTTAGTGTTTACTGTTCAGTGTCTTATTATGTCTACCTCATCTATGCCTCTCACCATTTAAAAAAAACTCGATCATGTCCCCTTCAAACTCCTTAAAAAAAATAAAATCTAGCTCAACTTTGCAATTTTTAAAATTAAAACATAGAGATTTAAATCCCACAATTATCTTTGTTGCTGTTTTCTCAACTCTCCAACAATTCAATGCATTTTTGAAGTTGTTGTTGTTGAATGTAACATTTCAAAATTGCAAGTCTTATTCTAAATTGACCCATTAGTGATCTGTAAAATGTCAGAGTACCTTCCAAAATCCAATATTCTCCTGATCCCACTTAGTATTTGATTGAAACGAAAAATACCGCAGATACTGGAGATCCAAAACAAAAAACAGAAGTCGCTGGAAACACTCAGCAGGTCAGGCAGCATCTATGGAGAAAGGACAGTGAGTCAATGTTTCGGGTCCACGACCTGCGTCATGTTGGGAGGGAGAGGCTTTCAAGGGCTAACAGAGAGAGGCTGGGCAAGGAAGACAAAAGAGAAAATGGGATAGAGGATGGTGGATGATGGGTTAAAGAGTTAGTATTTGATTAGCTTTGTTTAACAGCAGCTACACATTTACTGGAAACCTTCAAGGATGATCATTAGATAAATCCAGATCATTATGTTCTCCATATTTTCCAGAAATAATCCTGCATTTGGGTATTGTGTTTACTGTTCTTGATCCAATATCTTATGTTTAAGTTTACTCAAATCTATTTGTCATTCCTTGGCCCATTCCTTGGTGCAATTTTTTTAAGGTTTATTCTCAGGTTATTCACTTGCCCATTTATCAGTGAATTTTACAGTGATGCAAGAAATGTTCTTCTCCACATCATTTCTAAATATTCTACATACAATGGAGAACTCAGAACAGATTCTGAAGAGAACTTCAGTCACTCTTTTCCGGCAGAAATTTTCTTTGATTTATCATTATCTTAGACTTTCTCTTGTTCAGACAGTTTTGAAACTAATTAACTATTGTGCTGTTAATTCCATGAATTTTTACCTCTTAAAAGTTTTATATATTTTTTACGTTTTAAAATTTATGAAATGTCTTCTGTAGATTTAGGTAAATGATGTCCACTAAATTTCATTTACATGAACCTCTATAGCCCTCGTCCATTAGCGTAGTTACTTGCTCAGATTCCTGTAAATTTCCAGATCTATACCGATTCTGTATTGTTGATAGGTGTGTTATTACATGGGTGTTGATGCAGTGGAGGAATTGCAGCTGGTGGATGAGAATGCACTCAATAGTGCTCTAACATGTTTTGCCAAAGCTATGGAGTATGACTTGGGAGATACTCTGCCTGAGATCCAGTTCATGAGAGGGAAGTGCCTGCAAGTCAAAGGCGAGGAACACAATGCTGTTGAGTGCTTCAAGCAAGCTATCGAACTGGACGATGAGGGGTCTCAGTACTCTGAGAGCTTCCGCTGCCTGTTGGAGATGCTCCTCTCATTGTTCAGCCAGGGCAACGGCAACATGGAGACAGTTATCGATGAGGTGGAGGTATGGGTGAAAAAAGCTCAGGCAAAGTATCGGATGGATAAGGTCAAACAGGAACTCCGCACGGTTTGCCAAAAACACACGCCCCAAATTTTAGAACTTTCCAAAGCAATGATCACAGCTGGGAAGCTGCAACTGGTGAAGCTACTGTTTGAGATGATGAACCCTGAAAATAACTTAGTTAACAAGTTCAATAAGCAGTGATTAGCATGAAGACTCTGTTATAGTGAATTGTATGAAGACACACTATATAGATTTGTGTGAAGACAGTCTACAGTGATATTAACTTGCTCTACTTCTGTCTCCCCCATCCCCTCTTCATTTCATGTCAATATCGGATTTAAAGCCAATGAGAGACCTGACCATCAGAAACCAAATTCTAATCTGCTTCTTCAATTCATTTGGTATTTCTAAAAAGCTCACGTTCAGGATCTCCTATTTTCACTGCAGTAATTCAGTGTTACACTGAATGAAGTATGAAGTTGTGGACATTGAATTAAAATATATATACACACACATATATAATATATACACACACATATATACATATAGATGATTACAACTATTGCTTGTTTTTTGGGGGGGAGGGTTTGATTAATCATCTCAAACTCCCCCAGGCCAAACACACAGGTAAGAGATAAAGTTCATTTTCCTCTGCTCCATTAAAAATTCAACATAAAACAATTTGTCAAACATAGCAACAACATCAAAATTACGTTTATATAGCGCTATTCACATCAGAAGGAACTGTTGAGATCCAGTGTAAAGATCTCAAACCTGCTCTCAGTATTAAACCTTAATTCTAAAATCACATCCTACTTTCAACAAGAAACAAGCAAAATATTCTATTTAAAATTCCTATCACAATATAAGGAACAGGTATAGTTCCTGATGACATTTACCGGTGTTAGACATCAAAAAGGTCACCCAGCATTCGCTTTAGGTAAAGTCTGTTAAGCCAAGTTTATTCAAACAAAAATACCATTGAAATGCACTTATTTCAGCAGTCAACCGTCAACGCCACTAGAACGAGTACTGCGAGTCCGGAACAGGGTTCTTTCTTAGTTGCTTCAGTTATTCAGGCTTTCAATCTTCCATGACCGTCTGTTAGCGCTGTTCCGGACTGCTTTCCACTTCTCTTTTTCGGCTACTTATAGTCAGTCGCCTGACTTGCCATTACATCCCGTATTTACATATCCAATCTCTTCGTATTTTACCTCACCTTATTCGGCAGTTTGTCGACCAACTGCCTCGGCCTAACTAGGGCCCCTCTACCCACTTCTGATACAGTCACGTACTCAGGTTAATCAATCATGTGGCTTGGTGCCAGCATGACTGAGTCTTCACGAGGTCTTCCCTTTTTCCTGTCTAAGATAGGAGACTGATCAGTTTGACTGCATCTGGTGCTTGTTATTTTATTATGTGGAATCATTAGTACATTCGTTTCAAGTGACTTGTTATTTCTTATCAGTATCCCGGGATGGTACCAAGGTCCTCTAGTTTAAGCAACTTGCTCATTTGTTGCTATTCTTCAACGCCTTGGGACGTCCTCCCGACGTGAAAGGCGCTCTGTAAATGCAATCATATTGTTGTTGTTGCTGGTTGCCTTTTGTCGCTTGGCAGTCCCTGTCAGAATCTAGCAACTTATTACTAAGTCGAGATCCTGTGTCGACCGGTACCTTGGACCGTTACCTCTGTGGCTTGTTGTCATTTACTGATAAGAGGTGACCCTCTGCCCTTTTCCAGAGCTGTCCTGTTATTCTTTCAAAAACAGAGAAAACCAGATGTGTCCTATCCCATGACTGTCAGTACTTTCTCCATTCTAAATTTGTTTAATGTTCATTATTATTAGACTACAACTTCTATAATCAAACACTGGGAACCTGGCTTCAGACTCAGCTCTATTAGTGATATTACTAGTGCTAACTGTAACTCAATGTACAAACACAATAATGTCTGTGTATGCATCCTGCTATATTTTACTTCTCAATATATTTCTCTTCAGTTTCTCCTGGTCGTCTGGACCGAATCCAAAACTTGTTAGGTAGTCATTCACGGATCCATATCTGACAAGTTAAAACAAAACTAATCTGTATAAAAACAGTACTATTTTTGCTGACAATGCTACTATAACACAATATTAAAATTTAACATTTAAAATGTTTTTTAAATTCAATGCTTTTAAATTCAATGCAATGGACATTCAGAAAATTTTAGGTAGACCACATCTATGGAATACAATTCCTTTTAATATATTTTAATTGCTTAATTTAATTGTTTATCTGCTCTGTTTGTGCATTTCTTAAAGATTTGGTGTTCTCGGTACAAAGTAGGTGCCCACTTTAATCACTTACGTATTGTCTACGTGTTCCAGTACTGCTTTTATATATTCTTTGGAGCTTAGTAGGAGATCTTCGGTGAATCCCATTTTTTTACAGTAAAGTGTGTGAAGCTTTTCATATATCGGCTTTATACCTTGCTGAAGAGAAAAGTACAGAGTTGGGCCAAATGAGACAACCCCAACTTTTAGCTACCAAAGTCATGCAATCATCATCCCTGAGTTAGGGATGGGGAAAATAACACTTTAATGATCTCCAAGTGGTTGAGTTTTGTGCTGTTACTGTATTTTGAGCATGGTGTATTGGTGACAAGCCCAACAACACAGCACTGATATAACAGAGCTAGAACAATGATAATGACCAATCGTATAAAGTAATAGATAACAAGATGCCTTTATACCACAGACCATTACATAAAAAATATTAAAGAACATTGGATCTGAGTCACATTCATATTTCACAATTCTCCTCTCCGCTCTCAACCCCTCCCCCTCTATCATTGGTGAATAACAATATAAAACAATTTTCAACATGAACACTCAGCTAGTTAAAAGCAAATTTGAATCTACTCCAACACATGGCAGAACAAAAAAATGCGCGTTTGATCATCCATGGTGATAGCTGTAATACCAGCATTCTTTCCAGGTAAGACTGCGAAATGATGAGTATCATTGAAATACATTGCAGGAATTTCTCTCCACCTGGGGTAAAGGGGTATGCAGTCCTGAATGTTCCAGAGGCAGCTCAAGAACCGCCCTTTCTAGAGGGGTTTTCACACCTAGTCAATGAGGTGAGCTATTAACTGGACGTAAAATCAAAAGTACATCTTGTACCTTATGACATCCGGTTTACTTACCGTGCTGGCCGTGTAGTCCTCTATGATGTTTTTCTTTGGCCAACCTACGGCTAGTTGTATGAGAGCAGCAGTGACCCCAGTCCTGTCCTTCCCAGCCGTGCAGTGTATCAGAGCAGGGACATTTCTGGGCTCAGACAACAACTTCAAGACTGTGAACAATATCAAGATCATTTTTTAACTGCTTAGTGACTTTGATCAGTTAACCATTCACTAATGTATAGTGCTTTTCTTATTGATTCTTATTCATTTCTGTGGAATTATTTTAAAGGAAGCGGTGTGTATGTCGTTGGCTGTTGATTTCAGACTTTAATAGGATTTAATAATCAACAACATGCCGCACAAGGGAAGGGATTGGTCTAGTGAATTTTTGTCATTCAGAACTCTGCAGCTCGTGTACTGTCCCGCACCAGGCTTCGGGACCACACCACTCCCACCCTCGCTCGCCTCCACTGGCTCCCCATCCCCCAGAGGATCGAATTCAAGATCCTCATCCTCACCTACAAGGCCATTCACGGCCTCGCTCTCTCCGACCTATTATCCCCCTACCTACCTGCCCGTACCCTCCGTTCCTCTGGCTCCGGTCTGCTCCACATCCCCCGTCCCAACCGCCCTACCATCGGTGGCCTTCAGCCTCTCAGCCCCAAGGCTCTGGATCTCTATAAATGGAATCTTGTTGTTGTTGTAGTGAGGAAGGAGGTTAGTCTAACTAATGTAATGATAATAATCCTTGCATTTGATATAGCTTCATCACGTCTTCAAGACGTCTCAAAGCGCTTTACAGAATATACTGTAAAGTGAGTTGACTATATTTTGTTGGCGAAACGGGCAAAGTAGTAAAGGGATTTATTTAGCTAGGAAAAGAGGAGGATATTTAACCCACACTTTTCTTAAAAAAAATAAAAATAAAACCCCACATGTGTAACAACGTCTTTAGGAAATAAAAATGATCCTGCAAGTTTCGGGAACGACTTACTTGTAAAGATGACAGTCTGGGAAGTGTCGACCAGATCTGTGTACTGTTGCTTCACCCCCCTGGGATTAAGGACACGGGTGGTCAGGTATCTCTGAGACAGCCAGGTGTGGAAAACCCGATCGATCAGAGCCATGAACATCAGCAGCACTTTCTGGCAGGCGGACATGGTTGTGAGGAGTCGAGCCTTGTATTTCTTGGTGGCAAAGCTCAGGACACAGCGGACGCCTTGTGCCTCCCCTGAGAGCAGTTTCCCTGTGGTGCCCTTGCGCTTCGTGTCTTCCATTTCCTCCTCTGTGACCTTCAGTCTTTCGTAGGAAATATCGATCGGCTTCCGACCCCCGTGAGACGAATCTTGGAGTTCCTCGGATGAGCGGAGGTCGATGATCAATCGGATCCCCAAGAGCTCCTTCAAAACTCTGACCTCCTCCTCGCTGGCATGGTCCGGGCTGGCTGAGCGGTAGATGTTGGCAAAGCCCGAACACAGTTGCCTGAGGTTTGGGATATTTTGAGGTTGAATTGCCATGATCCTATCTTCCTCGGGTTCTCGAGTCATTTCTGTGATATATATATTTCTCTCTCTCTCTCTCCAGAGATGAGTTTTGCTCTGGTTGTTAACGACGCTCAAGTGTCAAGTGTCCAGACCTTGGGGGAAACCAAATGGAACAATCACATTAACCCTTCCGAAGGCTGTCGAGGGGTTTAAAGGACAGGGTGGCGGCTTAGTCTGAAAGTTGCTGTTTCTTTGTCTTTGTCTTCTTTTCAAAAAAAGAATCAGTGACAGATCCGATTCCGGGTCTCTTGACTCTATTCCACGTTCTACTATTGTAAAGGAAGCTTAAGCCCAGCAAATTATTGGAGGCTTTTCCATTGGTCTCAGCAAAGTCACAAGAGGCCGTTTGTTTTTTTCCGCCGGTGGTAAACACATGTAAATCTTACGCTGAACCAGTTGACAGGCTCTCACGGGGGTGGGAGGTGCGGAGTCCAACCGTTGTCCAAACCTTCTGCCAAACAAACCCATCAGTTGCCAGTAACCAAGTGGATGTTCCCTCCACCTCCCCGAAGTTTGGAGCCGCTTATACGCTGTGTCTAACTTCTACCTCTGTCAAATGGAGTCCTGTAGCTCAGTGGTTAGAGCACTCGCTTTGCAAGTGAGAGACCTGAGTTCAATTCCAGGCAGAGGGCCAAACCTTGGGCAAGTTTCCTTACTCCACACAGAGCCTAATAATAATCCCTTCAAAACCAAAAACAATAATAAATTGGTCATTTTCAATCTACGACTGTTTGTGGGACATTGCTGTGTGCAATTGGCTGCCGTGTTCGCCCACAAATATACAGTCAATTCACTTTACAGTGTGTTCTGTGAAGCGCTTTGGGACGTCCTCCCGACGTGAAAAGCGTTATATCAAATGCGAGGATTATTATTATTATTAAATGCAATGGTTATTCTTATTCTTTCTTAAATAAATCCGCGGTTCCCACGCTCCCTCAGCAGAAATACTTGCTGTCATCCTTGGCAATGTATAGTTTCTCTCTCTCACTCTCTCTCTCTCTCTCTCCTCTCTTCTCGCTCTCAGCTCATTTGGGATTCCAGCAGCGACTATTGCTCTGTATTTAAACACATTACATTCAGTTCAGATATCTATATATATATATATATTTACATGTATAAAAGCTCCGATTGCTTCCAGTCAGACAATCTAAACTCTAAAAGATGAGGACAGAGGTTTATTTTAGTGACAATAACCCCCTATTACCAGAAAAGAGAGGGAGAGAGGGAATCGTTTAAAGAGAGAGAGAGAGGGAGAAAGAGAGAGAAACACAGAGAGAGAGATGGACAGAGAGAGAGATAGAGAGAGAGAGAGAGAGAGAGAGAGAAGTCCTTACCTGAAGACTGCAGAGGTTCTCAGTGGACAGACTGTCACTGGGGCTTTGGGTGGTATCGAGTTTAGCGATTTGGTTCTTTCTGTCCTGAGGGGCGGTCCGTCCGCTCCACACACACAGAGGCGGGAGGGCAGAGAGAGAGTGAGTGAGAGGGGCACAGGGGGTGAGGGGGGCACAGGGGGGGTGGGCCTGGCCCTGGGCACAGGGGGTGGGGGGTGGCACAGGGGGTGGGGGGCACAGGGGGTGGGGGGGCACAGGGGGTGGGGGGGCACAGGGGGTGGGGGGGCACAGGGGGTGGGGGGGCACAGGGGGTGGGGGTGGCACAGGGGGTGGGGGGCACAGGGGGTGGGGGGGCACAGGGGGTGGGGGGGGCACAGGGGGTGGGGGGGCACAGGGGGTGGGGGTGGCACAGGGGGTGGGGGGGCACAGGGGGTGGGGGGTGGCACAGGGGGTGGGGGGCACAGGGGGTGGGGGTGGCACAGGGGGTGGGGGGCACAGGGGGTGGGGGGCACAGGGGGTGGGGGGGCACAGGGGGTGGGGGGGGCCTGGCCCTGGGCACAGGGGGTGTGGGGGCACAGGGGGTGGGGGGCACAGGGGGTGGGGGGGCACAGGGGGGGGGGCCTGGCCCTGGGCACGGGGTGGGGGGGCACAGGGGGTGGGGGGGGCACAGGGGGGGCCTGGGCACAGGGGGTGGGGGGGGCACAGGGGTGGGGGGGGCCTGGCCCTGGGCACAGGGGAGAGGCAGAGGAGAGAGAAGAGACGGGGCGTTGGGGGCACAAAACTGCACCAGGAACTACCTGGTCCCCCCTCGAGCTCTGACCCTGATGCACAACGCGCATTAGTGCTGTGGGGGAGGGTGTGGGGGGCGTTCGGTTCATTCATTCCCTGCGGATCCTGACTTTGGGGCAGGAGGGGGAGGGGAGCGGTCAGTCAGGCCCAGGCCCAGGCCCAGGCCCAGGCCCAGGCCCAGGCCCAGGCCCAGGCCCAGGCGGGTGGACGAGCAGAGCTGCAGTGCCAGTCTGGCTCTCGGTTACTGGCCTCAGTTCCTCGCGTCTCAGTCGGAAAGCTGTGCAGGTTTTCATTGTGAGGTCCCAGTGATCCCCAACCTTCATGGAAGCCGACAGATATTTTTTTCTCTCTCTTAGCGAATTTTCCTTAATTTACGGCCAGGTGGTGGGTATCCGCATCACCCACAGGCTATACATTCAATTCACTTTGCACAAGGCCTCCCGTGAAGCCCTTTGAAACGTCTCGAAGACGCCATAAGGTGCTATATCAAATGCAAGGATTATTATTATTATTATCGCGGCTCAGTAGCTGCTGAAACTTTGGCCGGAGCCGAACCGCTTGACCCTGAACAGTATTCAGAGATGTGCTGAAAGCACAAAATGTTTTGTTCCTTACGCTGATTTGTCCCACTTTTATACACAAGATATACATAACAGAAATGACTAATCGACCAAATAAACATTGAGAGTGTATGTGGAATGCTTTCTGCCTGGTGGCCAAGTATTTCGCATCTGGATTTGAAAACGTTTGTTACTTCAGGGTGAGCTTTGACTTAAACTGTCTTTTACTTTCCAGAGAAATCTGTGTGTTGGACTCGGAATAAAGATGTTTTTCGATTGTCACTCACGACAGTTATTAAATTGCCTGTTTAGTGGCTACAGGAATGTAAATAGGTTCCATTATCACCGCGGCAAGTCCAAGCACCTGCTGCTGTCTCGCCTGTTTCAGCCCATGAACCTCCGTGAGGACAGAGTGGTTGGAGTTGGCCGATCGAACGAGCTCACCTGCAAGAGCCAGCAGCTGATGATTCAGGCAGGCCTCATCCACCCAGCCAATCCCGGCTGCTTTTATTACTTACCGTACACGGTTCGAGCCTTGGAAAAACTGATCCGGGTGATCGATGAAGAAATGGAATCAATCGGGAGCCAGAAGGTGAACATGCCCAGCCTGAGTACTGCAGAACTGTGGAAGATCAGCGAGCGTTGGCAGGTCATGGGGAAAGAGCTGTTCAGACTAAAGGACAGGCATGGCATGGATTACTGTTTGAGCCCTACCCATGAAGAAGCTGTGACACACCTCATAGCCTCATACGGTAGCCTGTCATACAAACAGCTGCCAGTCATGCTCTACCAGATAACAAGGAAGTTCCGTGATGAGCCGAAGCCAAGGTTTGGTTTGCTCCGTGGGCGTGAGTTCTACATGAAGGACATGTATACGTTCGATGTCTCGGAGGAAGCTGCAAAGGAGACCTACAATATTGTCTGTGAATCCTACAGCCGTATATTTGATCGGTTGGGATTGCGATTTGTAAAGGTGGAAGCAGACACTGGCAGCATTGGTGGGAAGATGTCGCATGAATTTCAGATACCAGCAAACATTGGGGAGGACAGAATTTTAGTGTGTTTGGCCTGCCGTTTCGCTGCCAATGTGGAGAAGATGGAAAGCGGTGGAACAGACTGCCCACAGTGTAAAGGAAAGCTGACAGAGACCAAAGGTATTGAAGTCGGACACACATTTTACCTGGGGACAAAGTACTCGCACGTTTTCAAAGCCTCCTATCACAACGCTGAGAACAAGCCCGTCACGGCAGAAATGGGCTGCTTCGGCCTTGGGGTCACACGCATCTTGGCAGCGTCTGTGGAGATTTTGTCGACTGAGGATGACATCCGCTGGCCCAGTCTCTTGGCACCTTATCAGGTCTGTATCGTTCCTCCTAAGAGAGGCAGCAAGGAGGACGTGACGGAGGGACTCTCAGAGAGTCTGTACGACACGCTGGTTGATGCTGCCCCTCAACTTCGAGGAGAGGTCATTTTGGATGACCGAAGTCACCTGACAGTCGGCAAGAGGTTGAAAGACGCCAAGAGGCTCGGTTACCCTTACGTCATCATTGCTGGGAAGAGAATTTTGGAAGATCCACCTGTCTTTGAAGTCTGCTGCCAGAATGTCGGAGATACTTTGTTTCTCACACAAGAAGGAGTTGTGGACATTTTGAGAGACGTGCAGACTGTATAGTGTGTGTGATTGTTCCCGGTTTACTTTGCCTCCCGAAGGTGTCCTATTGCTGTGTTTTGCCCACAAAATGTACAGTCAACTCACTTTACAGTGTATCCTGGAAGCGTTTTGAGACGTCTCGAAGACGTGATAACGTGCTATATATAAAATGCAAGGATTATTATCATTGGAGGGAGGGAGCTGTAAACATGGCAAGCTGTAGACATGCATCAAGGAACACTACCCAGTAAGTCATTTTTATTATTTTTCTATTGGGAAGAAAGCCATAATTAATATATTCTGTCCAAGATTATGGTAATTCAATTGGGATGGAAATTGAAGTTGCGTGATTACAGAGAGCAAGATCAGTAACACAGTGCTCAGAATGTACCGCATTCACATGGCTGTACACCGGAGGTGGTTTGTACAAAGCTTGTGTGAAAAGCATGTATTGATACAATGAGCATACGGCATTTACAGGAGTCATTGTAATAGTTATATTTCCACTGTCAGGTGTCAGCTTGGCACAGCGGTAGTATTCTTGCCACTGAGTCAGAAGGTTTGAGTTCAAGCCCCAAGTTGGGACTTGGAGTCACATGGACTAAGATGACACTCCAATGCAATGTTCGAGGTGTCATCCTTCAGATGAGATGTTAAACCGAGTTCCTGCCTGTCTGTTCAGATGGACCATAAAGATTACATGGCAGTGTTCAAAAAGGCCAACAATCTCCCAAATAAAATTAGTCACTCACTTCATGGCTGTTTGTGGAACATTGCTGTGCGCAAACTGATTGTCGCGTTTCACCCACAAATACACACTCCGTCTATTTTATAGTATTTTCTGTGAAGCGCTTTGGGACATCTCGACGACGTGTTATATCAAATGCAAGGAATATTATTATTATCATCATCACTGGTTTGTTGCTGAAGCCTTGACAGATGCTAATTTCCAGCCGTGTGACGGTGTGTTATATTGGCCGGGTTATTGTACCTGCCTACTTTCAATTTGACATTCACAAAATATTTTTCGATCTGAATGGATTATCTCAGAGTGCCTGAATTCAGAAAATCTGTCCTCTGAATAAAACATGGGAGCGTTTTCCAGAAGCTTTGGATGTAATTATTGCGTGGAAGCATTTAGATCGGTGTTACAAGATGCAACAAGCTGTTCAGTACAAACAATTGCACGGACCTGTGGCGGCCAAACTATGGCACATGGGCAGGTTATTCTGAGAAGTGCTTTTAAGATGTCTCAATGACATGTTAAGGCGCTCTGTCAAATGCAATACATATTATGATTATTATATAATCTCAAGTCAAATAATGAAGGTATGAAGCATTGGTAACTGCCACAGCATTTATTCAGCTGAACCGTGAGTCGCAATAACATAAAACAACAACAAAATTAAATTTTTATAGCGCCTTTCACATCGGGGGGACGTCCCAAGGTGCTGCCAAAGGCAAAATAATAACGAGTGGCAATAAAATTAAATCTAAAATTGGAAATATACAGCTGTGTGCACCAGCACAGTGTGTGTGTGTGTGTGTGTGAGAGCCATGTAGTGAGTGTGCGTGTGTGAGTGTGAGCCTGAACAGTGTGTGTGTAGTGTGAGTGTGTACAGTGTGAGAGCCTGTACAGTGTGAGTGTGTAGTGTGTGTGAGTGTGTACAGTGAGTGTGTGTGTGAGAACCTGAACAGTGTGTGTGTAGTGTGAGTGTGTACAATGTGTGAAAACCTATAGTGTGAGTGTGTACAGTGTGAGTGTGTACAGTGAGTGTAGTGAGTGTGTACAGTGTGTGTGTGTGTACAGTGTGTGTGTGTAGTGTGAGTACAGTGTGTGAGTGTACAGTGAGTGTAGTGTGAGTGTGTACAGTGTGTGTGAGTGTGTAGTGTGAGTGTGTAGTGTGTGAGTGTACAGTGTGTGTAGTGTGAGTGTGTACCGTGAGTGTAGTGTGAGTGTGTACAGTGTGTGTGTGTAGTGTGAGTGTGTAGTGTGTGAGTGTACAGTGTGTGTGAGTGTGTAGTGTGAGTGTGTACAGTGAGTGAGTGTGTACAGTGAGTGAGTGTGTACAGTGAGTGTAGTGTGAGTGTGTACAGTGAGTGTAGTGTGAGTGTACAGTGTGTGTAGTGTGAGTGTGTACAGTGTGTACAGTGAGTGTAGTGTGAGTGTGAAACAGGAACAGGTTTCCGAGCCGCGGGGACATGTTAGAGGGGGGAACAGCCGGAAGCGCAACCCCCCGCCCGCCCCCCGCCACAGCCGGAGCCGGAAACGGTCACTGCGGCGCCCGGAGCTACTGTCGGGGCACGAGGCACTATGGCCTCTCACACCCCCGGGGGGCAGGAGGGGGAGCAGGGGGAGGGGGAGCAGGGGGAGGGGGAGCAGGGGGAGGGGGAGCAGGGGGAGGGGGGGCAGGGGGAGGAGGGGGGGCAGGAGCAGGGGGAGGGGGGCAGGGGCAGGAGGGGGAGCAGGAGGAGGGGGAGGGGATGGACGCCTTCATGGACCAGTTCAAACATCAGAGATACAGAGCGGGTTTCAACGAGGACAACTGGGAGGAGGTGATCCTGGGACACCTGGGGGTGGGCGTGTGGGGGTGTGTGTGTGTGGGGGGTGTGGTGGGCGGTGTGGGGGGGTGTGTGTGGGGGGTGGGGTGGCGGTGTGGGGGGGGGTGTGGGTGGGCGGTGGGCGGTGTGGGGGGGGTGTGGGGGGGTGTGTGTGGGGGGGGCGGTGTGGGGTGGGCGGTGTGGGGGCGGTGTGGGGTGGGGGTGTGTGTGTGGGGGGTGTGGGGTGTGTGGGGGGGGTGTGTGGGTGGGCGGTGTGGGGGGGTGTGTGGGGTGTGTGTGTGGGGGGGTGTGTGGGGTGGGGTGGGTGGGCGGTGTGGGGGGGGTGTGGGGTGGGCGGTGTGGGGGGTGGGGGGGGGGTGTGTGGGGGGTGGGGGGGGTGTGTGGTGTGGGGGGTGGGGTGGGCGGTGTGGGGGGGGTGTGCGGTGTGGGGGGGGTGTGTGTGGGGGGGGTGTGTGGGGTGGGCGGTGTGGGGGGGAATCGGGAATACTTTCCTCTCTGAATGGTGATTATTGTGATGCCATTTCGTGCTTTGCCACTGGAAGGGGTCGGGGTTCGGAAACTTGAGAGACAGTATGTTCCGGGTGTCCGGGAGGCTGAGCCGGACAGCGAAGGCTTCTGGCTCTCCGGCCTCACCGCTGCCGGGCCGGGTACCAGCCCGAAAATAACAAGAATAATAAATAATAATAACGATAATAACCCTTGCTTTTCAAACACCGCCGTATTGTAACCGCCGAGACGTCTCCCAAAGCGCTCCCGCGGAATACACTGTAATGTGAATTGACTGCGCATTTCGTGAGCGAAACGCGGCAGTTAATTGCGCACGAGCGGCGACATCCCCACAAACACGTGCTGGATTGGAGTGATCAATTTGTTGTTGTCGGTTTTGCAGAAGCGTGACCAGTAAGGAGCTGAGATGGGGAGGGATTGCAATTTATTTATACCGTTGGCCTTTGTCATTTATTTTTGTTTCCTGTCCAGGAGTTTGACAATATTCCCATGTTCATGAAGAAGGCACCAGAGGAAATCGATCCAGTGAAGACTCCGGAACTTGCTTGTATCCAGACCATTCTGTACGATGAAGACCAATCACCAGAAGGTACAGGAGTAATTAGCAATTATTATTTTTAGAACGTCTTGCAAATTGCATGTTTTCCTTCACTGCCTCCTCAAGATAAGGTTGAAGAAATGAAACCATGTAGCGCTAATATTTCAAGCGCTCTGGGAAGCTACTCTGCCCATGCGAAGGATGCTATATAAATACAAGTTGTTGATACCATGATTATCATTGTATTTAGTGCTATCATCTACCCAGTTGTTGGTTAATGTTATGGTTAGTCATATAAACCGCACAAATTTGTTGGGGAGATTTTATATTTATTCTCACAATGATGCAAAGAGTTTACTGGAGCAGGTGAATTCGAAAACTAATTATCTGTCAATAAAATAATATATGGTGTAAATATAATTATTAGCCAAGGCTGTCAGTTTGCTTTTCGGAGGGTTGAGCAGACTCCCATCAATACATTTACACTTGTCTGCTCTAGATTCAGATCTTGATAACTGCTGTGCGCAGTTGGCTGCCGCGTTTCGCCCACAAAATATACAGTCAATTCACTTTACAGTATATTCTGTGAAGCGCTTTCAGATGTCTCGAAGACGTGATTAGGCTCTGTATCAAATAATAATAATAATCCTTGCATTTGATATAGCGCTTTTCACGTCTTCTAGACATCTCAAAGCACTTCACAGAATATACTGTAACGTGAATTGACCTCTTGGACTGGGGAATGTAAGTAGTGAGCACTTAGTAAGTTTTTTTTGTTGAAGAAAATCAGTCACTGTGAGGAATGAAATGGCCCAAAAAGCATTGACGTTGTACTACAGATCAACATTTTTTTATCTTAATCTCAAAACTATCTCTATTTTCCAGATCTTGCAAAAACATACAAAGATGAAGGGAATCATTACTTCGGGGAAAAGAATTATAAGAAAGCCATCATCTCGTACACAGAAGGGCTTAAGAAGAAATGCAGTGATCCCAATCTTAACACCGTACTCTACACAAACCGAGCCGCTGCACATTTTCACTTAGGTACGGACATCATTGCTATAATGATTCTGATGGCTGGATGGTATATTAGGTTAGGCTGTTACCTTTCGAACTTGGCCATTCTCTACTGAGTGTAAGAGTTCTACTCAAAGATTTTCTAATCAATACATCCACAGCATAAAAATGATTGTAACATTTTAAAATTAATGAAACTAAATTGGCTGTTTTACTCAGCTGTCACAGGATGGCTGATGTGGGAAATGGTAAGGTCACAGTGATGCAGTATATTCGTCATCTGAAGCTGCAGTTAATACACAACGTTCATTGAAAAAACAAATCCCTTTCAAAGTTTCTTTTCCACTTTTCTCTGAGAAAGCTTTCTCCCTTTCTGTGACCTTTGCAGTTGAGGGTAGATACGGTGTAAGTTGCAAACATGCTTAAACCTAGTAAATCATGATGAATTGTATTGGGGCCCAAACAACTGATGTTGGTGTGTGGCTGGGTGGGGAGGGGGGAGGGTTTCTCAGGCATCCCCGTTCCACGATGGAGCACAAAATTTCTAATAGTAGTTTGTGGTTGAAATTCACAGGATCAGGTCCAAGAACCTGCGTTCTTGTATCCTTTATTACCAGGATCTGCAGAAAATATTTGTGCAAAATGCATGGAGTGAAATGGTTTCTGCCGCAAGAGAGTGCTTTTCCAGTGATTAGATGTCACTGTGAGCTGTCATGGCCGATACCTGTTACTGCAGCATGGGGTGAACTCTTGTCAAATGCGTGTGAGAATTTCACTTACTTCCCCAAAGATTGACCCAGTCAGCTACATTAAGCCAAGCAACCCATCCTTACCCCAAAATATGTCAGGCAAAAGTCAATACATCGATCATTGTAAACATTGCACATTTTGTGTGGGGCCAGTTTCCTCCAGTAACTGGTTGGATTGTCAATAAATTGATATATACAAATTGGTATTAGAAAATTAATGTGGGAGCAGCATTGAGCAGGGAGAATTCCGAGTACAAGTGATTTGTTTGGTGGCTGTCAAGGTATCAGTGTATGCGGCTATCTGCCACTGGACCTCCTGATGTGAAAGGCGCTATACAGATGTCATTTGTTGTTGCTGAACTGTCTGTGGTGCTGACTGTTTGGGTAAAAACCTAAAGTGATGAACAGGAAGGTGATGTTCTCTGACCCTGCCGTTTAATATTTTGTGTCCAGGTAACAATCGATCTGCATTAAATGATGCGATAGAGGCTAGGAAGCTGAAGCCGGACCATCTGAAAGCGATAATCAGAGGTAAGAATACTGAAGCATTTTATTTTCTCTTATATCGTAAGGTTCTTTGCAGGCGTGAAGACAAGTAAAGATTTTCCAAGCTTTTCCCAATGGAGTTTATGTTGGTATCTTTGGCCTGTGCAGCACAGATTAGGTCGACCTGGCTGCGAGATTATCTTTGACTTTCATACACAACTGACTGAAAGAGAATTGAGATGTATAAAGTTCAAGAGAGAGCTATTGCAGCAGTGAGCATCGAACAGGCTCGGTGCTTCTCCCAATATTTATTCCAGGCACATTTTAAGTTGTTAACAAGGGTGGTAGCTGAATGGAGGTGGAGGGTTGAATAGGTTTTTGACTCTGCTTGTTTCTAAAAGAACTCCACTTCAAAGTTCCTTGTTCAGTCCCCTAGATTCCTCCTGCCAGGTATTTGTGCTAACAGAAAATAAGTAAGTAGCAATACATCTAAGAGCTGCTACTTAACCTTTGAGTTCCTGCATCATTTAAGAGTACTAACCATCCAAAATAGGAGATAATTTGCAATCCTCCTACAATTTAAAAGCTGCGTGATATTGTGTAACAGAAGTTTTGCTACAAATGCTTGAATAACAAGAGGGTAGAAAGAGACACTAGTCTGTTCTTTCTGATTTCTGACAGGTGTCCTGTGCCATACTGAGCTGAAAGATTACAGTAAGGCCATAATGTGGTGCAACGAGGGGCTCCAGGTTAATCCAAAGGAGAAACAATTGGTGGACCTGAGATCGAGGGCTGACAAACAGAAGGTACATAGAACAGTTAATGACCATTGTATTATTTTGTCATTGCAAAGATTGGCAGGTGATATTACTGTGTTAGGCTTTATTTAATATATTGCTTTGAAGCATTGCTCACTCTTGGGTATCCAATGAATACATTGAGGGTATAATCATTCTGCTGGGGCTAAAAGGCACAGTCTGAAGATACCATCTAATCACTTCTAACTGCCTTGTGTTTTTATATTTAGCGTGTGGAAGAGAGGAATGCAAGGAAGGCAAAGTTGAAGGAAAAGAAGGAACATTTGCAGAAAGAAGCTCTACTGAAAGCCATTGAGGTAAGAACCATACAAGGAACAGGTATAATCTTCCTGAGCTGAGTGAGATATGCATTCCAAGGTCATGAACGGGGAAGGTGCTTTTGCATACATGGTATTTGGAAAATTCCCATGAGTCTTAATTGAAATGATCAAGATTAGCTTTGACAAGGGATGCCTTCAAGGGAACCTGGAGACAGCTTCAGTGGTATAAAAGGCACGTTCAGGGCATTCAGTCAGCTAGATATCTTTACATAGACGGTTACAAAAATATTTGGATTGGATTACCCCAACCAAGGTTAGTTTGAAACCAGGATACTGGACTGATTTAGGGACTAGCTTGATGCTATTATAATAATAATAATCCTTGAATTTATATAGCATCTTATCATGTTGGAGAGACATCCCAAAACACTTGCTGTAAAGTGCTGTGACTGTTATTTTCGGGAATACATTAGGGTTGGTCGGGGAAAATGAGATCAAATGGGCCAAAGGGCCTTCCTCATGTGAACACCATGTGATATTGGGGCCCTGGATTTCTGAACTGTTGGCGCAGAGAGAATGGAGAGGAGAGGTAGTTGAATAAACTGAGCTAGAGAGCAAAAAACAATAGGGCAATGCTGAAATTATTTTATAAACCTTTAAAGTATTAGTTTTATTGTGCCTCTAGGGCCCCCCTCCCACCATCCCTCTCCCCCCCCCATTTAGAACGGATTATTGTCTTGTACTTCCCCGCTGAGTAATACTAAATCACTGTCTAGACATGATAATACTCTTTGTATATTTTCTGTGCTGCCTTTGCTGTAGTGTATTTTATTGCTTCTCCTAGGAAAGGAAGATCAAACTGTTTCGATCTCAGGAATGTTTCAGTCGACATTCAGATGAGGAGGAGGAGGAAAGAGTGTCAAAAAACTTGATGGATTTGTCGTTTGATGGTACAGATGCTGAGAGTGCTACCGGTGCCAGGGTGTACCTGGATGAAAATGGCAACTTGCAGTGGCCTGTCCTGTTCCTCTACCCTGAGTACGGGCAAACCGACTTCATCTCAGCATTTAACGAAGACACACGGTAAAGATTAATCTGCTGAGAGGTACCGATGATACGTGCCTAATTTGTACTGATTCATCTTAAAAGGCCAGTTACTCACCGATGATTCTTTTTATTTTGGATGATTTAGTTATTTAAAGGGATTTGACTTTTTCAAATTGTTCCTAAGTGAGTTAACTTTGGGCATAGTAATGTCTCCCAGTCCCTATTTGTGGAGGAAATGTGTTCAGTCACTCTTTAGCAGACAATTTCAGATTAACTCTTGAAGGAGGTATCAGCACACGTACTGGTGTTGTTCTCAGTCTTTATTTATTCCTGTATTTTCTGCTTTGAAACTGACTCAGAACTGCTTGGAAGTAGAAATTTAGCTGAGAATATTTTCGATTTGTGTTTGTTTCTTTTCTTCAGGTTTATTGATCACTTATCAGTGATGTTTGATAAAGACTTGCCCCCCTGGGACGTGGAGAAAAAATATCAGGCAGATCGTTTAGAGGTACGACTTGGATTATTTTATAAGTGCTGCGTCGGAGAAGGAGACAATTTTTGGGCGGAATGCTGGGTCTATTTAGGGCTAAGCTATTTTTCAATATAATTACAAGTATATTGAAAAATATAATTTTTAAAATTCTTTAATTTTTTTTAATATATCAATTTAATATCAATTGGCTGCTCCATTTCTCCCACAAAGTATACAGTCAATTCACTTTACAGTATATTCTGTGAAGCGCTTTGAACATCTCAAAGACGTGATAAAGCGCTATATCAAATGCAAGGATTATTAGTAGTAGTAGTAAGTGTAATCCTTAAACCACAACCAATCTCTAATTTTCTTTAATTATTGGGTTATGACAGAAAACCTTTTTTCGTTATTGCCCTGTGGATCTGTCAGGCAGCTGATGTGCCTACGCACTGCGCCTAAGTTCACTGACCAAGGTCAGGCTGACATACTGATTTCAATACAACCGTTAATGTCTTGTATTCCAATTCTGTTTAGTTCAGTTTTGTTTTGACTGCAATTGAAGCTGTCTATAGCCTAAGAAACAACACTGATTCAGTCTGAGCTTGAAATTCCTCTCTGTATCTGTGCAGGAATCCCTGAGTACAGGATGTGCTTGGAGATTTTCAGATTGGTCAGTGTGGATCGTGGCAGGTAGTCTTTAAAACAGGCTTTAGAACTCTAATAACCGCATACCTGTGGGAATCAGATACCTGATGAAAATCTCAGTTCTTTAACTGATTTACTTTACTTGCACCTCATCCCAGAATCTGGAAAGCTATTGAAGCTAATCCATTATATTGCTTTATTACTGACTCTGAATTCAACTAGGGTTAGGTTGCACATTGCAAATAATCATGACTTTACTCAAGGTAAGTTATTAATACACTTGTCACATCCGAACGTATGTCAGTAGTCGGAATTACAGCTATTACTGCATTTTGTTCAATCAGAAAGTACAATACTGATTTCTAACTTGACCAAAAACTTTTTTTTAAAGACAACTAATTTAATATTGTTTACATTGCTTTCAAATTACTGCTGTTTATTTGAGACTTATTGGCAGGCCTACATCTTGTTGGTTGATTTGCACCTTCCCAATACAAGAAGGTGTCTAAACCACCTGTGTAACTTTGGTAAAGGGTTGGGGGATTTTAAACTCCATTGGGAGATTCTGCTCTGCAAATAAGAGTAATAAGAATAATTCTTGTATTTGATATAGAGTCTCATTACGTCTTCGAGACATCTCAAAGCGCTTCAGGGCTATGGTTCAGGCTTCTGCCAGTCACCTTAACTAAAGAATCACAATCTAGCCTAACTAGAAGATAAATGAATGATCTAGTTTTGCAGTGTAAACACTGGACATCGGTATGATTAGTCTCTTGTGTATCCTTACAGTATGAAGAGCTGACGTTGCAAAACTGACAGTTTTCTAAAAGCACGAGCAAACAGCTCAGAGCGCAGAGAAAACATGCTGAGAGAATGCTGACTGAGCAAAATGATTTTCATCAGAAATAGAAAACTACTTGCGACAGACATTATGTCAGGAATAAATTTGTAAAAACAGAAGTGAAAATGCACCATAAGGTCGGTGGCTCCTATATTTCCCCCTCCCTCCCCCCTCAGAAAAAAGTACATATTTTACAGGCCTCCCAGCCACAGACTGGTGATGACGGCAGTCTGTGATTCAGCCATCCTTGCGTGGCTGACTGCTCTAAAGGGTCAGTTTGAACATTGTTTTCATTATTCCATCTCATTTATTTAGGATATTTTGGGAAATTATTTAAAAATACAAGAAAATTATGCATTTGACTGCATTGTTCAGCTGTTGGGTGAAATCCTGAGATGTGCTCCACTGGCACTATTAACCCCCGTACCCACATTTTTACTTGGATTTCAAGAGTAATATTTTTTCTGAGTTTTATGCATTTAACACCTACTATTATAGTAGTTATTATGACATGAAAAGCAATAAACAAATGTAATTTGTTGTTAAGCACCCACGAGATGTGATATTTATGCATACAGAGGACATGTGTGAAACGTTGTTTAATTGGGTGGGTCTGATTGTTGGATGTGTGATGTGTAACACACAGTGATGCCCAAAGTAAAGCAGTATGATAATGTCTAATGCCAAGTGTTGCATTCTGTTTGTGCCACAATTGTATTCCGTTGCCCTACGGGTTAATTTGTGTTCGTCTATTTTGGAGAGACTACAATGTGTGGGAGTAGCGATGAGAGCCTGGGAAAGAACAAGATAAAGTAGGAGATGATATTGAAAGTAACAATGTGATAATTTTTCTCCTCCTGCAGGGCCTATAATCCGTCATTGCTACTTTGTTTTGTCCGAGTGAAGAAATTGCGGAGATAGTGGAAATGTCTGCAAATAATATCTTGAGTGGGTGGGTTGAGGTTTAAAATAGAATTTAAAAAGGTAGATAATCTTTACATAGCATCATCAATCATTCCCCAAATGTTCTTTTCTGTGTGTCCGTAGCTGTATTTTGAAGATGAAGAAAGAGAGGATCTGTTTCGAGTGAACCCTGACTGTACCCTGCGGCAGGTACTGAGCCACCCCAGGTGAGCAGAACAAAATTTCTTATTAGCCTTTATGTTTCTCATTCTTTGGAACTCCATCCCACATTCCCTTCGCCTCGCTCCCTCGCTTGCCTCCTTCAACAACAACAAGATTACATTTGTATAGCGCCTTTCATGTCGGGAGGATGTCCCAAGGCGCTGGACAGTGTACAGCATTTCAGACCCGAGCTGGGGTCAGGGGTGGGGAGAAGGGAGGGGAAGGGCAAGGCACATCTCAAGACCTTCCTCTTCAACCCTGCCTTCGGCCACCCTCCTACCTCTATCCTCCCTGTCCACCACCCTTCCTTATCCCAACACCCCTCTCGGGTCTTGACTGTCCAGCGCCTTGGGACGTCCTCCTGACGTGAAAGGCGCAATACAAATGTAATTGTGTATTGTATTTTGTATTGTTATCCCCAGTTTCTACTCTCTGCCTTGGTTAATTGTAGGAGGGTCATACACTTGTGCAAAATGATCAGTGTGCCGTGCTCGAGTTTGGATTATCTTTCGAATGACTTGTTTAATTAAGGGTATAAATATGAATGTTTCCTTTTTATAAAGGAGATCATTGCTTGGTATTGATGCTGTGTTTACCCACGTCTAGGTATTTTGTGAAGGCTGGCTCTCCTAAGTTCATTATTCTGGTCAGGGGCTCATCATATTCCTTGGAATTTTTGTCTGGGAAGAAACTTCAACAAGCAAGTTGAGCTGTTTCAAAATCATCCATAGATGTGGCCATCAACTGGAACGAGCTTTCTTCGACCATCAAGCAAGCAGAGGAAGAGGACATTTTGCCACGTGCTAATGAATGTATGAGAAGATGGAAACGTCGTAGAAGGGGAGGGGAAAAAAGACGATGTCAAAGGTGAAACACTTCAATAAAGAAAAAAACCTGATGTGTTTAACTGCAAGAAGGTTTAAAATCAGTTTCTTGTAACAATGGGTGTGAATAACTCCGCCAAGATCCATATGGGTGACAGTAAATTTATACTGACATTTTGAAGCAGAGTCAGTGCTGTCCTGATGTGGAGATTCCAAGCTTCCATGTTTTCTGTTCCACCTCTGACTTTCACTCAAGGTTGAGCATGTTGCAAGAGTTATTGCACAAGCAATGGATCACTAACTAATGTTGATTTACTGCTGACAGTTACTGGTGAGTTACAAGGGCGTAATTTAATGAAGCGGGCTTGTTTTTTGGGGGTTATTTATTTGGGCCACAAAATACACAGTCAATTCACCTTATAATATATTCTGTGAAGCGCTTTGAAACGTCTCAACAATGTGATAAGGCGCTATATCAAATGCAAGAATTATTATTTAATATATAGTGTTGCTGTTATTTTAAAATGCTTAATCAATGATTGGAGCTGTCTTAACACATGTTGAAACTCATCACCAAGCTAAAGAGTATCCAAACAAAGCAGAATTCCATGCATGTTGCCTACACTGAGAAAATCACAATAAAGCAGCGAGAATCATACCTTACAGCTTCTTGAGGGTATTTTCAGTCCTGAAAGGTTATGATATTTAGTATGGTATCTCCATCAATGGAGAGAGCTAGATCAACAAGCCAACTAAGTTCCTGAGAGCATGATGCTGTATTATGGGGATTTTCCCCAGCCTTTTAGGAAAAAATGTCAATTGTTTGTTTATTTCACAGACTAAAGATAGAATAGTTTATAATGAAACCTCCTGCAATCTATAATAATACTTCTCTTTAAGGCACATTGTAGAGCAGTTCAGTGAGAGATTTAGACTAAATGTATGACCTGAGTGCTTGATGCCAATAATAGAATAATAATAATAGAAAATGCTCCACTGCTCATTACTGACTTGATTTGAGTTTCACACAAAGGTTCACACTTTATAAATGTATTTAAGAAAGTGCTCTGAGATGCCGTCCGGCGTGGAGGGCGCTGTATAAATCCAAGTTGTTGTTGTTAAGAAAATACTCTGATTGCTGCATTGGCTGATTAGCAGACAAGGCATGAGCAGCCAAATGAAACTTTGGATTAGTGTTCAGCCATTTGACTTACATTAGCTTCAATTCAATTCCAGAGAACCTGGAAAACCAACAGGATTTCTGTGGTAGTTGATGTAATTCAAAATAGAGTTTTTTTGAGACGTTGATGGACAATAAGACACCACCAAGATTAGAGAAGGAGACTGTACCTCAAGTCTTGATTTCAAGATAATGACAGTGAATGGGTGGGAGGGTGGATTATAGCAAAGTACATATGGAAACAAGGGTACTATGACCTTAATTGAACTGATTAAATAAAGAATGAGAGATTGATGGCCTGCCAGGATAGGAGAGGCATCAGTTGTTATACTGGAGGGTTTGCCTATATCCAAACCATGAATAGGGTAGGTGGAAGCTACTCCTCAGATATGCAAGCAGTAACCAAATCTTGAATAGAAGCAGAAGAGATGGGAGTTTAATTTGAGAGCAGAGGAGTTTGTGAAGCTACAAATGTCAACAGATGAAATGGAACCATAAAAGGTAATTGAAAAAGACCAGCAGCCCTTGAGATAATGGAGAAAGAAAGTATTTCAATGGTGAACCATTAACTCTAGCACAGATAGAGAGAACAAATACAACTGGAAGATCAGAAGATGCTAACGTGTTTGGAACTGCATGGTGTCAAACAAAGGCTTTGGATGTATCTAAGGTAGAGACACAAATTTGCCCAGGTATTACAGAGGTATACAACTTTGGCGGAGGTGAGTCATGGGCAAGATTTAAGAAAAGCTGAATTGACTCCAGCTTCCCAGTTACGGCCAGCAGGAAAAACAAGAGTGACTGCTCCATCTCTCTAAGTGGATTTAATCCTGTCTGGGACTAGATCCTGCCTGGGAATCCTGTGTGTCTTACTGTCTTAAACAGTCTTACTGTTTAACACTTTGAAGTTAAGTGGGGGTGGGGTGGGAAGGAGTGAATTGAAAAGAAGTGTGAGTGTTGTGTGATACTGTGTTTGGTGGTGCTGGCAGCTGATTCCTCATTTACTTGTTAAAACAATGAAAACGCATTGGGTATTTCCATAGTGTTCGCCCTGCTTACTGCAAACATCCTGAATCTCCCCCCAAAAAATGACCTATACTGTGCGGGAAAGAAAAAGTTCTGTTTTCTGCTTAAATGTGTCGGGGTGTATTATAGCGAGTACAAAAGAAAAGTGAAAATCAGCATTTTCAAGTTTTTAAAAAGTCTCCCAAAAAGATAAATCCAACTAACTCTCATCACACCCTGCATTTCTGTGAGGGGAGGATCTGGTTGGCTTGTTGCAGTGCCCAGTTTAATCACTAAACATTGAATTCCCCAAACTAGTTGTTCTCTGTGAATCAGGGCACACTGAATCCCCAAGAGGCTCAGGCTGGTCTCCAAAGTGTTTGAATTTGGTTATTGTATCTGGACCTGTCATTCGAATGGTTGTTAGTCGATTGGTGGATCGTTTTTCCGGGGATAATAATCCCTCAAAAGAAAACAAATAATAATTTGTTACTGTTCACTAAATCCCCCACTGTTTGTGGGACGCTGCTGTGCGCAATTGACTGCCGCGTTTCGCCCACAAAATATACAGTCAATTCACTTTACAGTATATTCTGTGAAGCGCTTTGAGCCATCTTGAAGACGCGATAAAGTACTATATCAAATGCAAGGATTATTATTATTATTCGGCTCTTAAATCACTTTAAGGACTCTCGCCAGCTGCGGCTAATATGAGTGAGTAACTAAGGGAACAATAGCTGTTGCCTGGACTTCCAAAGTGATCCAGTTAGTACACAAATTAGTGAATATTTTCTACTGTGCAAGTATTCACTGGAGAGGATATTACTAAATTCTCATTCATTTCTGCAGCACTCCTGTGATCCTGGAGGAATTTGAAATTCCAATTTGAATTTACAAAAAAANCCTTGGCACAAACATCCATTGATCCTTTAAAATTTACAGAATTTTAGCAATGATCCACATGAGATTTCGAATTACAGCTAAAATTTGCAGGAATCCAGGGCACATCAGTAACACTTTCATGCTCTCGGTCTAGCTACCTATTGAATTTCCCCACATTTTTTCAACACGTCTCTCTCTTTTAATAACCCTGAATGATTAATTTAGAGGAACTTGTCTAGATATTATTTGAACCCCTTTAGAGTACCTCATTCCACCACCTGTATTTTCTTAGCGAACAGGATAGTGCAGGACACATTACTGAATACATAAGAAGTGAATTGATCATTCATCAAGAAGTCAGATATCCACAAATGCAAATTGTGTTTTTTTTTGCATTTATTGGATGGGTTGCCATCATTAAGGTTACATTTAATAATATACATTTTATACAATTATATGGGATACAAAAGTCGACCATTCAAACACTCATTCTTGGGATCTTCTGTCTGCTTCTATTCTGTAGAAATGGTAGCCGGGTTTGTTGATGTTTGCTGACTTTGGTTTATGATTTTGCAACAACAAGATTACATTTGTAGAGCGCCTTTCATGTCGGAAGGATGTCCCAAGGCGCTGGACAGAATACAGCATTTCATACCCGAGCTGGGGTTGGAGGGGGAAGAGAGGGGAGGGGAAGGGGGGTGGCCGATGGCATAGTCGAACAATGAGGACCTGTGTGTGTGGACTGAGCTTGTATGTGAGTTATCTTAACCAGGTGTCAAGCAGAATGTCTACAAATTGTGTAAGCTGAGTTTGCTTTACAGTGGATGAGGTATTAGTATCTATTTACAGTCATGTGTCATTGGTATGTTTTTCTGAAATTATTCTACAATTGTAAAAGACTGTACCTTCCCAAAAAGTGTTTTGGGGAGGGGTATAGTACAGAGAATGAGTACATGTTCAATCCACATTCTATAAATGTGACTGTATACCAGGGCATACTTTTTCCTAGAACATACAGTAACTTTTCTAATCACAAAAATATTGCAGATTGCAGTATTAATACCCATCAAAACAGTATTATTCCAAAGATCACAGTGAACCCATAGTCCATCGTTACAATATGTGGTGCAAATAGTTTGCAACTTGAACATGTCTGTCTTGCACACGATAAACTCCTGAAGGTAAGAAAACTTCCCTGGATGATTTAGGCCCTTGGAATATCTGAATCAGACTATTTCACAAAGTGGACAAATTAGCTGCCATGTAATACAGACTCATCCCATTGCAAACAATGCAGCACAGGTTACAGAGAGAGGAGAACCTATGATACAGGTCAAGTTTATGTGCCAAATGCTTGTATTTAGTATTGGTCTCCTTCAGCTGGCCATACGCCTCCTTATTACTGGACAGGCCGACATCGTGACCCAGCCCACGGCTCTGTTCAATCACGTGCATGTCGGCCATGACCTCGGAAGTTATTTGTCCAAACCACTGAGCATTGATCCCGGCGACAGTCACACAGATGAAGAAAATTACAATCTGCGGGAAAAAGATTAAAGATTTTAAGGTATGTGTCCCAAGTTAGAGATATTAATGCTTATAAGCGTGACAATTTTTGTCAGTTGCTTGGTAGAGCTTTCTATACTCTAAAGAGTTAAAAAAACAAAAAGGTTTTGTACTGTGGACAAGTGCTTACAAGAAACTGGGATGATCTGAAGTCACATTAGACTTCAAAACCAGTAGTTAGAGGTGAAACAGCATTCTATGGAACTGTGTGCCCCCCTCCCCACCCCCAGTGCTCCTGTTGTCGCTGCTAATTGATGAGCCACAGAACTTGGTCAACAGTTACAGCTGACTTGGCTGGTTTTGCCCGATTTCACCTCCGAGCAAATTCGACCCCCGGGGAGTTACTCCCCTTCCTTGTATGTCATGGGGACGGATGACACTTGCAATAGCACTAAACAAAAAAATTAATTTGCACCCCCCCTGCCCCCCATAATACTTAATGTCCCCACCCGTCATAAAGGAATAATGTGGGGGCATCATTGAGGCATGCTTACATATTCACTTGGGTTCAGTTTAGAGCTGAACTAGATTGGGAGAGACACACATGGATAGGTGGGCACAGAACCTTCAAAAACACAACTACATAATACCAATAAAAAATTCTGGTCTTTGGCCATTAACAGTAACAGACGAGAGTGTGGGCAACTGAGCTAGTCTGACACCAGGTTATCCTTGATATGAGGCACTATTGCTATTATCCACACCAAATTGCCTTCCGGCAGGGACATTGTTTGTTACCTGCAGGGTCTCCTCTTCATTTAGCAGCTCACTTGGATGATATATTGCAAAGATGGTCAGGTTAAAGAAAGCGCAGGCTGAACCCAAGTGGAAATAGTAAGGAAAGAGCTTGCTCCGAATGAAGCCAAATGTATGTCTGGAGAGGTTACTGCCCATGACAAACTCTGAAGGAGAAACAATTAGCGATTACTGTTAATACTCAATGTAAAACCCAAGGCCTGCAGTTGTTTTTTTTTAAAAATCACACATCTACCTTTCTCTGCTCACAACCAAATATGTACCAAGATATACAAGTAGTTTCATTCAGATTGCTCATTCACAATAAACATTCCTCTCATCTCTACATATTGACAGCCATGCTACAAATAATCACAAAAGACCACAAATACATGAAGATCAGGTACCCCTGAAGCAGATTGCTGGGAGCACCAACATCTGCAATGGAGGGGATTCACTGACACATTCTATCAACAGACTGGATTCAAAGCCACTGCTGTTCAAAGGCAATGATCTGAGTCAGCAAAGACTTGCTCTGTGGGTGCTCCAGTGCTTAATTCTATAAATTAGATTATGGCCATCATAATGTTTTTTTCACAAGAGTATATTATAAATCATTAAGCACAGCCCTAGAGTATCCCCTGTTGTTAAATTCAAATTAAGTCAATGAGTAAATTAAATATGAACATAACACAGGATCACATTGCTTGGATCAAGATGTAATTGAGGCATTCTTGCCCCTGTGCAACAGGCATGTCCAAGACAACTGGCAAACATGATGAGAGAGAGAGAAGATATTTTGCAATGGAAAATATCACAATTTGGTACTGTGGGAGGTTGGCAATAGAAGTTAACATGAGTAGTGTCAGGATCGGAAAGGAAGGAATGAAATCCCAATTTACAAAAAGGATCACGCACAAACAACAGGCTGGTTAGTCTAACATCTATTGTAGGGAAGCTATCGGAGTGTATAATGAAGCACCTACAGTGCTTGAAAAACAAGGGTCAATACTGCTCAAACTAGACTGGTAAGCAATTTCCCAACTGTTGGCTTATACTGTCTTCAGTTATTATCAGCACATTTATGAACGTTGAGCTTGGCCATTGTAGGCAAATTTAAACTTTGAACCTGTAATTGTAAATATTAACAGTTCAATTCAATTACAGAAACAAAGAAGACAGATTTACATTCATATTTACCTGAAATAAATGTGACCCATATCTGCATCCCCCAGAATGTAGACAGAAATATCAGGTGAAGAAGTTTGGCAAAAGTTGTGGGTCCTTCATCGGTTGGCATGGCAATTGTCATCATACAACTAAGGAAGATGGAAAACTTGCAGAAAATTATTCTGTTTAAGTCGGGGACATATATAGTGTGGGAAATAAAAGAGCAGGGAGTAGAGACAGAAAATGTAAACCAGACTCAAGATAACGGTTTGATGAGGATCTAGTTTGGCATCAGCAAAGCATACAGAACAAAACATGAAATAAAAAAAGTAATTCTCAGATAAATCTCGCTCTCCCCATAAAACACTTTACACAGAGCAAACCATTCAAATGAGTGTGGATTTAAAAAGCACATACGCAACAGGTTTCTCTCAGATACAAGATTTTTCTATTGATAGGCACATCAAAAAAAAAGGACAAGCATCAAAGTGATGAATAAAATCAGCCTGGCTGGGTCAATAAATCTCCTATGCAATGTTTTCTCCCCCCCAACAGTTTTCAGTGTAGTTTCACGTGGCGTATTGTGTAAGGGAGTTCAAATAGCACAAGTTACAGAAGGGCCTTGAGATAATAATTGTATTTAATGATGTTAATCCGAGTCAGCACCTTGGGACGTCCACCCGACTTGAAAGGTGCTCTATAAATGTAATTTTGTTGTTGTTGTTGAGTTAGGCTCCTCTACTGTTAAGCGCTCCGAGCCATTACAGGTGCAAGTGGACAAGAACAGCTCACAAGTAAATCATTGAGTCTTAACCTCACACGCACAACTTGCTTGATTAATTAAACTTTAATCAGGTGTTCCTAGTTTACACTCTGACTTGGTTAGTAACACAGAAGGGGTATCCATATGACCAGTATTGTTTCAATCAACAGTCAGTACATATTATCTCAGTGCAGATTGGAGTCCTGTAGCTCAGTGGTTAGAGCACTCGCTTTGCAAGTGAGAGACCTGAGTTCAATTCCAGGCAGAGGGTGAAACCTTGGGCAAGTTTCCTTACTCCACACAGAGCCTAATAATAATCCCTCCAAAACCAAAAACAATAATAAATTGGTCATTTTCAATCCATGACTGTTTGTGGGACATCGCTGTGCGCAATTGGCTGCCGCGTTCGCCCACAACTACACAGTCAATTCACTTTACAGTGTGTGTTCTGTGAAGCGCTTTGGGACGTCCTCCCGACGTGAAAAGCGCTATATCAAATGCAAGGATTATTATTATTATAAGTTGTTGCTGTAATCCAGTTCATCTCTGAGCTCAGCAAAATATTCGCATGGGTTATCCAGCACGAAGCTGAAACAAATCACTCAAATTTGCCTCAACTTTTGCCATGACATAACTTTTCAAGGTGCATCATCCAAAGTTTCAGACCCCCCTTTGTATTCTGCTTTTTTTTCCCCCCAAAAAAACAACGTGAAGAAGCGTTGACCACGAAAACCGTCTCTTTAAAGTAAATCGCTCGGGTTTTGCTACGTGCGCTTTGTCACACAGTATATCACCATTAACGACCCCAGGACCGGGGCGAGGAATTGCTCAGTGCACCAAATCGTTGCAATTTAAACACATCACCAAAGTGGGGGGTCACCAAATTATTTCCACTTTTAGTTGTTTTTCCGATATAAAAAAAGACGAAACCTCTCCCCAATTTCCTAACAAATTCCGAGGATTTTCAAAACGATCGTAAAATAACTGCAGGTTTCCCAACACCCCACCACCCCATCTACACCCCCCCCCCACCCCACCCCATCTACACCCCCCACACCCCACCCCATCTACACCCCCACACCCCACCCCCCAACCCCACCCCCCAACCCCACCTACACCCCCCACCCCCCCAACCCCACCTACACCCCCACACCCCCCCCACCTACACCCCCACACCACACCCCACCACCTACACCACCTACACCCCCCCCACACACCCCCCCACCCCATCTACACCCCCCACCCCATCTACACCCCCCACCCCCACCCCAACCCCACCTACACCCCCCCAACCCCACCTACACCCCCCCACCACCTACACCCCCACACCCCCCCCCCCACACCACCTACACCCCCACACCACCTACACCCCCCACCACCTACACCCCCCCCCCCCCACCACCTACACCCCCACACCCCCCCCCCAACCCCACCTACACCCCCACACCCCCCCCCAACCCCACCTACACCCCCAACCCCACCTACACCCCCCCCACCACCTACACCCCCACACCCCCCCCAACCCCACACCACCTACACCCCCACACCCCCCCAACCCCACACCACCTACACCCCCCCACCACCCACACCACCTACACCCCCCACACCACCTACACCCCCCACCCCCCCCACCACCTACACCCCACACCCCCCCCCAACCCCACCTACACCCCCACACCACCTACACCCCCCACACCACCTACACCCCCCACACCCACACACAAGCAGAAGCAAATGAACCTTTTGAGTAAAAAAAATGTTGACTTTGGTCGAGTCGAGAGTCACTTTTGCAAAACTTTTTCCGACCAGTGATACAGATTTGGAGAGTCAGCAAAACACACACATACATACATACAACTGTTAGCTCTCAGTGGGTAGAGATCATGTGGGCAATGTATTATTATTATTATTATTAAAGCAGCGTTGGTGGAAATGCAAAGTTGCGGACTGCGGACTGACTGCTGATCATCTCTGCAACTCACTCACTTACCCGCTGCGCCGCGACACTCACCGACCTGTGCGCTCAGTGATGAAACACGTTGACTCTCGGGGCACCTCAGCCGCTGCAGCCGCCGCTCCTGATTGGTCCCCCGGCTACACCCGCCCACCCGCCAGGCGGCCCCCTCACGGTACGCACGCGCGGTCCGTCCGCCTGAAGCATGCCGGGACTTGTAGTCTCCGGCCCCCTCCCCCCTCCCGCTCCATCCGTCCTCCCGTGAGAGGGCAACAAGCGGAGTCTGAGGCCGCCGGGGAGAGGCGCGGAGGGGAGGGGGGTGGGGGGGGGTTGGGGAGAGAATGAGGAAGGGTAGGCGGCGGATGAGTTCCAATCGCTGGGGCGGCCCTGTTGCATTTCAGAGGGAGGGGAGGGGAGGGGAATGGGGACGGCCGTCGCCATGGCAACCGGCGCCGCGCTCTCTCGCTCTGTGTGTGTGTGTGTGTGTGTGAGAGAGAGAAGCGGCCGCATCGGGGCCCAGCTCGGCCCGCGCAGCCTGTCCGTCCGTCCCCCCTCCCTCCCTCCCTTTCACCGGGGGAGTGGGGGGGAGGGAGAGGGGCCTCTCCGCGCGCCCTCCGCTCTCTTGACGGTTTATTTGCCGCGGAAAGTCTTCCGAGTGCGGCCGTTGTCGTCGTCGTCGCCTCCTCCCTCCCTCCCCTCCTCCCCCGCGCGGGGCGATGACGTCGCGCCCGTGGCGGTCGCGGAGAAACCGAGCGGGAGGGGAGCGGTTGTGGGGGGGAATGGATCGGCTCCGCGGCGCTCTGTTCAGGCGCCGGCGGTCAGCGGCGGCCCAAACCGTGAGGCTCCGGGAGAGGAAGTCTCGGCTCTACAGCAAAGAGCGCTCCAGCGCTGAGCAGAGCACAGGTACACACCCGGGGGTGGGGTGGGGTGGGGTGTGGGGGGTTATTATTATTATTATTATTATTCTGTGCTTTGTGTCTCAGCTCAGTGGCAGTGTGTTGGCTCTCCTGTCGCTTTTACACCCCCCCCACACACACCCCACACCCCTCCCCCTCCCCCCACACCCCTCCCGGTGGGGGTGTAAGATGTCAGGCGACCATTGAATTACTCCCCAATGGAGATGTGGGATTTTGTTTTTTTTCCCCTCTCTCTCTGTTGATGAGGGAAAGCACTTTGGAGAGGAGGGGACTTTGTGGCTGTAAATGGCCTGAGTGGGGGGGGGGGGGGGTGTGTGTTGTTTTTTAAAAAAAAATCCGAGGGAGAATATTGCGTGTTCCCTGTTATCGTCCCCCGACTGTGTGCAGCTGCTCCGGTGACTTTGTTGTTGTGTTCCTCTTCTCCAGGTTGGATGGGTGCGAACGCTTATTTCGTTGTGTTCACGGTGGCTTTCAGGACACTGAACTGCATGTTGGTCCAGACCAGCTTTGTCCCCGATGAATACTGGCAGTCACTTGAAGTCGCACACACTATGGTCTTCGAATATCCTTTTTGCGTGATTTTAAAATTGTATGATTTGTTATTTTAAAACCTTTAAAAACCGTCGTTTTCTGCCCCCCCCAAAAGTGCTGCTTTGGAGGTGCTTCACATCTGTGTGTTCACAATGCAGTGAGTTCCAGATCTCAGTTCAGCAGAAAATGTGGGTAAACTGAAGTGTTGATTAACTTTGTATGATTTGAATGGGACCCGAGAGGGACGGACCCTAAATTTAAGGAAGGATATTCGAAATAGTTGTTGCAAAGAGTTGCTTCTTTCTGTATGGTATTTTATTTTCATTTATAAAGTTCCCATAAGAAACTCTTCTGTGCTGTTTTTGAATTGCTATTAGAGTTTGATGTATATATAAATGATACACATTTGTATGATCCACCTTTTTAAATGATGACCTTTGAGACGAGTGGTATACTAATTTTCTATGCAGGGATATATAGCAGACTGGCTGATGAATTCTTTTTGTTCCCTTTCCTTTGGTGCTCTCTTCTCAATAGGTATTGCATTCTAAATCTATCCATCGGAAATAAACACTTATTCTCTTTGAGTACGTAATCCAATGATAATGTAGGCTATTCTTGTGCATCTGGGAATGTATTGCAAAGCAACATTGGTAGAGGCCTAACTGTTGCCATCCCAGCTGTCTTTGTAGTTTTCAGGAACTATTCAAGAGAGAGGAATATTGTTAAAGTGTTGTAACCTTAACATTTTCAATTATGGTTACTTAACCTGGGAATGGAAGGAGAGGCTGCGAGGCTATACCTATCCATTGTTCTTTGCAAGTTTTTATAAATTATTACAGATTTTCAAGAAGGACTCTGTTCAACTGCTGGTAAGTACAGTGTGAATGACATTAACCAATCTTTATTCTCTGACAAGAAGTTCTATTTGGTGTGAAAGCCATTGGCGGTCTTGAATGATGTGTATTCCCTCAGAACATCAGATTTAGAAAATACTGCAAGGTAGTGTTCCATCAAAACAAACATTATTTTCTTGTGGACAAAAGCTTCCTCATTGTAAGCTTTACGACTAGTTTTAATCTTTCTAATTGACCCAGTTGATGTTGAAGGGAAGAGCTTCTTGGCTTTTAAGTAGAGTGTATATATTCAAGATTTTATGATAGGCTTATGTTTTGCCTATAATTCCATGGAATGACAGGCTTCATTTCCTTGCTCTGCTGCATTCCTAATCTCAGGTGCACTGTTGAATCAGGTAGATTTCTCATGTTTTCTACTGTAGGTCCAGTGTTACACAGAACGTTTTCCCCAGGAACATGTGATGGGGATTACCTCCCAACTCCCCTAAATGCATGGAAAGAGTTGGAATGAAAATGGAGTTGTCTTTTCTTGTTCATTTTGTGCTGCCTGGGTGTGTGCCATGGCATTCTTCCAGAACTCTGCGGATCTTCTGAAATGTCTACTAAAACATTGCCTTAGGCAGCTGATGGTTTGCATACCCTTAGATTTCAAGATCATCTGCTTGGCACCTTGGTCTGGTCAGTATCCCCAGCATTGGTCCAAAACTATATTCTGTGACTCCACATCACAGAATGCTGGAGAAGTGAAAACTGCAGGTTCCTCAGAAATTGTTCGAATTGCATCTATTAATTCAGAAAATTAAGTTTCTCATCCTTTTATGTAATAATTGTGAAACAGAGCAAAAATAATGCACCTCTTGTCTACCCTCTGACCCAAAAGTACTTTTTTGTGAATAATCTGATAATGTGTCTTTTCCTGTAGATCTGGGTTCCTCGACTAGTTCAATCGTTTCTGGCAGCACTGGCAGATGTGAAACTGTATTCTATCATTAAAAAGCGGGAGAATGCTGAGATTGCAAAGTGGGTGGTAAGAAACATCCTTTTCATCTTTGGTTGACAACATTTTTTTCCTGTAATACTTATTTGTACTGTGTAGAAATTCTTCTGGGACATTTTTAGAATTGTATAGAATATACAACAAAACCCTTATTAGATGTCATAAATCAGTTTCCCTGCTGAGAGGAACGTAGGGGAGCTGCACTAAAATATTTGCCAAAGCTACTGTTAAGAGTTGACTAGTTGACTTGTCCTCTATGTGCATTTAGAAGTATAGTTTGTTAAATAGTGAAGCAGTCTGATCAGACTTTTACTTTTTACTTAAAACAAAACATTTCTTCTCTTGTTGCAGTATTTCTGTCAACTATGCTCCTGGTTCACATGGTACTGCTGCACCCGGACTATTACGAACAGTATGGAAGCTGTTTTGACCAGCTTTATCCTGTATTACTGTCCTTTTCCTGGTACAAAGGCAGTCACCAGGTCAGCACAATATTTGTTTTGTTCTAAACCCTTTCCTATAATCTATTGTACATTCCGTGCAGCTTTGTGAGGTATGTTTGTGGGGTGGTGGGTTTCTCATTCCTCGTACAAAGTTCTCTGTTTAAAATTGTACTCTCAGAGGAGAAGTACTGAATGAAGAACAGACTCATTGAATCCTCCACAGTACAAATGGGAGGAAATCAATTCCTAGCTTGCTATTGGTGCCCCTAGGTGTATGGTTATCCCGACCCCCAGCTCGAGTCTGCAACACTGATTGTCCAGCGCCTTGGGACATCCTCCTGACGTGAAAGGCACTATAGAAATGTAATTTTATTGTTGTTATTGAGTGAAAACTGGAAGTAACACACACATTGTATTTGAATTGAGAATTTGGTTAGACTGGGTGGATTTGTCTTGGGAAGTTAGGAAATCTGGAGGGTGCTGGTCCTCCAACTACTGTAGTTTATTTTGCAATCTTTGAAGTAAGATTTATTGCGAATATGAACCTAATTGTGAAAATATTCACTTGGTTATTTTATGCCAGAGTTTTCAAGTCAGCTCTTTATGAAAGATGAAGACCTGTAACTGGTGAGCACGGCAGAAGGGACTTAAGTCTAGACAATTTTGCAGAGTAAGGAAATGGGGCAAGTAATAATAATAATAATACTTGCATTTGATATAGTGCCTTATCACGTCTTTGAGATGTCTCAAAGCGCTTGAGTACATGCTATGTTTTTAATGACATTCATGGGTAGCTTTAAATAGAACTTTTTTTTTCTCTCTCTACTTGTAGTTTCAAATACCTGGCGTTGATTGCATTTGCAGTGGTCATTCGTCCGACTGCTATCATCCTTTGGCTACCTTTGCTGTTTTATCACTACTGGCAGGAACTGAAAAAAATGGATCTAATTCTATACAAGTGCCTACCAGTCGGGTAAGCTTGGGTAGGTGCTATTCTAGGCACCTGCAGGTTGAGACATGAACTAGTACCTACTTTAGGAGCTACTTTTACCATTGTTGTTCCTTATTCAGATGGAAATTAGTAGTTAATTAGTAAAATTAGTAGTTCTACTGCTGATTCACAAGCACTGATGTCCACAACCATACCAGCACTAGTAAATCCAACACTTCTGTTAGCACAGTCTGTTATTGATGATGTAGTACTATTATTCTTTCTGAATTCAGGAGGACATCACCTCCCACAATGCAGTATATCCCCAGCAATGCACTGGAATATGAGCTTAGACTATGAGTTACCTCATCATCTACTTTAAAGTACTATTTAGCACAAATTGTTGCTTATTTTTTTCATGGAATATTTATATTTGTCCCACTAAATCCTGTATATACGTACTTGTTTGTTTTCCAGATGCTTGACACTTGTGATTTCTCTGATCATTGACCGAATATTTTATGGCGAGGTACAGTGATGCACATACCTTATTTTTCCACAATCAGTCTTTGTTCCCTTTTTCATTCACTTAATGAAAATTACATACAATATTGTAGTAATTAATAATAATCTTGGGATATATTGCCAATCGCACCAGAAAGTATTTACCTTCCCTGGATGCACCTATATGTCACAGCGTCATAAGCAATATAAAGTTAATAAGAATGCTGGATAATAATGTAGACTAAGTGGATATAGATATTAACTCATTTACTCTCATTGATCAAACTGTAATTGTTTGCCCAGGCTCAAATTTATACTTTGTCTACCTAAGAAGTGTTGTGTGACATTGATTCTCTACCTCCCAGTGCTGAGTTACTAATATTCATATTTTGTTCCTATCTTTCATTGCTTTCTTGCATTCAGTGGGTTGTGGTTCAATGGAACTTCCTCAGATTTAACGTGATCCAGAATATGGGGTCATTTTATGGCTCGCATCCATGGCATTGGTACTTCGGCCAAGGCTTTCCTGTCATCATGGGAGCACATTTGCCCTTTTTCATCCATGGATGTCTGTTGGCTCCAAGAAAGTACCGGGTTTTATTAATAGTTGTGATATGGACACTTGTGGTGTATAGGTGTGTACCATTCAGTTTGGGGTTCTCTATGGAGGGTAATAAATATGTGATAGTAACCACAAGGCAAGAATCTTAGTCATGGGCTTAAGGCTTCTTCATTGTTGTCCATTTGCAAGATACATCTAAACTTCTGAGATTAGATTCAGTCTTGTATTAATTCATTACATTTTATAATTTATTAAAATTCTTTATTTTCTTTCTGCCCCCACCATCCATCCATTAGCTGCCATGTATAGTGCTACAAGACAGTTTGGAATATTTATGCATAATTGCTTTTCAGGTGTAAACTCCAGAATACCCATTTGTAAAAATATTTTGTTTCTTTTATTACAGTTTCTTAAGCCACAAGGAATTCAGATTTATTTATCCAGTAATGCCACTCTGCATGGTTTTCTGTGGTAAGCATCAGATATTCTAATGTTATTACCAAATTTATTTATCTTTGCGATTGTCCTGTGATGTGAAGCTGTTTTTAATCATAAAAGAAAAATGAACTCTAGGAGACATCTATGACATGTAACAAAATAAATGCTTTTTATCCCTTTTTTTATTTAGGGTTTTCTTTGGCGAGCTTGAAAGCATGGAAGAAAGCAGCAGTCTCTTTCCTGTTTTTCTCCAACATTAGCCTAGGACTGTACACTAGTTTAGTACACCAACGTGGAAGCCTGGATGTCATGCAGCATATTCGACAGCTTTGTGAGGACTTGCCCAAGGAAATTGAACCATCTGTGTTCTTCCTGATGCCTTGCCATTCAACGCCATTTTACAGGCAAGTTATATAACACGGCCCCCAAAAATAAAATTGTTCAATTATAGGAAGAATTGCAACTTTGGACTTGTATATCATTTTCTTATTAGTTCAAATCAGAATAATGATTTCTCCGGTAAATCCCAAGTCTGATATAGCTGAGCACAAACCTCGTAACAAAGCTGATCTGACACTTGAAGTTTGAGCTTTTGTTTTTTTTAAATTTGTGAGTCCGTTCTTTCAGAGATTCTTTTGTGTAGATGCGTATGTAAGGAGGAAGAGATACATCACTTAAACATGAGCTATTAATCCCAATGAGTGTTCAGTAACAAAGTTTGTCTAACACCTAATTCAATAGATCATATCTCTGTAATATGATTGTAAATTATTTTTCCCCCTTCTCATAGCCATGTTCATTGTCCAATCAAAATGCACTTTCTGGAATGTCCCCCAGACTTGACTGGAAATGGCAGCTACGTTGATGAGGCAGATTTATTCTTCAGAGAGCCACTAAAATGGTTGAATGGAAGGTTTCCTGGTTCCAGCTCCCTACCCACTCATTTAGTATTTTATGATGTATTGGAACAGGTATGTCAATGTTTAATCCATTTATTTTGTTTTTTTTACCTTATGTTGGTTAATGTCTTAATACTTTTTGAGGAATCATGGTATGTTGCACATGTACAGTGATGAGAAAGTTAATTGAGCCTGAGTGTTAACTTAATGAATCAAATGATTAAATGTGCTGAAATTTGGAGCACATTCTCTAACCTGAGGTTTTTTTTTCTCTCTAAAGAAAATAGAACCATTCCTGATAAGCAGAAGCTATGTGAAAAGTGCAGTCTTCTTTCATACTCATGTACCTGGAGGGCGAACTGGACGTAACATTCACGTATATGAAAGAAAACTCTGATGGGTGACTTTTTTAAACAAGTTGACTTAAATTTATGTGTATATCTGGCTGATTTATAAATGTGTACTTTTTTAAAATTCTGTTGTGTCTGTCTTTGTACTTTCATATTGATACAAAGGAATGTATACACAGTTCTTCAACTTTAAATATAAGTATTGCAGCATTTAATAGACTAACCACACCACTGATGATCAGCAAAGGCTTTGAACTGGAGAATAATCTATTGCATTTTTGGGAGATTGATTTTTGAAATAAAAAAATAGTAGCTTTTTAAGATGAATAAATCACACTTTAGTGATGTTATTGTTACTGTTGGGATAGTATGCCATTCTACTACTTAAGAGAAGCTTGCTTCCATGAATGAACAGTGAACCTGGCTTTCCTTGCTTGAGACCAGATCTAATTTGTGAATAGTCTTCTGTAGTGCTCACTTTTTCCCCTTTCTATAGGTTTACTCCACCAGAATCCAATTGACCAAAGTTCAGTTGAAGTAGTGTCATCCGAAACCTTAACCCATTTATCTTCTGGTCCTGATGAGGTGCTGATAACGATTCCATGGCGCTCTTTGAAAAGAGAAGCGAGTTTCTCCCGGTGTCCTCGCCAACCATCCCCCAAATAAAACTGGTCACGGCGTGGCCGTTTGCGTGGGACACTGCCGTGCGCGATTGTGCTGCCGCGCTTGCCTGCAAATAACACTCCCATTTCGCAGTGACCCCTGTGAAGCCCTTCGGGAGACATCCTTCTGGCGGTCCAGTCGGGTGTCCGATACGCGCGGAAACCCGTCCGTGCCGCGCTTGAAGAGCACCCAAAGCCGAGCTGAGAGCGAATAAGGCGCGACAAGGCAAGGCCAGGGCTATCGTTGACCTCGCGACCCTCAGGCTGGGACAGCGATTCATTGCGCTTTCTGGGCAGCAGTTGACCGGCCGCCCGCGTGGGTTGGGGGTGACCGCTGGCGTTCCTGAACCGGCTAAAAACCCCAATGGGGCCGCCGTTGACATGGCTGTCGGCCGTTCTCTCCCGGGGTAAGGCTTCGGGCGTGGAGGGAGGGTTGGTGACAGGAGCTGAGGGGGATGACTCCCTGCCCTCGCCCCCCCCTTCCCCCCCCCAGTGGGTCTGGTCTGAGGCTTTGTTGATTGACCACAGTGACCACCAGCGGCTCGTGACGCGTCACCGCCGAGGCACGTCACCTTTGGGCCGACGTCACTTCCGGGTAGTCCAGGCGCGAGGAGGAGGAGGAGCGACAGCGCCGCCTCCATCGTCGTCGTCGTCGTCGCTATGGGTCTGCGGGACGAGAAGATGCTGACAAACGGGGAGCCCGAGGAGGTGAGGCCTGAGCCCCGGGGGGTAGGGGAGCAGGAGAGGCTGAGGGGGCTCTGGTGGGGGTCAGACTCGCCCGCCGACCGAGGCCCGTGTGGGGCGAGCCCCGGGGATGGGGAAGGTCTCAAGGTTAAGCCTCCGGCCGCCCTGAGGAGGCCCGGCTCCGGCTCCGGCTCCGGCCCCTCTCGGGGGGTCGGGGAAGCGAGCAGCGGGTACTGGCGCTGACAGCCCTGCCGGGTCTTGTCAGACCGAAGGGCAACCCCGGACTGCGGTGGCTCCCAGCCGCCGCCTTGGCCGCAGGGTATCCCGGCGACCGGACTGAAGCGAGCCCCAGGCTCGAGGCCCTGTCACCCCCAGACCCTGCTCCGCCTGTCAGGTTCGGGGAGAGACGCCAATACTTAGCGCCGTCCTTTCCTCGTGTCCTCCCGCACCAGGAGGTCGCACAAAGGACACGGACTGTGTGTGTGTGTTTCACTCATTCCTGTCTTCATTATTATTCCGTGTTTACACCTCTGCCATCGCTCTGACCTTGGGTGCTTTCGGTCGAACAGTTGAGGGTTTGCAGAGAAAGAGCAGAAATATAGACATATATTCTCCGCAACATCGCCCGACTCCGCCACTACCTCACCCCTCGGGCCACTGAAACTCTTGTCCGTGCGTTCATGAACGTCCTCCCGACGTGAAAGGCGCTCTATAAATGCAATCTTGTTGTTGTTGTTCATCACCTCCAGGGTCGACTATGCAAATGCGCTGCTTGTCGGCCTTCCCAACTCCTCCCTCCACAGGAACTCTGCAGCCCGTGTCCTCTCCCGCACCAAACTCCTGACCCCATCTCCCCCACTCTCGCCCGACTCCATTGGCTCTCTATCCTTCAGAGGATCCAGTTCAGGATCCTGGTCCTCACCTACAAAGCTCTCAATGGCCTCGCCCCACCCTACCTCTGCGATCTCCTAACTCCCTACCAACCCGCCCGCTCCCTCCGCTCAGCCGGCTCTGGCTGCTCCACGTCCCCCGACCCACCCTCCCCACCATTGGCGGGAGAGCCTTCAGCCACTCTGCCCCCAACCTCTGGAATTCCATCCCCCAGTCACTCCGCCTCGCTCCCTCCTTAGCCCCCTTCAAGTCCTGCCTCAAAACCCTCCTCTTCGACCATGCCATTGGCCAGTCCCCTCCCCTCCCTTCTCCCCCTGACCCCAGCTCAGTCTGAAATGCTGTACACTGTCCAGCGCCTTGGGATGCCCTCCCGACGTGAAAGGCGCTATATAAATGTAATCTTGTTATACATACTGTAGTTTTTAAACTCATTATTTGACAATATGCAGTAACCCAGGGATGTCTCCCGGAATTTGAATTCATCTTGCACACCCTGGTCTGACCTGTAGAGTCAAGTTGGATTCCTATTCAAAGCAGATTCATGAGATAAATTTCCTTTCTCTATTGGGCAGAAATTCCTCCAGTTTTAAATGCACATAGGCTTTTCATGAGCCTAAAAAGAGGGAACTTCTGAAAGGAAAGTAGCTGTGAAGGAATGCTAAGGTGAAAGCAAGACAAATCCGTGTAAATTTAATATAAAAATACAGATTGTTCTGGACCCTGCAAGCTAAAACTCTAATAGGTTGGGTGTTTCTCGTGAGCAAATAGGTTTAAAGAGAAGTTTATTCCGATATCCTTCAGATGACTCTGCTCATTCACTTTACAGCTGTTTGTGAGACATTGGTGTGTGTAAATTAGCTGCTTCTACATTAAATAATTATTATAAGATACTTTGAGAGGTTTTGACATTATAGAAGTTATTAAAAAATACAAGTGCTTCTTACTAATCATTCAAATTGTTTCTCTTCAGGCTGAAGAAGAGGAAGAAGACATTGTGGTAAGTTGCACAGAAGATCATAGTAAGGTTCTGAATCTCTGAATTTTTGATGTGTTAATTAAGAATGGTAATCTTGCATTGATATTAAGAAGAATTGTGTATGTTTCTAATCTGTGGTTCAAAACTTTGGATTAATGGTTCTATTGAGCAACATAGTATATTTAGAAAGAATGTACAGATGGAAATAGGCCATTTTTACTCGATCCAAGCATTCCTTGCTGGTGTTTACACTCCACATGAGTCTCCACTCATTCCTTGCTCCCTCCCATATCCTTCTATTCCCCTCTGATATGATATCTGATGGTATGACCTTGGAATATTGTTGAGAAAGAACTACAAATGTGCACTATGTCAATATTCTTCATTTCACTTTAATTTTATTTCTTGACTTAAACAGTAAGCTAATTACCAAAATAAAATTCTATTTGCTGTCCATCCCAGTGGGTTGAAACAATGAAACAACCATTCATTTTTAGAGGCCGACACAATTAGGGCAGTGATTGGAAAATATCTTCCAACGGGAGAGGAGAAAGGTAGTGAGGTTAAAGTGGCTCGGAGGAGATGCGTGAAGCACGTCAACAGTAATCCAAAACATTGTTGATGAATGACTAGCCTGTCTGGCTCATCAATGAGACTTGCTCTTGGCACAGACATGTCCTTAACTCAAAAGAGAATGGGTGGTCCTACCTGGACAGGTACTGTGATACTTATCGGTCGTTTGCTAATTGATTACTATATAAAATATTTCATTCCTTTCCATTTTAATTCTTCTGTTTTCTGGTCTCTGCAAAGAAAATGTTGAGAAGAATTCTGATACGGAGCAACTTTGATATGAATCTAAGCCTTTTAGTTGCGGTGTTGTAGTATAGTACAATTTACAAAAGTTATTTCCTTCCAATAATAATAATCCTTGCATTTGATATAGCATTTTTCATGTCTTCCAGACATCTCAAAACGCTTCACAGAATATACTCTAAAGTGAATTGACTATATATTTGTGGGTGAAACGCGGCAGCCAATTGCGCACAGCAGTGTCCCACAACCAGTCATGGATTGATGACAAAATTATTATTATTTTTATTTTATTTGTTGAGGGAATATTATCAGGCAGGTGGAGTAAGGAAACTAAGGTTTTTTTGCATAAGAATTTAGCTCACATTTTGTAATACAAAAATGTTAATTGAGAACTAACTGAGAAGAACCATATCCACCTTTAAATCCCACGCAACATTAAACACTTCTCGTTTTCGTTTCTTACTTGTACAAAAAGCTCCTAAATTTCTTGTAATATTTAATTAAACCATGTAGATTAAGAAAATACTGTACATTCAAAATATATAGTTCTTTTGATTATTCTGATGCTTTTTTGAAATGTGTTTGTGCTGTTGTGCAGGATCCCATAACTGTGATCAGGGAGCAATGTCAGCAGATTGAGAAGTGCATGGCATATCGAGCACGATTGGAGACTTGCGAGGAGCGTGTTACTTCACGCTCCAACACACAAGAGACGTGTACTGAGGAGCTGTTTGACTTCCTGCACTCCCGGGACCACTGTGTATGTGTGAGCTAAGTAATTTGAATAATTGTTCCCAGTAGATGCTCAAAATATTCTCTTCCAGTGATTTTCTGTGAAACTGGGGTGGTATAAAACATGTATTCTTCTGTTCCAGGTGGCTCATAAACTATTCAACAAGTTGAAATAAATTCTGGTATCTGAGGTGCTTTACAGTACCAGATGAAAATTTGTTATTGGGACTCCACATTCGTTGCTGCTCTTTGAGACCTATGAATCCGTCATGTAAATGGACTGAGCAATTTGAGGATTATGCATTGATGTTAATCAATTCTTTGTTTTGTTTGTGATTGAATTTGAAGTCGTAATCTTAGGTTCCAGTTGACGTAAATAAATTTATTGGAACTCAACTTGAAAAATCTTATGGCCTCTATTCATTTTGTTACTGTGTTATTGGCTGCCGTGTTTCGCCCACAAAATACAGTCAATGCACTTTATAGTATAGTCAGTGAGATGTTTCGAAGACGTGATAAGGCGCTGTATCAAATGCAAGGAATAATATGGTTTAAACTGGTGAATTGAAGCAGGCAAGCAATTTCCAATTTTAGCTGACAGTTTCCTCACTTCATCTTCTCCAAATGGATGTGCTCTTCTTCCACTATATGTATTTAAGCTGATTTTATAGCCCAATAAAACTATCTGTTATAACAATCTGGCAAAACCCTTTCCAAGCAAGGGATCATTTAAAATATACATTGGTTACTGCATGAAAATTTGCCACCGTTTCTGAACTAACAGCAGAGAGTTTCTGTTTGCCACTTTTGAAATGTGAAAGTAAAAAAGGGAGAAGCAACACCTCTTATACTCAGAAACGTTGTCGACAACAGTATTTGTGACCCCAACATGTAGAGTAGTATATTCAACCAATAAAACGACACGTTTTAAGAGTACACGGTTGCCCAAATAGGACCACCCTTGCTGTTTGAATAAATCGCCCCGCCATTGGAGGCCGTGTATTCAGTCACTCGTGACCACCTCCGCGTCAGGCTCCGCCACTGTTTAAGCGCTTTGAGACGTTGCCCTGGGTGGAGGGCGCCGTGCAAGTGCAAGTTGTTGTCGTAGAACAGGGTCACCAGGAACCGAGCGAAATCAGCCGAGAGGACCCCCTTGAAAAAGTTGATTGAGAACCCACCCCGAGTGAAGTTACACTTCTTAAATATTAAAAAAAAGTTCTATTTGTTTGACGTAAAAGCTGCATTTTTTTTGATAGTTTTAAAAAAAAAATTTGTAAAAAAAATAAAAAAAAGCAAAGCAAAAGTGGCGATGAGACCGAGGCCACGTGACTGTGCCTTCAATGAGGGAACCGCGCGGAGAGGCGGAACCTTTGCGCAGGTGATGTTGGTTCCGAGCCGGAAGGGAATCTGAGCCCTCCCGCCCCCCTCCCCCACCAGCGCGGGCGCGCGCGCGCGCAGGCGCACAGAACAAAATGGCGGCGCTGAAGGACCCGCGGCAGTTGGTCAGGAGGTTCCCAGGCGGTTTGAGAGACGCGCGGCCGCTGCTGTGCCGCCGCTATGCCGTCAAGACGAAATGGGTGAGAGTGTGCGCGTCCAGAGGGAGTCACAGTTAGTCACCGAGACACTGGACGTGCTGACCAACAACAGCGCTCACCATCACCCCTCCCCCCCTCCCCCTCCCCCCTCCCCACCACCACCATCATCACCATCACCACCACCTAATGTGTAGCAGAGAATTTAGCAAATTATTTATATGTTAATCGATTATTTGTTATTCAATGTGAATTACCGCACACACACACACACAAAAAAAAAATCCCACAGGAGCTCAGGGCGGCTCCGATATTCGTTTGACGTCAATCAATTCCCCGATGGCTGTTGGCGACGCGGTGACCGGGTCCTGTCAGTCAGAGACCTGCGTTCCCCGTCGAGACGTGGTTCCTGAATTGCACTAATAATGGTAATAATAGCAGCAGCAGTAATCCTTGCATTTGCTACAGCGCCTTATCGCGCATTCGAGCCGTCTCGAAGCCACCTCCGACGCACCGCCCGTCTCCTCAAACACCTCTCTCCGAAAGCCGCTGTCACCCTGGTCCAGGCCTTTGTCACCTCTCGGCCGGACCACTCTAACGCCCTCCTCGCCGGCCTCCCCTCCACTGCCATTCCATAAAATCCAGATCATACCAAACTCTGCCGCCCGCATTCACACCCGCACCAAACTCCGCTCCCCGATCCCCCCCCGGTCCTGGCCAGACTGCACCGGCCGCCTGTCCCAGAGAGGATCGACTTCAAGATCCTCACCCTTGTCTTCAAATCCCTCCATTCCTCTGCACCACTCTCTGGCCTCCTCTTTCCTCAAAACTACCCGTTGCCTTCGTTCCTCCGGGTCTGGCCTCCTCCTTGTCCCCCGAGTCCTCCGCTCCACCCTCGGCGGTCGTGCCTTCAGTCACTATGCTCCGAGGCTCTGGAACTGCCTTCCTCACTCCCTCTCTTCTTACTTTCAGGTCTCTGCTGAAGACCTTTCTTTTCGACCGCGCCTTTGGTCACCATCCTCCTCCTCATCTTGGACTCGGCCCCGGGATCCATTTCTGTAAAGCGCTCTGAGACGCCGTCCGGCGTTGAGGGCGCTATATAACTCCAAGTTGTTGTGTTGACTGTATATTTTGTGGATGAAATGCGGCAGCCAATTGCGCAAGCAGCGTCCCACGAACAGTCGTGGATTGAAGTGACCAATTTCCTTTTTTCTTTTTTTTCTTGAGGGATTATTATGGAAACTTGCCCAAGGTTTTGCCCTGCCGGAATCAAACCTTTTCAAATCAAATTGCCTTCTCAAAGTAAACTTTCTGTGTATTAAATGGTGAATGAGTTTATACTCTGGGTGACAGAAGGTTGCAGATGAGTTGTATTAACCAATATTAACCTGGAGTTTCCCTTCTAAAAAATGGGCATTACAAGGACAGTTTAAATGTGTCATTTATGTGTAACAAAAACAAATAGCTCCACGTGGTTCTCTATAATGCATTACTGCAAAGAATAATTTTCAATTTTTTTCATTACAGGCATCATCTCGCCGTAGAATTCAAAGTACTCAGCTCGCTCTTCAGAATTTTGATATGAATTATGGTGTGCAGTTTGGCAATCTCTGGCCATCCATGCGTGTCAGTCTCCTGTCGGAACAGAAGTATGGGGCTCTTGTCAACAGCTTTGTAGATCTAACAAAAGTGGTCGAGGAACTGGAACTCCAGCGGGCCAAAGATTTGTGTTTGAGGCCAGGAGTAAATGGGAAGGTTTGGACATGGCCTTTAGCCCCCAAGCAGGCCATCAGTCAGAGAGAAGCCACGAGGTCTCTCAGAATCTACCTGTGCCTGAAGAATCCTCTTTGTTCAGTGATACAACAGAAGAGTCTGCATCCAAACTAGAAGTGACCAGGCCTTTGGCCATCAGCCCTAACCTCAAATGTTTTACATTTCCAAGGGGAGATATCACACGGTTCAAGCCCGCAAGGTACAGTCACAACCTTTGCAATCCTCATGCAGCTGTCATGGAGCTCCTTTATTGAAGTGAATCACAACTCCATTTATGATTCCCCACCTGGAGAAGTTATAGTTTTGACATGGGGAATTGGCGATCTGATAGTAGACATTTCTGCAAAGAGGGGAAGATATCTCTACTCTGCGTGAAGGGCGCGATATAAATGCAAATTCTTGTTACGTTGCCTTTATTTGTATCAAATCATTTCAAAGCTCTTCACACAGTGAAATACTTTGACATCTGAACTCATCTATCATGTCTTCTTTCAGGCCAGATGGTTCAAACATGTTAGGATATTATCTGATGGATGCTGCGTCACTCCTGCCAGTCCTTGCTTTGAATGTTCAGCCAGGTCACACTGTCCTTGATCTTTGTGCGGCCCCTGGTGGGAAAACCCTGGCCCTGCTGCAGACAGAGTGTTGTCGTAAGTTGATGGGTTTCTTTAATGGGGGGCAAAAAGAGTGTATGTTACCGCTTTGATCTTCACTGCAAAGGAGCCCTGTCGCTCAGTGGTTAGAGCACTCACCTCGCAAGCGGGAGATCTGGGTTCGATTCCCGGCAGGGTGAAACCTTGGGCAAGCTTCCTTACTCCACATGCCTGATAATAATTCCTCAAGAAAAAAAATAATAATTTGGTCACTCAATCCACGACTGTTTCTGGGAACACCTGCTGTGTGCAATTGGCTGCCGCATTTCACTCACAAACATACAGTCAATTCACTTTACAGTATATTCTGTGACGATGTCTAGAAGACGTGATAAGGTGCTATAACAAATGCAAGGATTATTAAGTTTTGAAGGCAGTTCTACAAAATGATATAATACTTTATTTTCACTCTGCAATTTTATGGCACATTTCTAAAACTTACTGTCTTTTGAAGACTTTTGTCTTCACAAAAGAAGTGGATGCACCAAATGCTGCAGTATTGGAGGAGAGGGCAGAGGAAATGGATAGGATAATTATAAACAGAGAGGAAGTACTGAAAACGTTGACTGGGCTGAAGGTAGATAAGTCACCCGGTCTGGACGGGATGCAGCCAAGGGTACTATGGGAGGCACTGGTACAAATAGCAGAGGCATAGACAGAATGGTAAAATGGGCAGACACATGGCAGATAAATTTCAATGTGGAGAAATGCGGGTAATGCATTTTGGTAGAAAGAATGAGGGGAGGCAATATAGGCGGGTAATACAATCTTAAGGGGGGTAAAAGAACAGAGAGACCTGGGGGTGCAGGTAAATGAATTCTTGAAGGTGGCAGGACAGGTCGATAAAGGTGTAAAAAGGACATATGGGATACTAGGCTTTATAAATAGGGGCATAGAGTACAAGAGTCATGAGGTTATGATTAACCTATATAAAACACTGGTTAAGCCTCAGTTGGAGAACTGCGCCCAGTTCTGGGCACCGCACTACAGGAAGGACGTTAAGGCATTGGAAAGGGTGCAGAGGAGATTTACGAGGATGGTACCAGGAATGAGGGACCTTGATTATGAGGAAAGGCTAAGAGAGGTTAGGATTATTCTCATTGGAGCAGAGAAGGTTATGAGGAGACGTAAAAGAGGTCTTCAAAATCATGAGGGGATTTGATAGGTTAGAGAGGGAAAAACTGTTTCCACTGGTGGGTGTGTCAGTGACTCGAGTTCAGATTCAAAATAGTCTCTAAAAGAAGCAGAGGGGAGGTGAGAAGAAATTTTTTCACGCAGCGAGTTATTCGAATCTGGAATGCATTGCCTGAAAGGGCGTTGGAGGCCGATTCGATAACTACTTTTAAAAGCGCAGTGGAAGGGTATTTGAGAAGGACGGGTTTGCAGAGTTATGGGGAAAGAGCCGGGAGTGGGATTGACATTACATTGCTCTTCCGAATGGCCTCTTTTTGTGCTGTACGATTCTATGATTCAATGATAACCAGAGAGGATTCAGGAGGTTCCCAGTTTAAAAAAAAGTAAGAAGTTGATCATATCTAACTAATTATAGAGAGGCATTTGTCAATGCCTGGGAGATAGTTGTTTGTCCTCTTGGATCAGGAGCGGTAAATGGGTTGGATTTAAAGGATTGGGACAATTGAGTGCCCGCAAATCCACAGGTTTTAATCTTGTTGCTATGATATGACTGAAAGAGTAAGGAGTAACTTTAAAAGCAGAGCATGTGAGCAGGTTTATATTGCAATGAGAGAAAATATTATTTGTGTTCTTTTGTGTTCTGAGAGGACATCTTGCTATCAACGACGTGTCCACGTCTCGAACCAACAGGTTGCGTAAAGTTCTTCAGAGCTACGTCCCCACAAACCTTTGCTCAGCAGACAGATTGCGCATCACGTCGTTTGATGGCAGGCAGTGGGGAATGATGGAAAGGAACACCTTTGACAGGGTAGGTACACTTATCATGTAGCAAGACTTGATATTTGTGTATTTGAAATAAGCGGCCTGGTAAATAAATAAAATAGGAGGACGTTTCTTCTAGACCATTCTCACTCACCTCGGGGCACAGGCATATATGATGGGCGAGGAGAATTAGATCTGGAAATTAATTCCAGCTTTCTCACTCAAAAAATTACAATGATAATTGCCGGGGGAAGGGGAAATGTCATAGCAATGACCTTTCCGATTGTTTAATATGAATTATATTTCCAGGTGCTAGTCGATGTTCCCTGTACAACCGACAGACACTCCGTGCTCGAGGAGGACAACAGTATCTTCACTAAACTGCGCACCAAAGAGAGACAGATGCTTCCCATGTTGCAGACTCAGCTCTTGGTGTAAGTGCCAATATATTTGTGCACTGTTACCTCACACACGCCTTTTTCTCTCCTCTTTTCTCTTAAGTAGAAATAAGAATATTCGAATGGCCTGTCCAGTGGCTGTCGAGCCTACTGCCACTCTTTTCTCAGATCATGGCAGAACTTTTAATCCATTTATCCTTTTCTGCTTTCTCCGTATCCCTTACTACCCTTCCTTTTCAATAGCTACCTACCAATTAAAAACCCCAATTGAGTCTGAATTTAAGACCTTCTGGAGCAGTGCATTGCATGTTCTCGCAATTCTTTGTGAAGAAATGTTGCCTTAATTCACTTGCAATTGTTGTCCTCGTTTTCTTTCCCAGTGCTGGTATTCTAGCCACAAAACCCGGCGGAACTATTGTGTATTCAACATGCACCTTGTCACAGCTGCAAAATGAATATGTGGTGGAGGGGGCAGTGGAAGTGGCAGCAGCGGAATATGGTGTGGAACTAAAACTGGAGGATTTGACAGCCATTCGGATCCTTTACCGAAACACATTTAACTTCTACAACCAGTGTAGGGTTGGGGAGCTGGTTCTCCCACACCTGACGGCAAATTATGGACCGATGTACTTCTGTAAACTACGTAGATTGTTATAAAATATTTATGTTTTCACTGTTTATTTTAAATTGTTAAACAATAATAAATAACAAAAGGTGTCTATCTGGCTCTCCTCCGAGTCAACAACAAAACAATTAGATTTATTTAGTGCCTTTTGTTAGAAAATAAAATCAGCCATCATCTCCGTTTGCAACCGGATATTAGACCTTTCCTTTATTATTATTCGTTATTCCCCAATATCCCGATGGGTCAGACCAAAGGCCGGTACAATCAACAGATCTTATAACAGAATAATACCACCGTAGATATCTCGAGTTCAACACTGTGTCTTTACAGCACACAAGCTTGATTCTTTATGCTTTTAGTCTTCTTGCTGACAGCTTTCAATCTTCCATCTGATATCCTCAGTCTTAGTGTTTCTAGCTCTCAGTCTTCCATCTCCCGACCTTGTCTCCGCAGCCCGGGATGGCCCCATCTCCCGTACCCTTGTCTCCGTGACCCGGGATGGCCCCATCTCCCGTACCCTTGTCTCCGTGACCCGGGACGGCCCCATCTCCCGTACCCTTGTCTCCGCGACCCGGGACGGCCCCATCTCCCGTACCCTTGTCTCCACGACCCGGGACGGCCTCATCTCCCATACCCTTGTCTCCACGACCCGGGACGGCCCCATCTCCCGTACCCTTGTCTCCACGACCCGGGACGGCCCCATCTCCCATACCCTTGTCTCCACGACCCGGGACGGCCCCATCTCCCGTACCCTTGTCTCCGCGACCCGGAACGGCCCCGTTCACAAAGCTAACGGATGTTCATCCAATCATGGTGTGGACATTAGGTCACCTGGCCGAAATCATGTTGGGTTCACGTGAACACCTCATGGGGTATACGTGCCTCACACACAAACACATTGTCCTTGAGACAGTCCGTTATCTTGTGTACGTGCAGGGCAGTAGTACACATCTTGTCCTTGAGACACTCACTTGATCTTGGGTGTAAACTCATGAGTTTCAGTCCAGTTGCCCCCCCCCCACACTTAACTTAAAAGTTAACCCGTTCGCAACATCTATTATGATTCTAACATTATACAAAAAGTGTAAATTTTAACACTTTCACGTCAGAAGGATGTCCCCAGGCACTGGACTGTTAAAGATTCACATCTGAGCTGCTTTAGGAGCTTATCCTGCACTTCAAGCAAATTGGAGAGCATGATATCCTGAAATGTGGATTCCAGGATCAACAGGTGTGATTAACATTTCCACATAATCAAATATATATAAAATATATTACTTATCTCTATTTCCTGCTCTCTACAACCACTAAAAAGGGAATTATAAGAGTTCACAAAGAATGTACAGCACAGACCTTGTCAGGTTTATACTCCACATAAATCTAATAATTTAGCAAACACTGCTATCCAGATATAAAGAAAGCTTAAACAAAACACAGAATACTGCAGATGCTGGAGTCTGAAACAAAAACAGAGAGAGCTGGGAAAACTCAGCAGGTCAGGCAGCATCTGTGAAGAAAGGAAATCTCTCGATCTTGAGAACTATCTGTCTTTATTACAGGCATCTGATTTCCCTTGTTAGACTGTATAAACTACCAAGCCTGTCTTTACAAACACTGATTGTATGTTATTGCATTACCAGCTAGCTCTGACTTAACTAAGTGATGCAATAAATGCATGAGTGAAAAGTAGCCAAGAGAATTCGATTCAGACAGATAATCTGCCGCCGCAGAAATTTGACTTGGCACATCAATCATCACGTGATCTGTTCCGGATCAACATTATCACAAGACACCCTCTTGCGGTCCTCAAGCCTTGCCTTTTTTTTCCCCCCCAAACTTTGCGAATACTTTCCAGAATTAAGCAAGCAGTATGCAGAGAATGGGCATATCATTCAAGACGGGGTAAATTTCTGCGTGTAAGGTGGCATACAGAGGCGAAACTCAGTCTGGTTTGAGTTCATTTAAGAACAAGTACATTAATTGGGCAATAACTGTACCCCATGTACCCAGTTTGGGGCTAGAGCTGGGGTTGGGGCGGGCGAGGGGTGTGTAACTAAAGTAGATTTTTTTTAAAAAACTACATTTCAAATTGTGGTTACCAAAACAAAAGTGGGCAAAACTTCCTGGACAAGTTAATCAATGAGCTTCATGATGAATCCATGCCAGGTTTTGGAGCTCGCTGACGCTGCGGAAATCCCAGTGCTCGCTATCGCCACAGTTAATCACTGGCTGCAGTGCTCGCTGGAGCTGTTTGGCCACCGAGTGACTGACTGTCCGGTTAGTGAGGACGTAAACTGAGCTCTTGACCCGATGACGATGCTCTGGCTTCAGACCGTTTGGGTTGACCTGAAAGCAGTCCCAGTCCTGGTGCTGGTGTGCTGCGTCTCGCTGACCATGGCCCTGACGAGCTTTATGAAGAGCACCAGGTACAAGCGGGTGATACCGGAGGCAAGAACCAAGAGGATCAAGGGCCTGGAGGAGATGAGGAGAGCTGTAGAGCAGCACAAAGTGATGGTGAGAACCGTGTCCCAATTTCTGCTCAGGTCCTTCACCCCCCGCAGCACACACACACACACACACACACACACACAGACAGGTTGCTCTCTGGCTCGCTCTCTCTCTGCAGCTTTTAGCTTTTTTTTTCCACATCGAAATAGATTCAGAATTAACATAACAATAATATAATAATAATAATAAGGGAAACGCCGTTGTTATTGTTCTGCTGCGTCATTGGTTCAGACATGAAACTTACCACTTCATGTCAGTGGGTGGATTGCGCAGTTCAGTGTTTTGCAGGATTCAGTCCACTTCTGGTTGAAGCCTGAATCCAGGTGGGAATCAAATATTTTACGCTTAAGTCAGATGTTTTAAATCTAAGTGTTTCTAACCCCGCAAACCCAGACCCTAATGGCTCAGCAAATGCTTTCAGTGATAAGCTGTGCAGGTTTAGCTGGTTAGATTCCAGCAGTATCCTAAACGCACTCTGGGATCGCCAAGTCGTAGATTGAAAATGACCAATTTATTATTGTATTTTTTTTTGGAGGGATTATTATTGACTGCCAAACAGTCAAAAAGCACTTGCCTCACAATTGAGAGAACTGGATTCGATTCCCAGCAGGGCAACACCTTGGGCAAATTTCCTTACTCCACATGCCTGATCCCTCAAAGAAGAAAAAACAAAAAACAATAATAAATTGGTCGCTTCAATTTACGACTGTTTGTGGGACACTGCTGTGCACAATTGGCTATTCCATTTCGCTCACAAATATACAGTCAATTCACTTAACAATATATCAAATGCAAGGATTATTATTATTATTGAGGCTCTTTCATTACTTTGTCCTGGTTGAAATGACTAATGGGAGGCTTGTTTCCAGCTTTTGGTAGTGAGAAGTTGGTGAAGCATTAACATAAGAACAACAATAAAATTACATTTGTATAGCTCTTTTCACGACGGATGTTCCAAGGCGATGGACAGATAGAGTTTCTGACCCGAATTGGGGGTCGGGATTGGGGACGGTTGAGGGCAGGGGGGCAAGGAGGGAGACTGAAAGCATGGTCGAAGAGTAGGATCTTGAGATGGGTCTTGAAGGAGGCAAGGAGGGGGCGAGGTGGAGGGACTGCGGGATGGAGTTCCAGAAGTGGGGCAGAGTGGCAGAAGGCCCACCTGCCAATAGTGGGGAGAGCGAGGCAGGGGAGGTGAAACAGGTTGGAGTCTACTGAGCGGAGAGAGAGCGAGCAGGATGGTAGGGGTTAGGAGGTAGGGGGAGCAAGACCATGGAGGGCTTTGAAGGTGAATGTTCAGAAAGAACATAAGAAATGTTAGACAAAAAAAGACCAAGGTCCATCTAGTCGCCTTCCATCTTCCTGGTGGTCACATGCACATATGTCCCAAACTCCCTATGTACTATATCCCATAATGTTATTTCCTAAAAGAAAACTATCTAATCTGTGTTTGAAAGAATCAATACTTCCTGCTTCAACCGCCTGATCCACAGGTTCACTATTCGCTCACTGACATAGTGTTTGCGTAGACTTGTTCTGAATCTACCCCCTTCAATCGCAGGCGGTGTCCTCTGATTTCACTAGTCTGCACAAGATGAAACAGCCTGTCATGATCTATGTTGTTTTGCTCATTTAGAATCTTAAAGATAGCAATCATGTCAACTCTCAATCTTCTCTTTTCCAGCGTGAACATTAGTAAATTGATAATATGGAACCTAAACTAACCAAACTATGGGAAATGTAGTACAGGAGTTGGAAAGATGAAGTTGAACATGTTGCATAAACTGTTTGCTGAGAGTTGTAACATTGCAAACTCATTCTGACAGCATAACTACATTGTGTGAGTACATGGCAAATAAGCGTTGGCAGGCAAAAAATCCTCAGATCACTAAGTGCAGGAATATTGAATGATGTAGATTTACATGGGTGGAGATTTACACACAACGCACATAAAATTGGTCACCCACTCCATGGCTGTTTGTGGGACATTGCTGTGCACAAACTGGTTGTTGCGTTTTGCCCAACTAATATTATTATTTATTTATTATTATTAATGTGTTCCTGCAACTCCGTCACTTGCTCCAAAGTGGCAGTATCTGCAATGTTGTAACTGGGAATTGTTCTTTCCTCTTAGGGCAATAGTGGAGTTGATGAATCTATTCTGCATCTCACACTTCGGGAGCTCTGTAAACAGCTGAAGGAAGGCTCTTTAACACCAGCATCTGTGCTGTATTCTTACATGGAGAAAGTAAGAGAGCGACTCTGTCTCACTGTAGACTCAGATAGAAACTCTTTGTTTTCTCATCATGATAAAATGTTCTTTAAGGTGAGGGGAAGCGGGGTGGTGAGTGTGTTGAAACAATTATGTTGTTGATCAAGGTAAAGAACAAAGTCAAATGCTAACTTGTTTGTGCGTTCCAATTATCAAACATGCTGTCCATTTTCCTTTCTATCTGCTGTGGTTATGATTACATTTTTTCTCTTGAAGGCTTTAGAAGTCACAAAAGAACTGAACTGCATCACTGACTATCTTTCTGAAAGTCAAGCACAAGTTAAAGAACTTGGTGAAAGTGGCATAAGGGGAATGCTGTACGGGATCCCAATCAGTATCAAGGATAACCTTTTTTACAAGGTACAGGTTCTTAATTGTTTAGCTGTGCAATGATGACGAATGGCCAAGGCAGAGTCAGGCATGTTCTCACAGTCAAGGAGAGTTACTCCCCCGTTTCTCTCCTGGTTTGACTAGAGATGCGATTGACAGTAGCCGGGAGCAACTTTACGATCTATTTTCTTAAACAAATGTTAGTTGCTTTTCAGTACTGTCCGGTAAGAATGTTGATCAGGAGCCCATTGATCCCAATGCAGCCACACTGTAATCCAAATATAGGAATATCTGAGCACCTTCAGTTAACTTCACTGCAATATAAATATTAAATGATGAGGATTCTGCACTTGGTGCACTGAATTTGTTCAACTTCTTATTACATTAAACAAATACTCAATATTTGCAATCGAAACAATAATGGTTTATAGAGCACCATTGATGTTCATTTCAAAGCACTGAAGGTCAGAATGGGCTCAATTCATATTCAGTAGTTTTTTTTTAACAAGGGCCAAACTTTCCGGAACAGGGAACCAAATCTTAAAACATTGTCAAAGTAACAGTAAACTATATACGACAATTTACAATTTTATGCAGCACCTTTCATGCCAGGAGCTGGACAATTCTGTCTGAGCACCGGAGCTCAGGATGGGATCTTGGGGAAATGAGGACAAACTAAATCAAAGGCATCAATAATAATGCATGATTTTTGTTTCTGCATGATTTTTTAACACAGGGCCATGACTCAACTTGTGGACTTTCTAGATTCATAAATAAACCTGAGGAAGAAGACAGCATTATAGTCCAAGTGTTGAAGAAACAAGGAGCAATCCCTTTTGTGAAAACCAATGTCCCACAGTCCCTGCTAAGGTAAGACTTTGTTGAACACTAGAAGTTTTAATGAGGACTAGAAATTGGTCTGAAGACTAGGAATAGGATTATGGATTTAAACACAGATCATAAACCCATCTGGTAAGCCAGTATTCTAGCTATGCAACCTAATTCTGCAAAGAGAACAGCTAATTGAAGATCTAAACCCTCTCCAAGGCTTAAGGCTGTATAATATAATACAGATGACGGTTGCTCAAGCCCCCATCGGATAGAAGATTTTTTTTGTCATAATCTGTCGCTTAGACCATGTGAGGAGGGGCCTCTGATTTAAAGTGATTGCTAAACCAAAGTGTTTTATTTTAAAGCTTGACTTTATCATATGCTGAATTCATAAGTGAAGGGCAGAATCTTCAAGAAATAACAGAGAGATTAGGAATCAGGTGAGGGTGAGGATTCCCGTCACTCACAAGCAATGATTGATTCTTTGTTACAGCTACGAGTGCAGCAATCCCATATTTGGGTCAACTGCCAACCCGTACAACGGCAATCGGACATCCGGCGGGTCATCTGGTGGAGAGGGAGCTTTGATTGCAGGCGGTGGCTCCATCCTTGGCTTCGGGTCTGACATTGGTGGCAGCATCCGCTTCCCAGCTTCATTTTGTGGTATCTGTGGCTTCAAACCCACTGCCAATCGGTTAAGGTAAGAATTTTCTGTTTGCTATTTAATAGCCTAAATTTACATAGCATAGCAATCCAATATATGGAGCAGGTCTTTCCTCTCACCCCCAGGTACACTGTAGGGCTGGACGTTGTATCTTTAACTGAGAAACAAATTGCTCTGAACTCAATTATTTGTTGCTGCAATATTTAGTCTCTAGTTTTTGCTTATGTCAAAGAAACTTTCTGTTTGCTACATTTTTGTAACTTTTATTTGGACTTTAAAGGAAAAAGCAGTAAGCAATCATTAAAAAATGATTTATTGAAGTATGCCTAGAGTGCAGACAGTTTCAAACACTGTTTTTATATTCCCGACGTGAAAGGCGCTATAAAAATGCAGTTTTGTTGCTGTTATTGTTGCTGTTGTTGTTGTGAAGTGATATATTTCTCATCCCAGAGCTTAAATAATGACATTGATGCATTGATAAGGCTGCTAGAGTTTATGAGGAGGTTGATGCCTTTAATTGAATAATAAATGAGTATTTTTTTCATACAGCAAAAAAGGAATAAAGGCAAGTGTAGCCGGACAGAAAACTCGTAAGTTTTTTTTATCCTACACAAAAATGTTTGTTCCGTTAAAAATTCCAATAACGTCCCAAGACGCCAGACCCCAATCTGACTACTCCATACAGTCCTGGTCACCACAAGATAAGGAACCGGCCCAGCCATCCTCTACTCTCAGTCAGACATTGATCTTTACCTTCTCAATAACTAAGAATAAATTATATTGTGCAAGATGGTATCACGATATTGTTCGATAAAGTTCTGATTAGTATTTTTTTCCAGGATGATGGAACAGTGAATGCTGTGATGTGAGTGATGTGATCAATGATGCTCTTTCCTAGTTGAGGTGATGATTGGTCCAATGGCCAGAGATGTGGACAGTTTGGCTTTGTGCATGAAAGCTCTGCTGTGTGAAGACATGTTCCGTCTGGATCCCACGGTGCCACCCATTCCCTTTAAAGATGAGGTAAGTTACACAACAAATCCTGTTTGATACCCTGTTGTATATGGGAGAGTGTGTCTGATAAAACAGATGCATTTTTAACCAGGTTTTTGCGTAACACACTGGCCTATTATACTGGCTTTAGCCTCACAGACGAGATTCCTGAGCTGCCAAAGTGCAGGTTACTGTAAGTATCTTTCTGGACATGCTGGTGGAAAGAGCATGTTTTGTGTTACACAATGAAACATCCTTGATATGTAATGGCATATCTGGCAATTTGACCAGAGAAGTGTTACAATAATATATGGAGACACAAGACACACTGTTGTAATTTTGAATATGTCCACACACACATCTCTGTTTACCTGGCAGTAAGTAGGAAACCGGTTGTTAGTCGATCGCTTCCTGGGGATAATACTCCCTCTACAAAAGAAGAAATAATAATAATTTTGTCACTCAATCCACGCCTGTTTGCGGGACACTGCTGTGCACAATTAGCTGCCGCATTTCGCCCACAAGACACACAGTCACTTTACAGTATATATTCTGTGAAGCGCTTTGAGATGTCTCGAAGACGTGATAAGGCGCTGTATCAAATTGCAAGGTTTATTATTATATGATCTTTCTGTGATATCTTTATGAAGGGAAATCAGTTTAATATTGATCCACTTACTCAGCCATCAGTTGAAAATATACCCAACCAAACGAGCAGCAGTTGCTCACGTGAGCTGATTTGTAAAAATGTTTGAATAAATTTGAATTTGATCTTTGTCAATGTCCTCTCTTTACTTGTAGATTTACTCCAACACCAAAATGCTGAGGATAGGATATTTTGAGAGCGATGGATATTGGATCCCTAATCCCAGCATGCGACGTGCCATCAGGGAAACCAAACAGTTGCTGGAAGAAGCCGGGCACACGGTGAGTTTGTCAGTCTTCCAAGAGAATTGTAAAGATTGGGTAGAAAGGAAAGTCGGGTGAATGAATAATGCGATTCCCCCCCTCATCCAATATCTGTGCTACATACATGGAGCAAAATACCAGTGTGATGTTGTGCAATTTGAGATGTGTAGATATTTGTTTCCTTTTGTGGACTCAACAGCAATCAAAAAAATAAAATAATAATTCGGTCACTCAATCCATGATTGTTTGGCGCACTGCTGTACGCAATTGGCTGCCGGGTTTCGCCCACAGAATCCACAATCAATTCACTTTACAGTATACTCTGTGAAGCGCTTTGAGACGTCTCAACAACGTGATAAGGCGCTGCATCAAATGCAAGGTTTATTATTATTATTAAAACTGAAAATCAGCTGTCCCAGATGTAAACCAGTGAGTTTGCTTCTGGTATACTTATGTATTCTACCACTTTTGAACTGATTCAGTTGCAGCCAAAACAATTAGAAAGATACGGATTGGTTCACAAATCAGATAATTGGATAACTGGATTTTCCACTTTAAATTGTTCATTCGTTTTAAAAATATTACTGAAAGAAATGTTGTGGGCTTGCCTGCCAGAAATTCCTTGCCCGAGAGAATATAATAGATTTGTTGTTTCAGTAGCACAGAGTTGTCTACAACTGCTTCCCTTTGTTTTCATAGTCCACATAATAATAATAATAATAAATAAAATAATCCTTACATTTGATACAGTGCTTGATCACATCGTCGAGCCGTCTCAAAGCGCTTCACAGAATACACCGTAAAGTGGAGTGACTGTGTATTTTGTGGGCGAAACGCGGCAGCCAATTGGGTTCAGCAGTGTCCCACAATCAGTCGTGGATTGAGTGACCACATCTTTACTCTTTGCCCTTTCCTTTTTTTCAGTTAATACCCTTCACACCACCCAAAACCTACTTTGCTATGAACACAATAATTATTCCGGGTATCCTAGCTGATGGAGGTGCTTCACTCCTGAAAAGAATGTAAGAAAGCTCAGTGCCTTTGAATTCCAAATGTTTAAAGAAAAAGTCAGTTAGTCAATTAGCAGGATCGCTTTCCAGGGGTAATAACCCCTTTTTAAAAAAAAGTTTGGTCATTTAATACACAATAACAATAACAACAACAAACTTACATTTGTATAGCACCTTTCACATCCGGAGGATGTCCTAAGGCCCTGGACAAACAGAGTTTCAGACCCGAGCTGGGGGTCGGGGTTGGGGAGGGTGAAGGGCGGTGGGCGGAGGGGTGGGGACAGGGAGATCGAAACCACAGTTGAAGAGGAGGGTCTTGAGATGGGTCTTGAAGGAGACAAGGGAGGGGGTGAGGCAGAAGGACTGTGGGTTGGATTTCCGGAGGGTGGGGCAGAGTGGTGGAAGGCCTGTCCGCCGATAGTGGGGTGAGCGAGGCAGGGGATGTGAAGCAGGCAGAGGGAGCGAGCAGGATGGTACGGGGTTAGGAGGTGGCAGAGATAGGGGGAACAAGACCATGGAAAGCTTTGAAGGTGAGAACCAGGATCTTGAACTGTATCCTCTGTGTGATGGGAAGCCAGTGGAGGTTCCGTGACCCTATCACCCCCATGAAGGTCACAGAGTCGGGTGCGGAAGAGGACATGGGCTGCAAAGTTCTGGATGATCTGCAGCCTGTGGAGGGAGGAGTTGGGGAGGCCGACAAGCAGTGAGTTTGCATAGTCAAACCTCGATGTAATGAAGGCGTTTGTGAGGGTTTCGGGGGCCTGCGGAGTGAGACAGTGTCGGAGCCGGGCGACGTAATGGAGTTGGGGGAAGGCAGAGCAGGTCATAGCGCAGATGTGGGGTAAAATAGATAGTTGAGGGTCAAACAAGACCCCAAGGTTCTGGACTGGCTTAGCAAGGTGGAGTGTGTGACCATGGATGGTGATGCTTTCAGCGCCTGAGGTGAGGAGGTGCTGACGGGAGCCAGTCAGGAGCCTCGGTCTTGTTGACTTTCAACTGAAGAAAGTTAGCTCTCATCCTGGACTTGATGTCTGACAGACATTCTGTCAGGCCAACAGTGGTCCTGGAGTCAAGGGTGGAGGCAGAGAGGTAGAGTTGGGTGTCATCCACATACATGTGGAAGTTGACCCCATGTCTGCGGATGATGTCACCAAGAGGAAGCATATAGATATTGAAGAGGATGGGACCAAGGACAGAGCCCTGAGGAACCCTGCACGAGACAGGACGGGGGCTAGAGGAGAAGCCGTTTGTGGAGATGAAGTGGAGGCAGTGTGAGAGGTACCAGCTGAACAAGGACAGCGCCATGAAGGTTGAGGTAAGAGGAGAGGTGGTGTGGATGAGGATAGAGTGGTTGATGGTCTCGAAGGCAGCAGAGAGGCCAAGGAGGACAAGGAGGCAGAGGGAGTCCTGGTCGCAGATGGACAGAATGTCATTTGTCACTTTGACCAGAGCGGTTTCTGTGCTGTGGGCGGCACTGAAGCCCGATTGGAGGGGTTTGTGAAGGGAGTGGCGGGAGAGGAAGGAGCGAAGCTGAGAAGCAACAACTTGTTCCAGGACCTTGGAGAGGAAAGGGAGGTTGGAGATGGGGTGATTCGAGGGACACTGCTGTGCCTAATTTGCTGCCGCATTTTGCCCACTGTCAATTCACTTCACAGTATATTATGTGAAGCGCTTTGAGACGTCTCAACAATGTGATAAGGCTTTATATCAATTGCAAGGATTATTATTATAATTAAATACACTGATAGGTAATCAAGGGGGTTATTAGAGGAATATGAAAACATTTTTTGTACTTATATAAGCCGTCAGAAAAGCTTTTTCCATTTCAAATTATGCTTATTCACCTTGGTTATCCAGATCGTGGTCTTATTTATGTAAACGTGCAAGAAAAGGAACAAATTCTCTTTAAATCATTTGGCTTTATTTGGTTTTTTTAGGGATGGAGACATCATTGATCCTAATATGAAGCAACAGTTTTTTATGTGCAAGATACCGACAATAATAAAGAAGATCTTGTCATTTCTATTGAAACCATTCGTAAGTGACACTGCTTTACCTCTCATGTCATCTAGCAGTACGTAGGAACCGGGTTGTTAGTTGAAAGGTGGATGGCTTTTCTGGAGGTAATAATCCCTTCAAAATAAATGAATATATAAATAAAAATAATAATTTGGTCGCTCAATCCACGACTGTTTGTGGGACACTGCTGTGGGCAATTGGCTGCTGGGTTTCGCCCACAAAATATACAGTCAATTCAGTTTACAGTAGATTTTGTGAAGCGCTTTCAAACATCTTGAAGACATGATAAGGCACTATATCAAATGCAAGGATTATTATTATCATGGCTCTTAGTCTGTCACCTGAACACATGAGACGGAGCAGGAGGTCACTGGGTTTGGAACGTGAGCCGGGATAAATCCACTGTGAGACAGATTAGGTTTACCCTCCTGATGATGTCTCGATGCAATAGTAATCCTGCTCAGTACGAGAGGAACTGTAGGCCTATTGGCTTTATTACCCAGTGTGTTTAGATGAGATTGCCATCAGCCCACCTGGTGGTACTGCTCAGCTGTGACAACAATGATAGTTCCGATGATGTCTTTCTATTTATTTTTGTAGAGTCCTCGAATTGCTGATTTTTTGAAGGCGACAAGTGGAGTAAGGTTAGTCGTGAATTGAATAAAAGGAGAACCAGATTTCTGTGGTAGATGCAGAAACTAGCTGTTTTTGTCTTAGACGTAAACACAGAATATTTTGCAAAGACCATACATGAGAACGGATTCTTTAAGAGAAAAAAAATCAGTTTGATGAGACAGCTTAGCATCCCTTGCCCTCCCCTCGCACTATCGTGGATGACTCCGTGAGTCTGTAGTTGAACATGAAGACCTAATTTAAAACTAGTCTGTATTGAAATGGCTGATGTCAACCAGAGGATCAGTTATTTCACCACTACTGTCCTTACCTTGACAGTTCAGTGAGAGTAAGATCACACAGGATATGCACTCTTGACAACGCAGTGAAACAATATTAGGAGTGTTTCTTGAGCTGAAGTATATTATTTAAGAACTTAAATAAAACTTGAACACTGATTATTTAAGAATTTTTAAAAACAAAATCACATGGAACATTAAATACAGAGTTGTAAAATGGCCACATTGATATCATCGGGTGCAAAATGTATCGCAGGAAGAAGCGTTGATATCCCTCTTGTTGGTGAACAGTTACAAAGGCTGTTAGTCCACAATAGAATCTATTTTATGCTTATTATTATTATTATAGGCTTCTCTTTGTTGCCTCTTTATAATGAGAGATTCTATTATAAGGACATAATAAAAAGTTGACTTAGCAATCAGCTTGTTATTTGACAATGGCTGAATGTTATTGTGATTTTAAGCTAGTTCAGAATACCATGTTTTAAATAGGGTTGTTTGCTTTTGAAAAATAAAGTTTATGTTTTGATTACGTAGTTTTAAATGCTCCCGAGATGCCGCCCGGCGTGAAGGACGCTATATAAATGCAAGTTGTTGTTTCTCATCTTCTTTAGTGGCTTTGTTTTATATTTTCACAGCTCGGTGACTTTACTTTGGGAGTATCACAATGCTGCAGAGGTAAGCTCAAAAATTGTCATGTATTGTGGCCAGGAATCTAAGGAATTTGTGAAATCAAGAAAGAGACAAGAATTTATAGTGTCTGGAATTGAATGCACACTTTCTCCCTGGAATGCACACACTCGTCCTGCTTACCCAAATCTAGAGACTATTATGCACAGTTTGGAAGAGCCAAGGCTTGGGGGGATCCCACATTATGTTCTGGGGTGCTGCTGGAGTTTAACTTCCGGCTGCTTGTCAGCTAAGACCACCTTACCTGTTAGGGCTTTGGGCTTGCAGTGTTAACAGGAGCTAAGTGTGAAGAATCCCTGCTCCCGGTGACAGGTCATTATTAATGACACTGAATTCTTGTATTTTGGTCAGGTTTACAGTGACGAGTACATGAACCAATGGAAAAAGCAGGACCTCGATGTTCTGCTCTGTCCGTCACTAGGCCCTGCCTTTAAATTTGGATATGCTGGAAAACTAATTGGTAGGTACAATTCACAAGTAACCCTTTAGCTCCCACACCACCAACCTTCCCCAACCCAGTCAGTCCAAGAATGCCCAGACTTGGTGCTAAGTGGTAAGTGATGTCCCCTCTAAAATAGCAAGCCCTGCAGACCCTCAATGTATCTACCTCTGTGTGCTGATGAGTAACTCAAATGTAATTTGTATTATACCAATTCTCAGTGATAGCATGAAACTTCTCAAAATCTGTACTCTTCCAAAATCTCTTTGCCTTGTTTCCTCTCTCCTTGTCTACAAACAACAATAACAACAACAAATTACATTTGTATAGCACCTTTCACATTGGTGGGAGGACATCCCAGACCCTCCAAAAACATATCTCTTTTAGAGAACATCATTAATTATTCCTTCTTTCTCCCTGATGGCTTCTCCCTGTTCTATTTGTTACGTGCTTTCCTATTATTAGTGTTCAATGAAAATGTTGATACAAAAGTCTCCTACAGGTAGGAGGATCATTCAGAGATAAATAATTGCATGATTGGAACAGAATCTGAATTCAGCCCTCGCTGAAGAATATGGAAGGAGTAATCCATACTTTATTCATATTTTTTACAGAATATACAGTGCTTCATGTATATTGTACATTGGCTATGTGGATTATACATGTGGTGAAAAAGTGTTACATGATAGAGGAAATACCTTATGTATTCTTTACACTATATTATAAAGGGAATATAATTGCTTGTGTATATTTAGCACACTAAATAAGGAACTCAATATGTTTAGGAACACACTTCAATTTTCACCATCAACTTTTCTATGATGATAAATATTGTGTGTGTTTTTTTAAAACAGCTGCAGCTAGCGGCATGAGCATTTTCAACTTATTAAATTATCCAGCTGGTATAGTGCCGGTCAGCAAGGTATCAGAGCAGGATGAAGAAGAGCTGAAGCACTACACTGGTTACAACAACGATTTCTGGGACAGAACCTTCAAAAAGGTCAGTGAGTGAGTCAGAATGATAAGTCAGCACCCTTAATAGTGGCACAAGGTAATGAGTGTCTACGTACTGAACTGGAATAATAATAATAATAATAAGTCATAATCCTTGCATTTGATATAGCGTTTTTTTCACATCTTCGAGACGTCTCAAAACGCTTCACAGAATATACTGTAAAGTGAATTGACTGTATGTGAGCGAAACGCGGCAACCAATTGCGCACAGCAGTAAGAACATAAGAACATAAGAAATAGGAGCAGGAGTAGGCCATTCAGCCCCTCAAGCCTGCCCCGTCATTTAATAAGATTGTGGCTGATCTTCTAACCTAATTCCATTTACCCACCGTATCCCCATATCCCTTAATCCCTTTAGTTTTTAAAAATCTATTGATCTCAGTCTTGAATATGTTCAATGACTGAGCATCCACAGCCTTCTGGGGTAGAGAATTCCACAAATTCATACTCTCCGAATGAAGAAATGTTTTCTCAACTCAGTTCTAAAAGGCTGACCTTTACTCCTGAGACTATGACCCCTAGTTTTAGATTCTCCAACCAGGGGAAACAGTCTCACAATATCTACCCTATCAAGACCCTTAAGAATCTTATAGGTTTCTATAAAATCACCTCTAATTCTTCTATATTCTAGAGAATATAGGCCTAGTCTACTCAACCTCTCCTCATGGGTCAGCCCCTCATCCCAGGAACCAACCGAGTGAACCTAAGTTGCAACCCTCCCCAAGCGAGTATACCCTTTCTTAGATAAGGAGACGAAAACTGCACACAATTTTCTAGGTGCGGTCTCACCAAGACCCTATAGAATTGCAGCAAGACTTCCCTACTCTTGTATTCTAACCCCTTTGCAATAAATGCTGACATGCTATTAGCCTTTCTAATTAGTTGCTGTACCCGCATACTAACATTTTGTGACTGGTGTACAAGGACACCTAAATCACTCTGAACACTAGTCCCTTCCCCTCTAGAAAATAATCTGCTTTTCTATTTTTTCCACCGAGGTGAATAACTTCACACTGCCCCCCACATCATACTCCATTTGCCACCTTGTTGCCCACTCACTTAACCTGTCTATATCCCTTTGCATCCTCTTTGTGTCCTCCTCACAGCTTACTTTCCCACCGAGCTTTGTATCGTTCGCGACTTTAGATACATTAAGCTCTATTTCCTCATCTAGACTGTAAACAGTTGAAGCCCAAGCACTGATCCTTGTGGCACTTCACTAGTCACATCCTGCCAATCTGAGAAGGACCCGCTTATCCCTACTCTCTGTTTCTGCCTTGTTAACCACTCTTCAATCCGTGCTAATATATTAGCCTTAATTCCATGAGCCCTAATTTTATGCAACAACCTTTCATGTGGCACCTTGTCGAATGCCTTCTGAAAATCCAAATACACTATATCCACTGGTTACCCCTATCTAACCTGCTCGTTACATCTTCAAAAAACTCTAAAAGATTTGTTAAACATGATTTCCCTTTCATAAAACCGTGTTGACTCTGCCTAATCATATTATGACTTTCTAAGTACCCCACTACAAAGTCCTTAATTGTAGACTCTAGAATTTCCCCACCACCGATGTCAGACTAATTGCTCTATAGTTCCCCATTTTTTCTCTCCCAACCTTCTTAAATAGCAGCGTTACGTTTGCGACCTTCCAACGGGAACCGTTCCAGAATCCAGGGAATTTTGGAAGATCAAACCAATGCATCCACTACCTCTGCAGCCACCTCTTTTAAGACCCTAGGATGCAGGCCATCAGGTGCAGGGGAATTATCAGTTTTTAGTTCCATCAATTTCTCTAGTACTATTACTTTACTGATATTAATTCCTTTAAGTTCCTCACTAACATTAATCTCTTGGTTCCCCACTATTTTTGGTAAGTTTTTAGTATCTTCTAACATGAAGACAGAAGCAAATATTTGTTTAGTGTCAAATAATTTTGACACTCTCTGTCTCTTTCTCTGTTTTTTTTCAGCCGTTAAGTGTGCAGTCCCGCTGAATGAATTGATTGACCAAATTATTATTGATTTTTTTTTCTTGAGGGATTATTATCAGGTGTGTAAAGAAACTTGCCCAAGGTTTTGCCTTGCCAGGAATCGAACGTAGGTCTCTCGCTTGTGAGGCGAGTGCTGGAACCACTGAGCTACAGGACACCTCAGGAATGTCATGGGTACAAGCCTGGGATCCAGTCACCAGGATTGGAACTTTTGTTTCAAAACTAGAGCAACAACAACTTGCATTTATGTAGAACCGCTCACACAAGGTAGCGTCCCAGAGCGCTTGAAGGTTGTAGGTGCAAGTTGGGAAAATCTGGTGTCATATAAATTGGCTCATATGAAACAAACGTGTAAATGTGAGTTGAATTTTAATTCCAAAATAGGCTTCTCGTATCCTAATTTTTGGCTAGGTCAGGGTATCAAGGGATATGGGGCAAAGGTGGGTAATTGGAGTTGAGTTACAGATCAGCCACGATGGCGGAACAGGCTCAATAGGCTGTATGGCTTATTCCTAATAATTATTCCTAATAATATATTCTTGTTTGTTTCTCTGTTTAAGGCTGTGATGGGAGGGGTTGGCCTTCCTTTAGCCGTGCAGTGTGTGGCCTTACCCTGGCAGGATGAACTCTGCCTCTACTTCATGAGGGAGGTGGAAAGACTTGTCTGTGCGAAGAAAGGAATTTAGTTGCACCTGCGAACAGAGGGATGATTTTAACCCTGATGTCCACTAATCATCAAGGTGTTTGGTTTCTTCAAGAGGAAGCCTTATGATAAATAATGACCATCACAATATAAATGAGTTGAATTAGCACATAGACGCTGAATTAATAATAATAATGAAATCCTTGGATTTGATATAGCGCTTTTCACGTCTTCGCGACTCTTCCAAGCACTTCACAGAATATACTGCAAAGCGAATTGACTGTATATTTGTGGACGAAACGTGGCAGCCAATTGCGCACAGCAGTGTCCCACAAACAGTCGTGGATTGAGTAACCAAATTATTATTTATTTCTTTTTTTCTTGAGGGATTATTATCAGGCATGTGGAGAAAGGAAACTTGGCCAAGGTTTCGCCCTGTCAGGAATCAAACCCAATTCTCTCGCTTGTGAGGCAAGTGCTCTAACCACTGAGCTACAGCACTCCTGGCTATTGACACCTTCTCACTGTTGGCAGATAGATGATCTAGGACTGTTGATCTCACTATGTCTTCTCAATGACAACTTGATAATATGATCATTCTAAACAGAATTGGATAAGCACACGAATGACAAAAAAAAAAGCATTAAGGAATTTGAGCAAAGAGCTAGAAAGTGGAATTAATAAAAAAGGGAAGAGTTGAAATACAGGAAGCAAAGCACAGCCTATTTATAAGGTTCTGCACTAAACATTTAAAATTAATGTAAAACTTCAACCAACAGACCAGATGATGGCAGCCTACAAGCCAGTCAGTACAATTTATAGTAATTACCTCTGAAGTGCTTTGAGATGTCTTAACCTGATAAGGTATATAAAAATATGTGTTCTTTCATAAATAAGTTGCAGGGAACACTCAGCGGGTCAGGCAGCACCTCTGGAGAGAGGAATGTGGGTTAACGTTTCAGGTCGATTACCTTTCGTCAAGATCATGAAAAGCATGATACGAAAAATGCAAGATGGTTAAGACATTGCAAAAGTGCAGCACTAGACAGGAGGAGGTGCCATCCCTGACATTTCACTTACATTCTAGAGGTGGTTCAGCTGAACAAGATGCATGGCACAATTTCGTAACGGATTATGAGTTCTGGTAGGAACTTTGAACCCACAACCTTCTGGTCCATAAGCAAGCTTGCTACCAACTGAGCCAATATGACACTGATAAAATATACAATATAAAATCTGTAACAGCCCTGGAACATACTGCTGTGGCTCAGTGAATATAATTATATTAATGTCTGTGAATGATCACTTACATATTAGAGTAATATAATGTAGTTGGACCTCCTGAGGAATTAATGACGTGTGAAACTGTTTGGTTTTCACTAAGCTGGGCTAACTGCAGAGAGATACTGTATATAAATATTCTCCTAAATTTTCCTGTGTTTACATTTAAGAGCATTCTCCCAGTTGTTTAACCCGGGATTTTTCGTACTTATTTTCACTTGCAAGGGATAATGGGGAGAATGGAGTATTTCCCCATTTGCTTCCCACTTTGCCTTATGTTGCTGGGGCCCGGGTTGAAACCACCTTTAGATTTTAGTTAGTTATAATAATAATAATAATAATAATCCTCGCATTTGATATAGCGCTTTTCACGTCTTCTCGACATCTCAAAGCGCTTCACAGAATATGCTGTAAAGTGAATTGACTGTATATTTGTGGGCGAAACGCGGCAGCCAATTGCGCACAGCAATGTCCCACAAACAGTCATGGATTGAAAATGACCAATTTATTATTGTTTTGTTTTGGAGGGATTATTATCAGGCTCTGTGTGGAGTAAGGAAACTTGCCCAAGGTTTCTCTCTGACCTGCCTGGAATTGAACCCAGGTCTCTCACTTGCCAAGCGAGTGCTCTAACCACTGAGCGACAGGACTCCGCATGTTGTTAAAGTGTAAGGTACATCTGGACTGGATTGAGTCTCAGGTGCTTGACACAGCATTTTTGTCATATGAACTATAACAGACACTTGTGTGAGAAGGGTAATGAAACATACACCATATTTGCAAGTACACGCAACAGCTAATTTGTGCGCAGCGAGGTCCCACAACCAGCCGTAAACAGTGTAGAATCCATTACACCGCATCACAAGATTGGTTTGGATGAAGTGGGGCCCTTCAGCCCACTCGATCTCATCTTTCCATTGATCTGCCCGATAAGATAGTGTGCAAACGCTTCACTGTGTCTGTGCTAATTTTCAGTACAGTGTGCTCTTCCACCCAGATGAGAAGCCGAGGTTTTATTCTGCCCAGTCCTTTCACTTGGCAGGAACAGCGCGTTTTAATAGCCTGCTTCACGTCCCCCGCCTTGCTCGCCCCACTATCGGCGGGCGGACCTTCCGTCACTCTGCACCCACCTTCTGGATCTCCATCCCGAAGTCCCTCCATCTCGCCCCCTCCCTCGCCAGCTTCAAGACCCACCTCAAGATCCTCCTCTTCGACCGTGCTTTCGATCTCCTGTGATCCGGGACTTAAAAGTTCTGAGGCTTTCAGGCCCAGCTGACTAGGAGACAATATCTTTTTGCAGTTACCCGAGTTGTTATAGTTGTGTTTATTTCTGCTTGTATTGAAATATAGTATAAATGACAAGTTTGTGCTGTAGCATTTCACATTATTGGCACCATTAAAAGGTAGCAATACTGTTACTCTTCTGATGGTGGCATTATCCTCAACAAGTGACTTCTACCAGTTCAGCATTGCCACGGGCAGGAAATTCGAGGTACTGACACTGTAATATTTCCAAAGCTTGTTTTACCTCACAGCAATGCTATTTCAAAACTACCTTCAGGAAATATTTCCCTCTTCCATCAGTATTTCAGTTGCAAACATTGCTGCATAAATCACTGGTTTGATAGAGATTTCAGAATAATTTTCTCCAGTGTCTTAACAAAGATAATAGTCTAAGCAAAGAATCACACTCGGCACAGTGTTACAGTGTCACATTGGCATCTAACAAGGCTTTGCAGGACTTTCAGCCAATGTAAAACCCTACAACAACAACAGCATTACATTTATAAAGCGCTTTTCACGTCGGGAGGACGTCTCAAGGCGCTGGTGGTGGTGTCATGGTGAGCAAGTGTGAATGACTGAGAATTATATCGGGGGGACTGAGTTTACCTTCATAAACATTTGATTGAAACATTTGATTGAAATACAGAATTTTTTTTTAAAAAAAGTTATTAATCAGAACTGTGAGAGTCCTCAAAGATCAGAGTACTTCGGATGGAGGGAAACCTTGACTTATTATAAATTGAGTCCGTGATGGCCATTTTCCTTTTATTTTAACCACCGTCTCTGTCAGTGGATTGAGCGTTGTGTCTGATTCCATGACATTGCTCATCCCTTATTTCTAGTTTCCCACCTTGTCAGAATTTAATAAAACGTGCAACATTAAAATCTCTAACCTAGCCTGGCACTGCCTGTTGTGGCTCAGTGAATATAATTATATTAATGTCTGTGAATGATCACTATACGTATTAGAGTAATAGAATGCAGTTTGGACTTCTGAGGAATTAATGACACATGAAACTGTTTGGGTTTTTCCTACGCTGAGCTGGCTGGATTGAGATGTGTAAATATTCTGTTCCCCCCATACACATTTATTAGTAACTCTTAAGCCTAACTCTTTAACCCGTACTCCAGAACAATACTTGTGCTATTTCCAGTCAATGTGGACGACTGTGTGCATTTGGCATGTATATCAGTTTGTACGTGCTTGTGTGCATGTGTATTTACGCGTGTTTGTATGCATGTGTGTGTTTGTGCATGTTCGAATCAGTATGGAAATGGGCAGCGAGGGAAGGGCGAGTTATCGTCTACAATAGAACATTGTGACATCTCTACTTTGTCTCAGCTCCGAGGAAATATAACTATCAGCGAGCTTTTAAAGAGCTTTGAAATACATGACCAGCAGAGGGCACTGGGCAGCTTTCTGCAGCTTGAAACCACTGGTTAGCCCTAATTCGCTTGTTTCGAGTGCGACTGATCGTGAATGAAATGCTTTCCATCACACACATAGCGATGCAGTTGTGAGTTTGTGCATGTTTAAACAGAGCTGCGCTAATCAGTCAAGCTTGTTGGCCGAGGTTTGGGTTCAGGTGCGGAAACCTAGGCTGCAGACCACCTCATGTACAACAACAACAGCACCTTGCATTTATATAGCGCCCTTCACGTGGGGTAGCGTCCCAGAACACTTGAGGACCACAGCACAGTACACGGCACCAAAGGAAACTTTCGCGTTGATGCGGAATCGTTGGGATTTCTATTTTATTTAGAAACGTTACCTCCTCTGAATGCGGCAGCTTTTATGGAAATTAAATACTGCCGTATCGGATAATCACCCACCGAAAAAATGAAACATTACTCGCTATGTGAATCCATTGGGAATTAATTGTTGCTCAGGAAATTACCTTGATATAAAAAACTTCACAGCCACCTTCCATTAATGAGCATCACCTGTACTAGGTCTTGTAAGTAATATTTGTTATTCACTGCTCAGATTATTTCTTTGGAATCAGTGGTAACTCATTTTTTTCAGTCATTCCTTATGATAATAATAATAATCCTTGCATTTGATATAGCGCTTTTCACGTCGGGAGGACGTCCCAAAGCGCTTCACAGAACACACTGTAAAGTGAATTGACTGTATATTATTATTATTATTTATTATTTGTGGGCGAACACGGCAGCCAATTGCGCACAGCAATGTCCCACAAACAGTCGTAGATTGAAAATGACCAATTTATTATTGTTTTTTGGTTTTGGAGGGATTATTATTAGGCTCTGTGTGGAGTAAGGAAACTTGCCCAAGGTTTCGCCCTCTGCCTGGAATTGAACTCAAGTCTCTCACTTGCAAAGCGAGTGCTCTAACCACTGAGCTACAGGACTCCAATATGCACTGAGATAATATGTACTGACTGTTGATTAAAACAATACTGGTCATATGGATACCCCTTCTGTGTTACTCACCAAGTCAGAGTGTAAAACTAGGAACACCTGATTAAAGTTTAATTAATCAAGCAAGTTGTGCATGTGAGGTTAAGACTCAATGATTTACTTGTGAACTGTTGAGAGAGGAGCACAGAATTGGTTCTTTGGAGTCAGTGAGAGAAGAGTCAAAAGAAAAGCGGTGATCATGTTTCTGTTTGACGGTGAAACTT